CACAAACAAGTAGGCGAATTTCGAAATGACAAAGATGTTTACTTATATTTAACCTAACCTACACTTAAAAAACGATTGTACAGCCTTGAAATTCAAACAGGAACAAAGGGAGAATTTTAGTTTAAGTTTTCTTTTCATGTCTCCATTTGGATTACTAATTTAGAATTGTATTTAGCTTCGGTATAATTCCCTTCATGCCTTACTGATTCATTACACCGCTATATAATAAATGGTTTGAAAATATTTTGCAATTTCAAGAATCAAAACGGACCCAGTAAGTAATTTTAGTTGTTTAACTGTTTGATACACAGTCAAACATTAACATATATCATCTGCTGAAAAACGAAAACGAATATTACCTAAGGTTATTAGGTGAAACTTTAGTTTAGTTTAAGTATAAATTATGACTATCTCACTATTATACAAATATATTATATATATATCAGGTTTGATGGAGGATTGATTTCCATTAGAGAACCATTTGAAACGAGGAAGTAATGGACAATTGTTGAGTTCTAGTTAAAGACCCATAGGCAGTATGCAACCAGAGCCTTCACGTCACGAGGCCAAGCCCGTTGACCATTCAGCCACTTGGACCGAAATACAATGGTCCATGAATTCTAATTTCTATCATTTCGTGATTTTAATCAGATTACCGCTCAATGTCATCTACAAGTATTTGTTCTCACATTGAACATGGTGGATGCCACTAGTCATGACATCTTAATTACCCTTTAGTGGGCTATAGACGACACTTATTGTGTGTGTGTGGGGTGTGTTAATGACACTACCAAATGAAGTAGGTGAAATGGAACTCGAAGCCAAGATTCAACAAACGAAAGTTGAATGATTAGGCCAATGCCCCTCACCCCACCACCCAGCGTCAGAGTATCGTGAATTGACAGAGATAAGAACTCATTGGATAGTGGATTTTCATTTCAAGTGGCTGAATGTTTAACGAAATTGGCCTAGTGACCTAAAGGTCTTGGTTTCTATCTGTGGTGTAATCATGGCCGCTTACTAGTGGCAGGTCACAACCTGAGACTCATCAGTTGTTCAGTAATCCTTGTTTTCCAGTGATTGTCTAGTGGACATCAATCCGTGATGAAACCTGAAAAAAATCAGATCCTTGAAAAATAACTCAAGTATTCAGCTAGGTTATTCCTGAAAGCTTTGCAGTCGTGTTTAAATCATTAGTAGTATTTAAATACAGTGGAAGGGAATCCGAAGACAACCGAATGGAATATTATTCTACCAACACTTTTGGCTTTTGTAGTACAATAACTACAGCAGTCTCAGATGATATGTCATGTTTGTTTGTAAGCTACATCTAACTCGGCTTGAAATGCATTTCTAATTTGCAAGCCTTTTCCCTTAGGCTTATGATTTGTTAATATTGTACGTGGAGTTTCAGATCCACTTTAGTTTAGGGTGTTCACTAAATTGCAAAAACTGAACACTTTTTGATTAAAGAATTTATGAACCATAGAGAACAAAAGAAACACGACGAAATCTTAATCATCTGTCTTGATCCAGATACTGGTGTAATTACTATAGATCAAACAGTAACGAACGTAGTTGCTTAATCAATTGTGATATTGGTAACCAACCGACACAATGTGTCATTTATTTAGTAGACAATTTACTGTGTCACTGAATGAAGTAGATTGGAATCTTGCAGATGAAATGAATTTCGTCAAGATCCCAGATTTGTATTGTTGATAATAGGTAGAAAGCTACAGACCTATTTCTATAGTTTCTCACTACTGAATAATAACTTCTAATAACAGTAACGAGTTTATTCAGCCCACTTATAAAACATCTTTAATACCTCAATCGAATATATAAATGATGCACTGGTCATCTACGCAAATAATTTAAATTTACACTGAACTCATTATTTCCTTATTTACTATCAACTTCTAATTAATACTGCGTCGGTGGCACAGCGGTTAGGATGCTTGCCGACCATGCACATGGTTCGGGGTTCGATCCCCGGCCGACGAACTCCTTTACCTCGCTAAGCCAGTAATAGAACTGGCAAAAAAGGAAGGTTGGGCGTGAATCTAGCAACCCCATCCTGTAAAAATAAACACTGCCACAGAAACTTCAAGTCTATAGCTTGAAGCCCTATGTTCCACTGGGAACGTGAAGGAATAAAAAAATTAGAGTCTTGCATAACAACATTACTCGCAGACGTCATTTTTATTAATGGAATGAGCAAAATATCTTTGTGGGGGACAAGTACAAGCAACATGTAGAGGAACAATGATCACAGTAGTGTTTCCAAACATGAAAAAAAGAATTCAACCAGTTCATACACTGTCCTCACATTTACACACCTGAAGATGAAATAAAATCCCCCAAAATTAGAGTTTACCCTAAAGAAGAGTCAGAAAATTCTAAGATAAAAACCCTAGATATGAAGCTTATATGCAAATGTTTTATGAAATGCTAAATAATACACCGCTTAAGAATCAGACATTCACTGGAGACGTAAAAGATTAGGAGTTTAAATGAAGATTTATGCATGGTGTTAAATAGTATTGATATGCAGCAACACTTTAAATCGCTTATGTTGTTCAGTCAGTAATTGACGCCTGTACAGTCAGTTCACCTGGTCTTGTAGAACTACTAACACTAGTTGTACTACAGATACACTATACAGAGTAGATGACACCACAGATCATGGTTAAGTAAAGATGGCACAGGTTAACTAAAATACCAAGCTTATAGAATTATTTTGACGATGAGTTAACAGATCCGTAAAACTGATTTACTTTGGTCCGTAAATTCAAGTATGACCTTTAGAAAGGTCTGAAGAAATATTCGCCTAAATATACTAAGTCTGACTACCTAAAAGTGGTAACCAAAGTTTTACATTTTAAATCAAGTTATCCATCTTATTTCTGTATATGAGTTTTATATTTCAGCTATTGAGTTTTAACAGCACTTTTGTCAATTAGCTTACTTGGTAAATTTCTGGCTAACCAACATCAGTCGAGGAAGTACTGAAAGCTAAGAACCACCGGAAAATTGACTTTTTCTTCTTTAGATACTCATATTAGTTTATTGTAGGAAAGATAATGAGTATTTCGAGTGCATAAATCGTTTCCACATTTCTTAATCAAAATATTTTAAAAATATCAGCACTATATTACAGTTGTACAATCCTTAAGATTAATGACATACGGAGAAAATTTGTTCACATAACTTGTTTCCTTCTTAAGTTTCAGCAGTCTGAAGAAGTTTTGACAACAAACACTTCAGTCGATTACCCCACACTCCATAAATGACACTGAAGTTAGTTTATTGGTTGATCCAGTGGTAAACAAATGTTGGGTTTTCTATTACATCTGGAAGTAAACACGTTCATCTGCGACCACTTATGTAAGTTGATAAACCTGTTTCCCTGCCTTCAGAAAGACAGAGTTTTTGTCGCAAAAGTGAAGGAGTGAACTGGAAATTCGTGTGCTTATGACCGAACTAGCGAACATGCTAGTTTACCTAGATGAGCTGGAAAACCCTGGTTCCAAGCCTATTATGTACACGGGTTCTAAAATCCGAAGAGATCAAACAGCGTCTGAACCTATTTATATCATCAGAAACCGTGGAAACCCAACTTCTCACGCTGCTCCATCGCTATGTGGATCAGACTTCAAGTCAAAAGCTCTTGGGTTGTCCCCTTAAGACAACCATCTGCTTCGTTCTGGTCGTCCGAGCAGTATCCAAGCCCTCGCACAAACTATGAGATTTTGGTCTGGCTCGTATCTTGGTGCTCAATTTTTCCTTTAGTTCCTAGAGGAACATAGGGTTGCACGTCTCCATTGTGTTCGGTTCTCCGCCAACGTTTTCACCTGGCTCCACGTCTGCCCACATGCTTTCATCTCCTCTTCACATGACCTCCTCCATGTCACCCTCACACTCACGACCAACTCAACGCTTCCCATTTGGGTTTCACTTGAGTGATGGCCTGGCTTGTGATGTCACTTGATGATTTGTTTTCTCAAAGTATGGCCAATCCACCTCCATTTCTTCCTGCATATTTGTTGCACAATCGGTTCCTGCTGGGTTGGTTCGCTCCCAGAGATCCCCGTTGATGATCGTTTCTGGCTATCTGACCTTGAGTATTGAACAAAGACAGCTGTCAATGAAAGTCTTTAGTTTGTTTGAAGTGACCTTCGTGACGTGCCAAGTTTCTGATCCTTAAAGTGGCACTTACTTCACAATAGAGTTGAAAATCCGGATTTTATTTTTCATGCTCATGATGTACTACGTCTTTAATCTTTATTATGTCCAAATATATTACTCTTACCAACACATTTCTAAGTGATTTAGTCATTTGATTTAGTTTTGCTGTCATTACTAATAGTTTACGTAAGCTGCTGTCTAAGCGGGTAGGTTTAATAAGTGTCGTCAGTTTCTGCATTATAGCAGCTCATTCAGTCCATACAATCATACATTCCAGATATTTTAAAAAATGTAGCCGTTGTATATGACGAACATACATTTTTACAAATTTCCAGTGATCTGATGGACGTCTGCCCAGGTGGTTGAAAGTTACTACAAGTATTTACATAGTCAAAGCCTCAGGTGCGTGCATGAAGCAAGTCAACGTTTAGTCACACAAAAAGATACTGCAAGTGAACTTGACCGGTGAATATTTAATGCTGCTTGCAGTAGGCCAAGGCAGTAAATCAGAATTTGAAAATAATAGAGTTTATCAAGTCCGGCTGTTCTTGGCTTTGAATTCCTCATAAGTGCTTGTTTGCTAAACACTGTTTTGTCATTCAATTTTCCTATTAAAATAACTGTAAAGCATGCATTTGGTTTTCATATCAGATGAAGTTGATAAAACATATGACCTTATGAGTGTTGTTTGCTTCTTAGCGTAACTGCCAGCAAAATGACAATAACATGTTGAAAACATTAAAAAGTCTGCAACCAAAGTTTCTATATCATGGTTGCTGGGATAGTTACCTATATTACAGTAATCTTACCGGCTAAAAGTACTGGTTTAGAATCCAAACATTTTTGTGCCACTAAATCAAACTGATGTATTATTGGAAAGTTCTTCAAGAATTCTTTATCTTCTGTGGAACCTGGTAATATTTCAGCTTTAGGTATTTTTGAAGTTATGGATTTCTTCCGAATATTTCGTCCTGTAGATCGATATGCGTCTGTAGATTTGGCAGCGGATGATGGTAAACAGAGATGTCTGCTATCAGATAAGAAAGAATTTACCATATTTGCTGAGTTCCAGATTGATGCATTTACAGATATAACGAATGAATCTGTTGAGTCATTTGCTTTGAACTTATCAGCTGATACCACTGGTTGAATTTGCTTCTTCAGATGAATGGATTTTACTTTCTACGTACAAATTAAAATGAGAAGGAAAACGTATCAATTTTATTGAATAAGGCGGTAAAAATTATGGATACAGTTAATCAATCCATTCAAAACAGATACATATTCATAATGCATGGGAAATATCTCTATAACTGTTGGAAAAACATTATGGTTGGAAACCATACAAGGAGATTAATCCCACTGCTTTCTATTATACATATCTTGGTTATGTGATGTTTGATTTCATTACACTATTCTTACCAAAGTTAGGTACTGCAATAGAAAAATTTTTCAAGATATCATATGTCCAGTAGGGATTTCATCAGTATTACAGTCTTCATTACTGTGACACTACAATCAAATTAGAAAGTGATAGTAGTACAAAACGGTTGAAAAAATTGCATATTAATTAAAATCTATGCAAATTTCATATACCTATTCCCCCAATGTTGTTCTTGCTTTATTCGAATTGTGGATTTGAATAATGCAAGAACAATAGTTTGTGCAAAATAATATGGTATCATCATTTGTTTCGTTGGTTTCTCATCAGCTGCTTACAGCCTAAATAAATTATTAAAATTATGTACAGTTTTAACATACTTGCAAATTTTACATGATGCCAGTTGATGGGGTATTTAAATTTTAGTGAACTATGCTCAGAAAATTGCGCTTATATAGTTTTTACCCAGGCAGTTCAAGTTTAAACAACAAATGTATGCATACAATGGTAAAGGAGTTTCGTAGTAAAGACGAGAGATGCATAAGATGCTGAGTGACTAATAAATTAGGCAACAATGTACTGAGTTCAACTGAATTCATAGAAACATGAGACAAGAAAAATTACACTTTATGAAAGCGAGGAGTGTGGCTAAAACCAATGACTACGTAATCGAATGAAAGATACAAGAGACACATCCAGTTACTAGGGCAAGGAAATACTGATAATTGCTTTTTTGTGAATACGTAATTCGAGTTTTGCGCGTTTGATAGAGATTGCTTCAGCAAACTTGAGGAAAATTGAGCTTTTTTGTCTATTGATGGTTTTATTGGATTTCGTGATTTCTGTCTCATGAGCCGAATCAATGAGGTGCCTGGAAATAACACCATTAGAAACATTTGTTACCTTGAGACGTAGGCTTTTCGGTACATGTTCAGAAAATCAGAGGTGTGCCCTTCTTTGTGTCTTACCAATGTAACTGCTCCCACAGATTTACGTAAATTTGTATACTCAGTTGGAGTTAACATGAGAAAATACAAATTTAGCAGAAATTACGCAATCAGTAAATCACATTGCATAGAAACTCAGTTATTCTTCTTGATTGGTGTAAGATTTCATGGTAATGATAGCTGTCCATTCAGTATTTGAGAGATTATGAGGGCTAACATCGGTTTGTGTAGTCGATTTCATCTTTTTTCTTCATTTCATATGTTCCAAGTGGAATAAGCTGAGGAATCTCACTAGGCATAGTATTGATTTTTAGAGGCTGCTACTGCTAGCCTGATGCCCGATATCCCTTTTCTTTCAAACTTACTACCAGGTTGGAAAAATTGGCAAGGTTTAGGAAAGCTTCGGTTGGGAATCGAACCAGGACCACTTGAATGACTGGTGAGCATCCCGCCATTGCCGCGGCAGTGCAATATGAACGGTGACCACCATACATATTCACAAATAATCTTGGCAGTAACTGCTAAATGGGCCACTGATTCTCAGCATCTCGAGGACGCTAATTAAGCCAGACAGGTTAGATCTTTCAACGTGACTGAAATCAGCATTCAAAAACTTTATGGTTTGACCACCCTTAACCTTTTTTGTTACCCATCTGATACTATGTAAGCTAACACTGATCCATGAGGAAGGGGATGTTTTGACAGGCGTAACCCATATTCTATCCATCTCAATCGGTTCAGCTTAAGAACCTCATAGATTGATTTCCTCTCCTTACCTAAGGCTCTACGCCTAACTTCAATATTATATACCATATTCAAGCGCGTGACACGAAATCTATAACGTAGACATCTGTGATCAAAGACGGTTAGACGCTTCATATCTACCATCTTCAATGACCATGTTTCACAGTCGTAAAGAAGAGCACAGCTAATAGCTACTCCGTACATACACAGTGGGTTAAAAGCGATACAAAATTGACACACATAATGTCAATAAATTTAGATCAATACAATTATGATTATAAAACTATCATAGCTACCACCTGGTAAAATATAATACAATAGGTCAATGTCTTCAAGTTTGTTGAAGCAAACATTAAAATCCATGTTCTTGGAAACTGTTCGAAGAAAGGAAAACAACAGAAATTTTGTCGGAAACCATATTTTTCCTACCGAATGAACTGTAAAATACTTCCTGTCAGCCGATACGGACTCTGCAAAACACTTTTTAGAATATTTAGGAAAATTTCATGAACATAACACACTTTATTTGTTCCTAATTGACATCATCACCCTTTTCAAGTAATTTAAAAGAATAAACTTTATCTAAGGCGTAATAGAACAACTCGTTTAAAACAAAACGCTGAGGAAGTATCTGCAGTCACAATGAATACACCCCTCCTCAAGAGTAAAACTGGAGAAAAGACTTCCTCTTAAAATATCGTACCATCAAGTGGCACACATAATAGTACTTACATTGTCTGCTGCTTGTTGTCCATCTACGAGATTTAAATTTTGACGTCCACTTTTGATAACTACCAACTGCCAAAAATAAGCAAGCACATTTTGAACTCGGTGTTGAAAGCTGTTTTTAAGAAGAAAAAAGTCACCTTTTTAGTAATAATTACATAATTATTTTGGAAATCTCTAAGTAAAGCAAGGGTTTTTAGTGTAATTATGTGATTGAAATTGTAGCCTAATTTTAACGACCTGATACTAGACCATTTAAGCTACGATCGCGAATGTAGTCACAGTTTAATTGCATTTTAATATTACTCATATCTTCAGACACTCATTTATTATCACACTTGTCGATGACTTTTTATCGTGTTGGAAGCAGCAACAAACCCACACTGAAGAAAGGGACTATAGAAGATTAACCTGATTAAATCGTCAGCATTGATTTTCTGTGCTGATTATTTGAACTAGCGATCAAGTACCGTACAATCCGATCATTTGACTGGCAGAATTACTTCAGTAGCCTTATTCCTTTCAAACTTATTTTCCAACTTTAATTAATGTCTTAGTAAATTAAAAACAGGTTACTGTGTAAACAGCAGGTTGTTTGATCCACTACAGTAATTGTTCGATAACACTCTAAGAAACACGACACAATTTAGTTTGCTTTTCACAACTTTTATCAGTCGAAAATAATTACAAATCCTAAGAAATCTCTTCTTTTTGTTCTATGTCTAAAAAAACATAGAATGAACTAAAAAAGAATTTAGGGTTAACATGATAAATACATTATGAAGGATTTGCCCTAACTTGTGAAACAATGAAAGAGATTGATGAACAATCGGATAAAAGTTGATCGATCAAAAAAACAAGGCCTAATTACTTATAATCATTTTAATAAAAGACAAGTTCAGAATAATCAAGTTGGATTTTTACACTCATATTTCATTAATCACAGATTATTAAAATCCCAAAATTAGTGATATACCGTGTCAGTCAATATACACCATATCATACAACTGCAAACATTTTAGAAAGAGGCAGAGTATGTGTGTGAGAGTGAGTGAAGAGAAATGTAATTCAAGTCAATGGTAGGACTGATATATTTGTCAGATAAATGATATTTGCGAGAACGAACTCGTAGTTTATTTTACATGGACATTATTTAACCAAATATATGACTTTCTCTTAAGAAAACTTATGTTAGAGGCACTAACATTTACAGACTTAAGTAATCACTAAAGCAGGATGAAAAGCACTTCTTATTTCTTATATTTATAAAGTTCACATGTATTTTATAATGAATATTGAGCTATTCACACTAAAGACATGCTGAATTCAAACAAAACAATCTGTCACTTTGCTTTTCACGTTCAACACCCTGTGCCTTGAGAAGAGAGTAATTATACTACTTCCAAATAAGTCATGATTTCTTATTGTGCAGGCAAACTATCTGCATTATTTCAGAAATGCTCATAGGAGGTAGGTAAATTTAGTGTGTTTGAGCAGAAACAGAAGATGACAGTGATGTCTCGAAGGTATATTATTAGCGCAGATTTAGTTATAAGAACATGCTTTTTAATGCCATTCTACGGAATTTTCACTTGTAAGTGTGGAAAACAAGAATTAAACAGTAATATGGAAGTGTGAAGGTACTTAACTAATCAAGTGAAACATACTATTGAATAGATAAACTTAAAACTCATGAAAAAGATACTTATCCAAAGAACTAACAGGAGAAAGTACTTCCTTAAATTCCTCGAATACCAATTCTATCCACAATGACCCCAAAATGGCTGCTGATTATAGCTGTAAAATTATTATTAGTGATTAATAATAATAATAAGGAAAAAGAACTATTAAGAATTCTCACTTACAATTTATCACCAGTAACATAGGCAGAAATGCAAACAGAACGCGTCCATGATTCTGAAGGTCTCTTCCAGTCGATTTTATCTTCCAAATATAGTCTCATCTCCAAATGACCTACAGAAAAAGAATAAAATATATTAGCATATAATATAATACCGATTTTCTGAACATGTAGAACAAAAGGCCTATATTTCAAGGAAACAAATGCCTTCAACAGTGCTAATACCAAGCATGTCGTTAATACAGTCCATGAGGTGGACACCATGAAATCGTTCAAAATTAACAATAGACAATACATTTCAATTCTCCTCATGTCTGCCAAAGCAATTGCTATCAAGCGTTTTAAACCCGATTCAAATGTTCACAAAGAAGCAGTTGTTAGTTCTTCCTAGCCCTGGAAACCCGATGTCTACACTCTGTTCTAGTTGACTACGTAATCTTTAGCTTTAACCTCTTTCCCTTTCACCATTAGGTACTATTTTTTGTCTTTTTATTTCTGTGATTTGATTTGAACTTACTACATTGTTATGCAACTCATCAACTTATGCACCTCTTGTCTTTATTATGCAACTGCTTTTTGATTGCATATAAACATTTATTGTTTTTTGGTTTTGGTTCGTTGAAAACTTGAGCTTTCTGTGTATGTTATATAAGTACAATTTCTGAGCATTTTTTATTAATTTTGAAGTATCCTGTTAACTGACATTATTTTACACTCGTAAGTACCTTTAGACTGTTCTGTACATAAACTAAATTAATTATATTTTATGCTATGCGCAGCCGATGAGAAGGCAACGAAATAAACGACGGTACAGTCTTATTCTGCACAGACCTTTGTCTCTACCTTATCTAGATATTGAGGATTATAATTATTTTGCTCCTATCCATTATGATTACTACCGCTAAACTAGTAGACAACATAATCTAAAGAATAAACCTCTCATCTGTAGAGAAACCAACACGCCAGTCTATTCTTAAACTGCTATACAATAGAAAAAATTGAATGCACCAGTCACTGAAGAATAACCAATGTTGATGTCTTTTTCCGCGGGTTAAAGGAAATTTATCGTGAAAACTATTCACATAAGTAATGCGAAAAATTCATTATTACTTAAGAGAAGTTGATTCATTAAATCTTTCCAAGCCATCTAAAAATTCATAAGTAAGCATTTAATGACAAAAAAGATGGACGAAGTCTCATTAACTTGATGTAGTGTGATTTTCTACAATAAATTTATTCAAACTGATAAATTTTAACTCTATTTGAGGTTATATTTGTTGTCTTTTACCTTTAGGTCATTATCAATGTCACCTTTTTTCTGTAACTGTTGTTACAAACTCGTGCTTCATCTTATCACTTCAATAAACATAACCTTTTACATTTCTCAACCATTACGAATAGTATTTATCTTGTTTTATACTAGCCTAATGTCCATAACTGAAAAAAAACATTCTTTTGATATTTCCATTTTGACCACAGATTGAAATCTGTTAGAGAACCATCAGAAAACCAGGGAGTACCGGACAGTCAGATGCTTCGTCCTAGTTTAGGACTAATCGGCAGTACCTACCCACCACAGTGGTTCGAACCCAGGACCTTCCGGTTACAAGGCAAGCTCTTAGAGCATTCAGCCACTGGGGACCGACTCAATGGCCCATGAATTCTAACTTCTAGCAATTCGTGATTTTTGGCGCTACCACCACTTTTCACCTTTTTTATGATCAAAATTGAAAAACAGATCAAATCCCTACAAATCAACTCTTGAAAAATTCTTTTCGTAGTAAGATATATGCGGGTGAATAGGCTTCATAATGGTAATTCCATAAATATATTTTTATGCTATAGCTAGGTACAAATCGAATGCAGTTAAATGAATGGCAAAAAAGGAAAACTAACTAGTTATTTTCAACTGAAATTAAAGTGTATACATAATATATAGTGAATTATAGTGTAGGATAATATGAGAAAAGAATATGTACAATGAATACAAATATAAAAGTTTCAAAGGAGTAAAATACAATCATTAGTCAAATGCAAGTACACAATAAAAAGATAAGAAATTTGACATAGCATTTACTGTTCATTACTGTACTAGCAATATTTTAAGGTATCAATGTGAAACACAAATGATTCGATATAGTTCACCGATATTTTTTACATATATATATATTTATACTAAAATACATACTGAAAGAATAGAAATACTAAATCATCAAGCGTTAGTTTAAAGGAGTTTGATTGGTTACAGTTTAGGTCACGAGTTGACATCCGTTATAGAACCATTGGAAAACCATGAAGTACTGGACAGCTGTTTTGTTCCGGCTAGGGACTCTTCAGTACCATTCGCCCACTAGAATTCCGAGCCAGGGGCTTCCAGTAATAAGTTGAGCTCGTAGACCATTCAGTCACTGGAACCTAACCCAATTTTTTTAATTCCTTCACGTTCCCAGTGGAACATATGGCTTCAAGCTGGAGGCTTGAAGTTTCTGTAGCAGTGTTTATTTTTACAGGATGGGGTTGCTAGCCTCATTCCCAACCTTTCCTCTTTACCAGCTTTATTTCTGGCATAGCGAGGCAAAGGAGTGTGTCGGCCGGGGATCGAACCCCGGACCATGTGCATGGTCGGCGAGCGTCCTAACCGCTGTGCCACCGACGCACACAACCCGGCCAATGAATTCCGACTTCTGCCAGAATGCTATATATATAGCGCAGCCGGCAGCTAATGTCATTGGCGAGTAGCTGATCTCTTAATTCATTTGACGGACCCCATTGGTTACTGCTTATCACTGAAATACTTGGTAACTACTCGTATGGAGGCATTGGTTTTATTATCATTGAAATAACAAATTACCAAGACAATTCAAGTTGATACGCGAAATCTACGTCTACGCGTAAATTAGGTTTTGGTTGACAGATTACTTTTGCTTCTGAATAATATAAAAATTAACCATTCCTCTTTCTATTTATCATATGAGAAAGTATGGTCGAATTCACGGTACGGGTTGTATCTAGGATATGTTTCTCAATAGCGCTTTTAAGGATTCTTGAATCTTTAAATTATAAATTCTTCAATAAATTTTCAGGGATTCATTAATTAAGAGTCGTCGCTGTTCTTCGAAGTACTTTTAAGTGGAGTGAAATCAGTAGATGTGGCTGGAGGTGGCATGAAACATTCTCAAATCAATACTTGTTTGTCTGAGTTTGTTCTTTGAGTGGTAGACTGCTGCTAATATGCATCCATTTCACGATTGTTTCTGAATTGGTTTCATCCTCGTCAAACTGCAGCCTAGTGAAAATAATATTTATTGTCATAGCTTTGAACAGTTTCTCAAATGACGTTCAATGACGTCTTAGAATCTCCTTAACTCATTTTGTGATTGGATCTTTAGAGCCTAATCTAGGCTTCACTTCGTTTACATGCAATAGGACATAAACCACTAAACTGAAAATATTATCCAATATAGTCAGAGCTCGCCAGCCGCTCACCTGGTCTGGATTCTATTCCTGGCTGATGCATCCCTAAACGTCGTTTAGTTTACTAGCCGGTAATAAATTTAAAAACAGGGGTAAAGTTGTTTTGAAGGCTAGCAACTCCATTGCCTGAAAACAACACTTGCGCTAAGACTTCAAAGACTTAAGGACCCTTTTCCTTTCAAAATACAAAGAATGAACAAATAATCCGGGCATGACCCAGTTCTCATGCCAATATTCAAAAGTCTTATTCCGTTCGATATCTTATATTCACTTGTAGATTTCACATTTTCAAGTATTGGTTTTGTAGAGATTTTGTTTGATTGGGCCATTGGATCGGATCCCAGTGGCTTAATGGTCTACAAACTCGCCTTGTGACCAGAAGGTCCTGGGTTCGATCCCCTGTGGTCGGTGCATACTGTGAGGAGCCCCAAACTAGGATGAAACAGCTGACTGTCCAGTACTCCCTGGTTTTCTAATGGTTTTCTAACTGATGTCAGCTCATGACGAACTGCTCCCAATGAATACTCATTTGTACGAAATTAAATAAATTGATTTAGCAAATTCTTCAGAAAGATTTCGCTCTCACTAATCACGAATTCATCACACATGTATTTTCAATGTAATTTTAACCGTTACATGGTATCACTAAGTCCGGTATTCTTTTAGTGAGCTAGAAATATGTTCGAAAATTTGATCAGTATTAACTGAGACAGTGGATCATTGTGCACATAAAACATGAAACTGCCATAAAAATGGAAGGAAGGTGAATTTTCCGAGATTCGGTAATATCTTTTTACAGTGGACAGCTGTAGAACTGTGTGTCATATCAGGTCATAAATACCGTATTATACTTAACCGTAGTGCTACTGTTTTACGCCTACATTAATCCTTCTACACCTTGACAGTTACTTTCAATACTTGTATTTTTACGACATTGTCGTTTCGAGTTAGCCAACCTAATTATATCAGTTAAAATAATTCCGTAACTTTTTTCAGTCATAAGCTAATTTCAGTAAACTAAAAAAGTAGGATTATGTCATCTTATAATGTGCAAGTCATAATGCTTTCCATGTTTCAAATCGGTTTCGTATAAAAGTACGAGCCCTTTTCTTTCACACCATTTAACAACGACCCATAACTTTCTGATGCAATGAATAGGTTTTGTGATAACTGAGACTATTTCACGTTTATCTTTATTCCACACAGATGTATCTGGATACATTTAGCAATAAAAGATCAGGTAGTGATACATATGAAGTGTAAGGTAATGACAGAAACAGTACTATAAACACTTGGTTTGTATTTCCCTTCAATATGTTAATCAAATAAACCATGTTTTGATAACTTACCTTTAATGAATAAAATTTCACTTTCCATGCATGGATTGTTTGATGGAAGTTTTTCAGTTATGTTTTGTATACAACAGAGAAATCTATGGGCTTCCTCGTAAATTTCAACAGAACTAGACTGCAATACATGTAATGCTCTGAAACAACAAAACAAGTTCAAGAAAATGAGGTATTTAAACCTTCCACTATCTAAAAGAGTAGGTTATGAATTGCAATTAGTTTTATTTTCAATCACAAAGTGTATGGTTGACCGAAAAGTTTCCGTCATTCATGTTAATCTACCATCTAATTTTGATTTGATCACTGATTTTATTGCCATTTACAATTTGGAGTTCAGATAGAAGTGTTTCCAGGTCAATTCACGGCAGAATTGGGAACCGTAAATATGACTGGATCAATTGTGAAACGCATTATTTAAACGAAGAATTTTGACAAGTACAAATCAACTAGGGAATTTCAATCGATTAAAAGATTTATCTGGAAGTTCTAATAAGGGGTTGAATATCTTCACTCATTTTAGAAATCTACCTTATAATTTTTGAAGGTTCTGATAAAATATCGGCATGATCACCTAAAATAGAGAATGTCCATCCATTAAAATTTCTGAAAAAAGGAAAGCCAAGCATGGTGATGAAGTGGTCATCCTGCACCTCACAGTGTTGCACTGATTTTATATTCAGTGAGCAATATTGAGGTTAGGTATCGAGTGCTAGGTAAGGCGGGGAAATCAATTGACGACGGTGAAATTACTTTGACTGAGATGGTTAGGACATGTGCTACGTATGCCTAGTCATCGCCTTCCTCGACGGGCAATGTAATACGGGCCAGGCTGGAAAAGAGATAGCGGCGGTCAAACCAAAACATGGCACCAGTCAATGAAATCCACAACAGTTAGTCTAAGCCACGTAGGAAGATGTAGACTTCCTGGTTGGGGTCCTCGGGATGGTAAAAACCAATGGTTGGAAACAATTGGTGACATGGCTCAAAATCGTTCTCAGTGGCGCAGATGCATCCACTCCTTGTGACTTATGATTTCCAATTAAACTGTTTTGTTCTCCGTTATTACTATTCCTTTGTCTCACACCTCTGTTTACTGTCTATATTATTATGCATTTCTTCTACTTTCTTCTCTTACTTTGCGTGCTACATAGATTGTGGCGACTTGAACTGCCGCACATATGTGCAAAGTTCTATGTCGAAAACCGACTGACCGACCGACCGATCCGCATTTTGAATCTTAAAAAGATTATAAAATAACTGACAATAAGAGAGTTCCGTTACAACAGTCCAAAAGAAATACTAGAAATTAGTAATATGGACGTCAGCTCTAGAATAAATTTCCCCTTGATAATTTACGAGGAATATTGTTTCATTGGCATTTTTCCACGAATCAGAGGATGACAAAAAAACATTCACCTTAATTTTTCCAGTACAATATCTATATTAGCGGCTGTATTTCCTTTAAATATTTCCTCTCTCTAAAGCAAAAGACTTTGTTATCTGTATCCTCTCAGTAATGTCAGAACAGAATTCAAGTAATCAATATTTTTTGTCATATGTAGGATTATTGCAGTTTCTTATTTCCTGCTCCCACTAATGTTCTAACTGAGTACTGCTCCATCACCACAGTTTTGAAAAAGACATTTACTGAAGTTAAAACTTGAATTTCAGATAACTTTCATGTTACATATTTGCATAGTATAAAATGCCAACGAAATATTCGTATAAAAACAAATACAATAACCACGACGTTAAAACTGTAACATTAATAACTGGAACAATAAAAATCACTTTTAAAATTCTAGTAGAACTGCTTTTCAAAGTTAATTGGTGGATGGGGACTAGCAGTGGAATCCAGGATGCGCATTTCGTCCTGTTTGGGACTCATTAACCGGATGTACCTGCATCCCGTAGTAAGTGATGATGTTCCCACCGAGGCTGGAACCCAGTGCCCATAGATTCAAACGCCAAAGCGTTATACAATAGACCACTTGGGCCACGAGAGCCACCTCTTGTGCAACGGGTCATATTTATTATGCTTTCCGTCTAAATGCACTAAACGTTTACAACAAAAGTGTTATAAGAAATTAAAATTAGACGGAAATATTACATTAGATGTTTATCTGTAAATATTAGTAGGTTAGATCATGGAAAATTTCTATGGAGTCATCAAATAATGTGAGACCTTCTCAATAATCTCTTAACTTATTATCCATAACAGGTAATGAGGAAAGTTCCATTTTTAGATATCAACACCACCGATTATCATACACAGATAACCTGTGCATAAAACATGAATATGTGTATATCCATATGACGTTTAACTTCTTCAAGAGTATTGTCAAAAATATCTTATTTTTTTAAAATAATCAAGAATACAAAACAAGTATTGCCTTAAGCAAAATTTAAACTTTGTCGGCTTGTGAGAAACTTTCAAATCGGATACAGATTTACGCTACAACTATTTCAAGCAGTTCAATTTTTCAGCATATATTTTTCTTCCCTTTTATCTGAAAAAAATATGTACAATCCGAATTTCTTTTAACAGATATTCATATTAGCAACACACTGATATCTTGTCTTCGAAATGACCCAAGTGACAAGTTTACACAAAGTTTAGATCAAAATTTCCATAACATGTCTTTATGGTATCAAAGCAGAAAAGTGATAAATAGCTAAGGGCATTTTAAGCGTGTAGGTCATGAACAAACTAAAAACTTAAACAAGCAGAAAAAAAGTAACAAAATACTTTACATCTGACCTAATTCTGTATAAAAATTTAAATAATTTGTAGCATATTGCAAGAATCATATACATATATTGCTTTTCACGTGATTTACATCAAAACGACTTGATGTTTGTCACATTTCCTTACTTCACTGAAGCAGTTCATTCAAAGCTTTGAAAACGCATTTGCTTTTAGTTATTTGTTGTACACGTATTTGAAGTATTACTTACTAAAAATGTGGATTCGAGTGGTGAAGCCTCATACTCCGATAGTGCAGTCTAATTACAATAGTTGGTGAAAAACTACGAAGGACTTCATGCAGAAATCAAGTATCAGTAAGCCTCTGTTTTTCAGTAAACGCTTAAACATGAACCATAAAATTCATGGACTATCTGGTGGATACCTATAAGAAAGAACTGAATGTGATATTTATATAATTTGATTTGGTTGAATGATGGAGACTATATCATTTCAACCTACTGTATCATCCGTAAACATCATGCTAAGAAGCCAAAGGGCTAAATATTTTAATTTTAGCAGATGAACTTTATCAAAATTAAGTATAGGATGTCAAAAACTAACCAGTTAGAAGACTTCAGTACCAATTGCATTCTTATAAACATCTAAAGACAAACATCTAAACCGGTTGTATAACTCATCTCCAAGATATATGAAACCATTACTGTCTAGAGATCTTTGCTACTTTTTAATTCATTGAAAATTCCCATTGATTTTCTGTATGGAACCATATAAGCAGATTTAAAAGTCCATAATTTTATCATGTAACAATTCATCATAAACCCATTCAGTTGTAGGAGAGTGTGTAATGTGCACGAATACGTTATCAAATGAATCCTGGTTGATGGATCGCCTCACTTGCGATGAACATCTCTGTCGTAGAAATGAAATATTATGATGTCAGCTTAGTTTCAGCTAATGAAGCCTGTTACTGAACTTATTATAGGTATCAGACAATAAATATTCAGACATGATGCTGATAATATGCCTATATGAGACCGGAACAATGTTTCAGCAGGAGGGTAGTATTAGCACCGGGAGAAAAAGAACTTCCCAATTTGATAAAAGTATGAGGGAGGTAGATACAGTAGTCTAAATTTTGGCTTCTTCTTAGATTGCGTGAAAGAGGAAAAGAATTAGTTTTATGTGATCAAAGCGCTTAGCATGCAATCTCTCATTATACACTGTTTTCATAATCATTTAGATTTAATGAATGAGCACTTGTCAGCACACATTTTCACCAGTGTAAATATGAACCAATTAGTCAAGAACTCTTTAGCAAATACACATAACCATATTCGCTTATTAAACTAACCTGATATTGTCAAACTTTTCATATTTTGTAGAACTTGGTTCTGAACGCGTCGGATGGAAGTATTTCATATCACCAAAAGATAAGAGAATCATTGCTATTCTCAGTCCAACTTGAATAAAGTGTTTCCAGTTTTTATAATGAGGCAGCCTGACTTGTGACACGTTAAACTGAAGCACTGATTTTCGGCAGATGTTTTCTCCACATTTTCTCAACTACATTATAATATCGGGTATAAATGATGGAAATTTATACTTCACATATTATAGTGAAGATATGCATACATTTAGTTACAGTACCGTTTATGCTGTACAGCTTCTATCGATTTTTTCATCATTTGACGTGCTGCAGTATGAATGTATAAGGTCAAAGGTGGAAAAATGTCCAAGTAGTGGGGGTTATAAATATGTCGCTTAGATTGGGAGTAAAGAAGAGTGCCAGAGAAGACAAAAGAAAGTATTATGAAGCCATGGCCAATGAAGCAGAACAAGCAGCAGGCAAAGGAGGCCTCGCAACACTCTACCAAACAACTAGGTACCTCTCAGGCAAAAATTCGTCACAAATTAAGCCAGTGGAGGATGACAGTGGAAAGTCAATCACCAAAGAAGTGGAGCAAAGGAAACACTGGGCTGAACACTTCAAAAGACTACTAAACCGACCGCCACCTACAACGCGCCCAACAATACCAACAACGGAAGCAGAATTACCAGTGAACATCAACCCCCCGAGGAGAACAGAAGTCCTGAAGGCAATCAAGATGCTGAAAGCTGGAAAAGCAGCACGACCAGATGGAATCCCAGCAGAAGCATTGAAAACGGACCCAGAAACAACAGCGGACTTGATGACGCCACTACTGGAGAAGGTGTGGAAAGAAGGCAAAGTACCCGAGGATTGGAAGAAAGGATACTTATTCAAACTACCAAAGAAAGGAGACTTAAGTCAATGCAAGAACTGGCGTGGAATTATGCTCCTGTCCATCCCAAGCAAAATACTAAGCCGCATCATCCTGGAGAGAATCAAACAAGCCCTCGAAGAGAAACTTCGACCGGAACAGGCTGGATTCAGGAGAAACAAGTCATGCATTGATCAGATCGTCACATTACGGATCATCATTGAACAAAGCTTGGAATGGCAGTCACCTCTCAATCTCAACTTCATCGACTTTGAAAAGGACTTCGACAGCGTCGATCGAGAGGTGATTTGGCAACTACTTCGCTACTACGGGGTGCCGCCGACAATTATACATCTCATCCAACAGTTGTATGACAACGCTGCATGCCAAGTAATCCACAACGGGAAGCTCACGGAATCCTTCGAAGTGAAGACAGGAGTAAGACAGGGTTGCCTACTATCGCCAATGATTTTCCTGATTGCAGTAGACTGGATAATGCGACAGACAGCGGGCAATGAGGAAACAAGCATAAAATGGACTCACACAAAAAACTTGGAGGATCTGGACTTCGCCGATGATAGATGTCTGATCTCCCACAAACTGGAAGATATGCAAGTGAAAAGCAACAAGTTGGCAGAAGAAGTATCCAGAGAAGATAGGACTTCAGGTGAACATAGAGAAAACGGAGGTGATGAAGATTCCTGGCCAACACCAACAGCCACAGCAACAACAACAGACAGCAATCAGCATAAATGGAAGGAACCTGAAAGAAACTACCTCTTTTACCTACTTGGGAAGCATTGTTTCAACTACAGGCGGAACTGAAGAGGATATCAAAGCAAGGATCGGGAAAGCAAGACAAGCTTTCACCACTCTCAAGTCTGTGTGGAGGTCAACAGCTTTCAGCATCAAAAATAAGATCCGGATTTTCAACTCCAATGTGAAGTCAGTACTACTATACGGATCAGAGACTTGCATTGCGCGTCACAAAGAGCATCTCCAACAAACTACAGACCTTCATTAACAGATGTCTTCGCTCAATACTCAAGATCAGATGGCCGGAAAGGATCAGCAACAAAGATCTCTGGGAGCGAACCAACCAGGAACCGATTGTGAAACAAATAGGCAGGAAGAAATGGAGATGGATTGGCCACACTCTGAGGAAACCAGCAAGTGACATCACTAGACAAGCCCTCGGGTGGAACCCGAAAGGGAAGCGACGAGTTGGTCGTCCAAGGGGGACCTGGAGGAGATCATGTGAAGAAGAATTGAAAGCGTATGGGCAGACTTGGAGCCAGGTGAAAACTCTAGCAGAGAACCGAACGCAATGGAGACGCATGGCTGAAGCCCTATGTTCCTCTAGGAACTAAAGGAAATAATAATAATAAATAATAATAATAATAGATTATATTCGTCATTTATTAGGACGTTGTGAGACAGTAAGTTACATAATTTAAAGAACTTTATAAAGTTACAACACGTCGAAGTTGTCAAACGGAGAAATCACTGTACTCTGAATTCTGACTTATCAAATTAAAGAATCTGGGTAACACAGGTAACACCATCGTTTCATAGATTATCTAATTTCCTTTATTACTTATAAAAGTGTCTGTAAGCACTACAGATTAACTGACTTCCAACTTCTGATGAAAGTTCAAACGTCTGTTAAGTAGCCAGTACAATAAAAGTACAAAATACTTCTATTATGCATAATTCTGCAACTTTAAAATTATTTCAGGGCTTTTACAGTTTATTTTCATATTATCTGTAAGGAAATGATACAGAACGATAGAAAATGTAATAAAATTATTTCGTAGCTTTTTAACGTATTTTGGAATTCTTCCTATATTAAAAATAGAGTCAGACTGAAAATTAAATTGAGACGACAAAATTATAGTTACTCTTTTGTTGTACATCAGTTTAATACTGACTAATTTTTCGCTTTGATTAACTGAGATGCCTCAAGGCAAAGTAGGAATACTAATTATGTCTTTTTTAGAAGCTGCCAGCATCCTGTTTGATACAGTAAAGCTTTTGATTGACATTTCGCGAAAATTAGCGAACGTCTAAAAATATTTATTCATCTCATTTATGTATTCACTCTAAATAGTGGAATGACTTAGAGACTATTGAAACTATTTTCAAAACACTTAGGATGCATCATATAAGATGTGGTTACACATGGAAATGTCATCCTACAGAATGAAAAACATCAGTGCGCAGGTGATGTTTCCAAAATGCAAACAAAAGTAATTGTTTACAGGATTTCATCATGAGCTGACATTGGTTAGAGAACCATTGGAAAACCCGGGAGGAATGGACAGGTGTTTCGTCCTAGTTTAAGACTCTTCAAAGTGCGCACTCACCGGGTAATAATTGTTATTATTACATTTAAAACGAAATGTTGATTCCAGATCTTGGTCTTCAGTAATAACTAAAAAATGAGACCTCATTATGATATCACCTTTATTTGATTTGCCTAAGAACGGTAAATTGTGTTCACGACATTATACAATATGTAAAAATGTTTCACTTTACGATAAATATGATCAACTAACTAATATGGAATATCATACATGTGGTTCTTTTGATTAGTTTGAACAGTGTAAAAACTCATATATTTACACACCACACAAAAGACGAAGATATTTATACATACCTTTCCTATCAATATTTCATGTAAGCCCAGAAGTACATTTAGTCTCTCACCCAAGACACTGTAAAGAGTACTGCTCTTCAGTAACATGTTTGACTGGAAATTTTCTTGTATAATTAAGTCATTTTTGAGCAGAATCCCATAGAAATGTAAGTCGTTTAGGTTCAGCGAAAGATCAAAATCACCTAACTGGTAGATGAAAAAAAATTAATTTAAAAACGTCTTAAATAAATATAAAAACATTACAATTAAATCCTGACAAATATTTCCACTAACTTTCCAAAAAAGACAAACACATGACACAAAAATTTCAGTTAGTTTTGAGGAAAAAATAATTACTCAGCGTTCCAGAAGGTAAAAGGGTTTACGAGTGTTTCGGTTGTTTGTGGTCTTACATATGAAGTATGCAAAATTGTCTGGCTAAAACAGCCTATTCTAAGAATTGTATAATCACGTGTGTTAGTAAGAAATTCATTCAACTTAAGACATCACTATAAAATTGAGCGGCGAAATTTCTACTTAAATACATATTCATGAGATGCTCCGACGTAATAGCATCATTAACAATTTCAACATAAGTGAAGTGTTCTCATTATGTGAGGTGTCTATTGCTGTCACTAATATCATAATAATCCAGACAGGCACTGTATGCACGTATGCACACTGCTGGTGATGGAAGACATTCTGACGTGAATACTTAGGTTTAACCACAAGCTGACGTCACTTAGGAAATCACTGGAAAACCAGGGAGTACTGGAAAACTGTTTCGTCTTAGTTAGGAACTCTTCATCAGTAGGCACCCGCTGGTGTTTTAAGCCTGGACCCTCAGGTTTTAAGGCGACGTCAAAGACCATTCATCCACTGGACCTCAATCCAGTGGTCTGTGAATTTCAAATTCTACCAGTTCGCCAAAAAATAAATTTAGATAAGGATCTAAAGAGAATTAGAATGTTTTAACACTTGTGTTGCTTAGATAACTGAAAATTTCAAGAAACTAATAAAATGACCTCTGCACAATACGGATTATTATGGTAACATTACTCAGCAGAAAATAATTTGTAGGCTTAAAATAGAGATCAGAACTAAGAGCATTCTCTTCAAAGAAATATTTTGTTTTGGTAGATACTTCATAAGGTTTATATAACACCTGGATGTTCACAAATTTTATTCCCTTTTTTCTCACTGTTCTAAGACTATTTTCAATGAACGAATGATAAACAAACTTGTTCTCCTCACCCACTGATTATAATTAAAATTTTGATAACTAAGTAGCAACGTGCCCCATTACTTACAGTTCTCGTATTTTCCGTTATCGCAATACTTATTTATTACAGCAGTTATGAACCACTTTCTAATGCAAAAGACTCTTAGCCATGTTTCCGAAATCGCTATGATTTCCTGAATCTCCTTACCTAATATTCTTTAAAAACTGCTGGTGTCATAAATAAAAACTCATTGACATATTGGACAAAAACGGGTACATTTTTGTTGCTGTTATTGTTTTCAGATTGTTGGAGGCAATTTTGAAGGAACACATATCCCTCCTGAAATTCGAACCTGTGTCAGACAGAGCTTCAGCCAGAGACGTTACCACTGAGCTATTCTATCTAATAACAACAATTCAGAAGTTACTGTGAGGTCAAGCCACCTAGCATGGTAACGACATTGAAAACTTGACTGAGTGAATCCAGGGTGAACCAAAAGAAGGAGTGGAAACTTGACACTAGTTACCACCTAGTGTCCAGTCAAAATTTTTTCATTGTATTACTTATCCAATGTAGCAACTATTAGTGCTGTTCTCACATATTTATTCAGTGCATCAGGAAATAATATTTAATATGAATAGATTCATAAGCATGCCGTCACATTGTTTATTTTGCTGAATGCATACATGGTATGAGAATTGATACTTTTATTACAAATCTTACACTATCTTATATTTAACATAAAAGATACAATGCCATTTATGGAATCTTCAAAAGATTCAGGCATCTTTACTTATGTTACACTAAGGATATTTCACAAGAATCTTTTTATTGCTTGGCATGATTTTTATTTTAAGGTAGCAAGTGAATTGCATATTCGAAATTTCCTCCAACTTTGTTGAAAACTGCGAAACTGAAGCTTTCAACCCTCTCAGGGAAAATTATCACTAGAGTTTTAATAAGAAATTTTGTGTAGGTTATACATATCTAAATTAGAATTTTTTTCTAATTCAATTTTGATTCTCCCGACAATTTATTGGACTGAAATGTTCGGCCTCTGTTGATATGCTGGCTCTCGGTACGGATGCTTTGACGATTTCGAGTAATGAATTTGAAGTATTTTGGTGGATGGCGGCTAGTACTGGAATCCAAACTGGGCATTTCGTCCCATTTGGAACTCATCATCTGGATGTGTCTGCATTCCCGATGATGGGTCCCAAGTGGGACGAAATGAACATTTGGATACCCTAGCTAATTACCACCCACCAAATCACTTCAAATTTAAATTAGTCCCCTTGTTTTTCTTTCAAATAATTGTTGTGCATACTAGATTCCTCTGTATTTCATATTCAACAGGAAAACTGTTATACTTAATGCAAATAAGCACTAGGCAATTTTGTACAAATCCAAATTGTGATGCATATGTTTTAATAACAACACATTTTTCTGGTCTTATTTAACAAAGAATAATGACAGTAATCATTCAAGTATTTCAAATTGGATGGTTTATTTCTATTATGTTGAAGTTTATCAGTTTATTTTTATTTTGCATTTCCTTTATATATAAACACACAACAAAAGAGTTGGTATGTTTACAGATAACTGCACACTTCACTTGAAAAAGGTGAAGTAAAATCTGTTTGTTTTACAAGCGAAGAAGTGAGACATTCTGTATTTTAGGTAGCTCACTGATTAATCTTATTGTTTTGAAATAGATGTTTGTGAATTATCTTGATTTGTTTGTTATAAAAATAGGGTATGCATAAGAAGAAAATATTCAACAGTGTTATGCTTAACTAAGCATTCAGTGTTCAATTTATTTTGTTTATTTTTTTATATTTTGTAAACAAGTAATAAACAGATTGTTTGTATAAAAAAATAAGTGTTTTTAGTATAAGTTGAAAAATTGGTGATAAGGTTAATACAAATACAATAGAATTATTGAAAAGATAATTTACCAGGATATTTCTGCATTCTTTATTTAACGTTCCACTTCGCATGAATATTAACTGATATTTTAATAAGCTCAATTCGTTCCAACAATGCTTATACATTTTGGTCTCCAATTCTTCTAATGCCTTATTCAGATTATCGTATTCATTTGGTATTTCGGCGTTTTCAGTTTCAGGGAGTTCTAAATATAATTACAGGAATTGAAGATTATCTTAAAAGATCTATACGTTTAAATGCATATTGTAATGGATAGAAAAGGGCGAGACTTTATGTAAATAAAACTGATATTAATTCATAATTGTATGATGATTTTTACACTTCTGAAGTTTCAGAGAAGTTAGAAATCTATGGAATGAAATAAAAAGACAAATCTGAAAGTATAAAGATCGCTAAATGTTGATAGGATTCAAGGTTTTCATATTCCGCATCTTATCCAAAATATATCGTTCGTAAATGGAAAATGTTGTCAGTATTGCTTCAAAAATCTCTATTTAATCAGTGCTTATGCATCGAAGTTGACATCAGGTCATTCTGATAAAGAACTAACCCAATCACTGCTTGAGGTTGTAATAACTGCAGATTTTTATTTCTTTTAAAGTTACCTCCATTAAAAATCCAAACAAATATTTTCTTTCACAGAGTAGAGTTTCTCTGCAATATTCTTTGTCAACTCAGTGACACATGATTTCAAGGAGTCAATCTGAATGAGAGCATGAAGCCTAAGAGTACTTCCGTTTGGGTGTACTCGGGAATGACGTAACGATTTATAGCAGGTTCTCGGGTGTCGGGCTGTTTCGATATAATCATAGATAACAGAAAAAGACGTCTTCGCTTCACTGGACCTTGGACTATGCTTCAGATACTCATTGAGGATCTTCAACGCAAAATGGTTCTCAGAGGATTTCAGTAATTTCCTAATTCTCCTTTACGCATTTAGACAAAACAGTAGAAAAAACAACAACTTCGTCAAACTTTCGATGAATTTTAACCTCTAAATTCTCCCCATCCGCTACACCCAAATCTGATTAACTAAAATAACCACTTGAATGATAAAATATTGGTGTAAAAAAATATATTAGTGAACAGCCGATGATGAGGAACTAATTGAAAGGGGATTTATTTCTTCACTCAATCTGTTGTTTTCTCGAAATGTGTAACTGTGAATTAGGAAATTAGTGAAATCCTCTGAGAACCGTTTTGCGTTGAAGACCCTTAGTGAGTATCTGAAGTATAGCGCAAGGCTCAGGGAAGCGAAGACGTCATTACATGTTATCCGTGATTGTATCGAAGCAGACCGCTACCCAAAAACCTGCGACAAATCGTTACGTCGTTTCGGAGTACGATCATACGCAAAAATATTTTTGAACGAAGTCTATGTGCTACAGTGGCCATCTACTTATAAGATGGTATTGAAAACGTTTTGATGAAACTGACTCCCAGTGACTCGAGATGACCTCCAAATAAAAATTACAAACCGAGCTATCGAGTGAAACGCAACTGGGAAACGACAGTCTGAACGTCAAAGGGTGACAAGTAGATGAAATTGTAAAGAGGAAGTGAAAGTTTGTGGCCATTCGTTGAAGATGTAAGTTTTTGAGAAACAGAAGGGTTCTTAGAACTCAATATTAGTAAAATTATGTATTTTATTTATATTTTTGAGAATAGGATATATATAAAATGAGAAGTGGTAATAGTAGACTGCTTTGAAATCCATGTTACCAGTCTGTGATATGTAATGATGGAATGATAACCGTGCCTTCATCTTAATTATTGCTTTGGTCTTTTCGTTAAGAATTTATTTGAAGATGTAAAAGCTTAAAAGGTGACAAATCAAAATAGCTACCGATTGGTTACGGAATAACAGAAGATTACGACAAAGTTAGCAACATCAAAAAATTCAGTTTTAACCTTTATAAGTACTAACTGTACTCGTTAATTAATTATGCCACTTCATTTATTATGACGATAATAGTGGTAGATGTCTTGTGACTATGTTTCCAAACATCATTAAGAGTTCAGAACAAATAAACAGAGAATAATAGTTATTAGATTAAAAGTTCCTAATTATTTGCAGGGTATCACACTAAATGTTGAAAATATCAAATAAGTCAAATAATACGAAAATTTCTTAATCATCTGTTTGCAATACCGGTGGTTAGAGTTACTGTTCATCAAAAACATACTACTTTCTCATATTTTCAGTAATACTGTCTGCATTAAGTTGGTTTTCACAGCCGGTATATCTAACATTTTCCATCTTTTAGCTTAGGTGACTTTACACTCCATGACTGCACTGAAAACTCAAGAACCAGAGAAGTTTAACTATATTTTACAATCAAGTAACATGCCTTTCTGCCTTTATAGCGACGTGACAACTGTCGTAAATCGAGGAAAACTTCAGTAAACTATAACTTCAATGCAATAAATTTAGTTTGTTTGCAAAATACCTGTTCTTCAGCTCAAAAAAAAATAATGCATCTGTAGTCAAGTTGTTCTAGAAATTCATAACATAACAGGTATGAAAAAATATATGAAAACCACAAAATGATTCGGATTAATCTTTGCGTAATGAATTTATTTACTGTTTCAAAAGTTGTCTTGTTTGATTCCAATTCTATCTCAGTACTTAAATTAGTACATAACTACCCCAGGGACTTGCTAGCTAACGGAGCCAAAAATAATGCTTTCACATAGGTTGGTGTTCTTTAACTCTACGATAACTGCATGCAAATTTTACAACATCCTCTTTTTGAATAACTGTAGTATCGTGTAAGCCACATAGAATATTTCTATGAGATGCAGAAGAATTCTAAATTTTGACTTTCATTTATGAAACCCAGCTGACATGAACACAGAGGTGCTTTGTAAGGAGTTCGTTCAATACAATCAATAAAGACACAATCACATAATGAAAACTTTGGCAGATTTCTACAAACTTATTTAATATTAAGCATCATTCCTCGGGCTTCCACTTTTTAGTCATGAACTCATGGGGATATTAGCAAAAGTATCAATCGAAAATTCTTCATTAGTTATTTCAAAAACAGTTTAGGCATTGAGTGGGTTTATAGTAATCTCTAACCTGTAAATAATCTTCCTGTATCGACTTCGCACATTTGACATCGAGCTAATTCAGCCCGGCATTGTAACCAAAGCTTAACAATTTCTTTTTCGCTCGGTGTCTTCTCTGTCAAACTTTCTGGACGACATGATATTTTATAAATTTCAGCATTATCTAAGAAAAACAGATGAAATAACATAACCTAAATGACACATCAGAAGATACAGAATCTCAAGAAACCACTAAAAATTATATCAATAGAAACTAATAATAATTTTTGGTTTACTAAATTTAGACTATAATAAAGGCAGCTTGTTTATTTGAAGTACATTTATCAAAATGTCCATTCTTCGGCCTAACATAATAGTCAATTCACTGAAACAAATTAAAACTTAACCGTATTTTAAAAGGTTTATTAATATCATTACGTAATTAAAAGAAGGCCTATCAGTAGATAGGTGATTTTAAAAATAGAGAGGGAACGTTTTTTATATCTGTCTGAGGACATCATATTTATTGATTATGATTTTACTTACAAATATATATATATCCAAGTATTGGTTTTGTAAGTATATTTTTGTGTGATTGGTTGGAGGATTTCATCGTTAGCTGATATCATTTAGAGAGCCATTGGAAAACCTGGGAGTATTGGACAGCTGTTTCGTCCTAGTTTGGGACTGTTCTTCAGCACTCACCCACCGAAGCTCGAACTCAGGACTTCCCTATTAAAAAGCGAGCTGGTAGACCATTGAGCCTGATGCTTACTAGGGAATGGCCCTATTCAGGCAGTGCCCAGGGGTTCCAATGGGAAGCCGTGAACAGTAGTGCGCAGCAGGTTGAAGGTGAGGTAGTAACTCGTCAAAGAAGATATTGCGAAGTGGTCGCGCTATGTCATGAATTTGCAGAAGTTAGAATTCATGGGTTGACCACTGGATCAGGTCGCAGTGGCTTAATGGTCTACGAGCTCGCCCTGAGACCAGGATGTCCTGGATTCGAACCCCGGTGTTGGGCGCGTATTGATGAAAAGTACCAAAATGGGACGAAACAGCTTTCCAGTACTCCCTGGTTTTCAAATGGTTCTCTAACTGATATCAGCTCATGATGAAATCCTCCAACCAATCAAATATATATATATATACTCCTACCTGGCTAATGTCTAGCAGGTTTCATTACATCAAAATCGCTCAATTGTTTTTCTAGAAAAGCAGTCCATTTTTATTCCTACACCTTAGCGACTAAGTTTCCTTTGAATAAACTTTAAATCTTAATCTATAGTTAATATAAATTCTGAAAGACAATGTTCATACAATGCCAGTATTTCTGACATCCCGTCTTGAATTATATCCATCAGCCTGAAATTTGTGTCCACGTTTCACAAGTGACTCATCTCAAAATCGTTAAGTTGACATTCTATCTCTAAACTCTTAGTACAGGGAACTTCTTATTCAAATAACTTTATGTTATCACTAAGTGAACGACGGATAGTTTTGTTCTCCTTCATCTGTTTTTACAAACGAAGAGAAACGTACATTCAATTACACTAACACCTCAAATTAGGTGTGTAAACCTATGTACCCACAAAAAATATTATTGGTCAGTAAAGAAATACGGACTGGTCAATGCTGTCAGCTTTATATAACTAAAACACTTCGATTTAAACACAAAAGATGACACATTGTTAAACGTATTGGGTTGAAATAAGTACAGTATATTGAAGTTCACTTTCAAAACACGTAAGAATTGAAAGAATATATGTTTTATTGCTAATATTAGATGGTTGGAGACAATCGGCAGGGTGCCTAGGTTTCGTGTTCGTTGGCACTTATCAGTAAGGCGCATCTACAACCTTGGAGGAACTCATGTCCCTTCTGAGATTCGAACCCACGTCACCTAGTGCTGCAGTCAGTGACGTTACCACTGAGCTATTAGGGCTCGCGATCGACCTCCTGTAGGATTGTATCGGATACTTTGATTGGACACTAGTTACTACTGTCCAGTCAATGTATATATTGCATTCCTTGTTCACTGTCTGCTAAAGTACTTTAGAAGTGAAAAGTCTATACCTCAGGATACAAACAATTATTTTTTATAAGCTGTTGATGAAAAAACCTAAAATCCTTTATAGTTCAGCAGATGTATTCACTATCTCTCATCATTTCTGAAGGCCGTTAATAAGTTTAATCTAATTGGCACCTCTTCCGTACACTTTTGAACACTGTAATTTTATTATAGTCCTTTCCTCCACTTTTATAACAAGTTGAACCATTGCCCTCTGATGCGAAGTTTCACAGTGGTAAAATCACTTTGAATCTGATACAAAAATGCATCATTTCCAACAATGGAAACCGTTTTCTAACGAGTTTTCTTCTCTATAGGAAAATGTGAATAATTACAAGCATTAGAAGTATATGAGGTAGATGATTATGAAATGAGCCTTTTATATTCATGTCAAAATCAGGTTGGAACATGTTTAATCAAAGTAGTGTTGATCATGAAGTATATGAGTGAATTATTTTATTAAACGACTAAAATTAGCCAGTTAGGTATGTATTATTTTAATCAGAAACTACTGACTACCAGCTTCAAACACTCTCAATCGCAGATACTGTTTAATATTGTTTTATTCAATTGCACATTTCAAATGATCTAAATTAAGATTAGGTTACAAAAAGGCTATAACTACCAATACATTTCACTTCCTTTTGGTACACTGGCAACTGACTAATACTGAAAACTGAATTGTTTTCATTACCAACATTTAACACCTTGGTTATCACTTTAATTAAAATATTTTGAATTGACATTATATCGATAGTAGTAAAAAGTAAAACAGTGAGGTTATGTAACATCTTTTGAATAAAATGCCTTTCCCTACATATAATTCATAATAAACGTCCATCATGAAGCATAATAAAATATGAGGTGGTCAGGCCGAATATGTATTTCACATAAAAAAGTGAAGTTAGATTTGAAGTCAAAAGTAAATCTGTGAATCAGAAAATCCTAACACTGCAAGTTCATAGTTTATTGTTTATCTTTTTTAAATTCCTTTACGTTTCCAGTGGAACAAAGGACTTCAAGCTAGAGCTATGAAGTTTCGGTAACAGCGATGTTTAATTTTACGGGATGGGGTTGCTAGCCTCATGCCCAACCTTTACTCTTTACCAGTCTTACTACTGGCTTAGCTAGGTAAAGTACTGTTTCGGCGGCCGGGGATCGAACCCCAGACCATATGTATGGTTGCCGAGCATTCTACCACTGTGCCACCGACACACAAGTTCATAATAGTAACCAACTATATTTTAACTATCTATTTTCATTAGATTTCAAACATAAAAGATTATGAGTTTATTAGCCTGTGTACTTGAAAACCTTGAAATGATAAAACTGCGAAGTTTAAACAACAAGGTTATGAGTAATATCACTATTATTATAACGTCACTGGTTTCAAATGTCCTGTTTTCAGTTCTTATATAGAGAACATGAATACACCTATTACTGTAATAACATATGATTAATGAATAGGAAATATCTGAACTGGACTCCACTGTTATATTACAGGAAAACAGCTCTCTAAGCATGTATGAAATACAACAGTGATAAAGGCTGTTTAATAGACACATGAAAACTATGTATTCGTCACCAGGCATTTTCTGATATAATAAACAGTTGACGCTGAAGAATGAAAATGCCATGATACTCTATTCATCATTATCCCTGGTAGCTATAACATTCGCCTTAAGTAAATATAATGGTGACTATGCCTTTATGTCCCAAATAAAGTGTGACGCCATTCTACAAAAACTGAGTAGTTCATAATTCATGAAAAAAATAGACTAATTTTGAAATACTCCACAATCTTCAAATGCAATCACTCACCGAGAGGATTAAATAATTTCTGAATAGAATGCAATGTATAAGCCATAAGCAGTGATCCTGAACGTGCTTGATGTCTTGACCTCAACAATTTAGCAAGTAGAAAACTTGCTTCACAACATAATGAAAGAAATGGATAATCCATACTTTGAAAACCTGAAAATGTAAAACGTTTATTAGTTGGAAAGATAAGCACTATTCTCTTCATCCAAGGCTTACACGGTTTCCTAAGAGAGCTCAGTTTCAATAGTTAACATATATTAAAAAAAAGAGAAAGGATGATTTAATTGAATGCAATCTTGGGTATTGTGTAATCCGCGTAAACTAGCACAATAGGGAAATAAATTATGCTCTTCATTGATTTTATTAGTGACTATATGGATAACGCAATATTCGATTCAGCATGACTACCTACATAAATATCTATCTAGAAGATTATTATAGTATTCATATTCCAAAATAACTGAGACGAGGAATGAATTTACAAGAGGTACTTTATTCATAGGAGCAGAACTATTTATGTATACCTTGATATAAGGCTGAATAACTTTTCTAATAAAAGAAGGATTGATTCTAAGTCTCTGCAACATCGAGAATGTTGTATCCAGAGTCGTTATTTTGTGCCACTTTGTGATGCAACTTCACGTCAACTGCGTTGTATAAATAGCGTTCTGCAGCTCACCGAAATCTATCCCCCATGAGAAACAACTATGAAAACTTTCCGTAATTCCCATTCTATTTGCCTATGCAGGCAAACCATACCGGTTTTGATATGTTACTAACTTCTGTATATATGAATGGCGTTATACACACAAAATGTTTTACTTCATTGGTTCATCGGAAGAATGCTGGCCAACTACGCAAGTGATCCGATCTGATTCCCAACCAACACAACCCTAAACCTCACCTAGTTTACTAGCTGACAATAAATCCAGAAAAGAGGTTAAGTTGAGCATAAGGCTATCAATTCTACCCCGTATGAACACAACAACCGATACTAAAACTTCAGAAGATTGAAGACGCATGTTCCGTCCATAAAGTAAGGGAATGGAAAGAAAAGAGAGTCCTAAATCACTCACACCTCAAACCTCCCTATACTTCTTAAGCCAGTAGCCTATATTATACAAAAAACAAAACATAGCCCCTGCAACAAAATATATAAATTAACAAAATTGAATGACTAAATGAGGTTATTAGGCACACAATTAAAACAGTAGACGATAACTTGAAAATTAGGACAAATTCTTACAGTGATCATGAATACTGTTAGTTAGTATTTGACAAATGTCAGATGCACAGATGAAAAGTAACTCTTTAAGATATGACTGAAAATTGGAATGATTTTTTTGATCGTTAACCTCTGTTTCGTAGATAAAATGAACAAACTTTTGAGGGGCTAGCAAACAAAACAAAATATAAATAAAAAATAATATACAATCTATGTAGGCCTGTTTAGATATTTACATAAATGATAATAAATAATATTGACTTTTTGTCTGGTTGTCGTCCTCTGACAAAATCAATAGGAAATTTAGACAATTATCATTCAAAACACCAAAGTTTCTGCAGACGTTTAAAGTATGCAGGAAACCCCTAAACTATACTTTCTGTCTGAGAGTATGCATCTGTAGTGTGCGACTGTGAGCATCAAGGGATTTTATACTCATCTGTATAAATATGTAAGGAGTCAAAAGCTTTTCTATCACCATACGACAAAGGGAAATAAACAACTAGAATGCCAGGGAAGCAAATGTGCTGACACTGTTTAAACTCATAAATCTGAGTATAAGTAGATAACTGCTCAGTTAAAGTAACAGTACAGCTCACATTGGTGACACATACAGCTATAAACTTTATTTTGAGATAAGAAAACAAGTTTTCCAAATGTAAAAAGACTACACAAACTGATAACGCAATGCGTGATCTGTCGTCGGCCTACCTATCCGTGGATTCATAAATTTATTTGGTTAATAATAAAATTGCTCTAATACGAAATCTGGATTGTTATCATTATTAATACGTCAGTACTCTATCACTGCTTTGCCTAATCAACTTGACCTGTTCGTATCTAATTAGTCTTATGTAATTACTAACAGATTCAATCACCTGTTCACCTCAATTATCCCTATCTTTTAAACCGATAATTGTGTAATAGCTGGTTGCTAACTTTTGCAAACTGACTGTATGTTTGATTATATTAGACAGGTTATTCTTTTTCTGCGATCTTGATATCCGTGATTAGTTTTCACACCTTGGAAATAACATTTTTTATTGATGAACTACAGCATCACCTTTTATTGAAAATAATTTTGATATATTATCCAAAAAGCACATATATATATATTGGTAGCGAGCCGTTAATGAGGAAAAGTGGTTAGGAACATATCTGTTGTTTTTGAAATGTGGAAACGAGAAATTCCAACTTATTGCAATCTAGCTTACTGGAGTTCCCAGTTGTTCGAAATCCCATACGTTATTGAAAGAAAGTGAAGAGAGTAAAGCAATTCACTTTCGTTAGTCAGCTTTTGATCAGTGGCATCTAATAACTTATTCCTCAAAGTGCTTAAATGCAAATTAAATTTTTGAATACTTCTTTAACAGTTCACAAGAAGAAACTTTTAATTCATTCACTCTTTGCTTTTTGTATCTTTTAGTGGAGTTACTTCATCGTATTTGATACGGTATTTTCTCTATCTGACGCGTTCAAAAATTGCCGAACCGCCGATGGAAAGGCATATATATATAAACTCGTGGAAATTAGTATGTGGTCACTGGAATACTACTGACACTTACAGGACACTTAATTGTAAAAACTGAGTTCATTTCATTGCTTTGTGAATAAAAAACAATAAAAATATCTGCATAGTAAAAAGTACTATCCATCTTACAATTATACTTACAGAATATGTATTTTCAGGATTTGGTTTGTAAGGATTAAATTTGTTTTTACGAGTTTGACCACGGATTGATATCTAACAGAGAGGCAGTGAACACAGGGATTACTAGACAGTTGTTCTATCCTGGTTTGGAAATCATCGGCAGTAAGCACCCACCACCAGAGTTCGATCCCAGGACCTTCCGGATACAAAGCAAGCTCGTATGCAATTCAGCCTCTAGGACGCGATTCAGTGGCCAGTCCATGAATTCTAACTCCTACCAATTCGTGATTTAGCGCTACCGCCAACCAATGTCATCGGTGGGACATCCATCCTCACAATTGACTGGGTGGACCTCACTGGTCACGACTTCTCACTAGAACTTCAGGAAACTCCGTCCTGTAGCAAGTCACTAGCGAGCATCAGATTAATGAGCCATTGAATCGGGTCCCAGAGGCTGAATGGTATACGAGCTTGCCTTTTAACCAGAAGGTCCTGGGTTCGAACACTGGTGGTGGGTGCCTACTGCCGATAATTCCCAAACTAGGATGAAACAGCTGTCCAGTACTCCTCGGTTGTTAATGGTTCTCTAACAGATATCAATCTGTGATCATACTCGTAAAAACAAAGAGCATATAGTGCAAAGACATACCAGAAAAAGTTTTACCTGGAGTCTTGGTTTTTCGACCACTTGATTTTGCCATTTGATTGCCAACAGGATTGTACGGTAGATTTTGAATTCTGCAATAATACAGTACATTAATTATTTTATAAATGACAAACAATTTGAATCAAAACCTCCTTATGTGAACAGGATGTTGATGTATCCCTCTGAGAAACTAAGTTTTCCTTGCAAGACCAAATATCTTCGTTTTACATGGCTTAAGGTAACAAATGATATGGAGGTCCCCAATACTATGCATGGCTACTGCAAAGGCATCTAGCTGGGTATGAACTTCTCAAGAATATAGCTTTCTACTGTTACAACACAGGTACCGGCATATTCACCAGAAGATTAAATGATAGTCATTACGTAGAAATTTATTTCTGTATTTGATTCAAATTAATGCATACTGGTTATTTTTACTGTAAGGATTTTGGCCAACTTGTTTTCAGAAAAATAATATCTTTTTGTTTTTTTACATCAGCAAATAAAATAGTTGGTAAAATCTGTCACAAAATAATTAAAATGCAAACTAGACTTGAAAATTGAATGTTTTTTTGCACTCTAGAACATTTAATGTTTGCAGCTGTCTCACAGTAATTGTAACATGTTCACTTCTTGATTTTTCTTAATTTTTAATTTCACTAGAATTCTTTTTGGACTTATCTATTTTTATAGTTTATAGAGGCACTAACAAAAATTTACTTGAATTCTCCTCCATCAAAATGGCCTGATAAAATGATTGTCTAGACAAATATTTACTGGTAATTAACAACAATTTTTATTAGACTTTTTATGCATGCATGTTCTGTGACAGAGTTAACCAGAATAGATAATAAAATTTCATTCCCTATGACTGTTTAAAAAATTTACTAGGAAATTCAATGAAATATTCATAAGATGTTGTCAGTCTGAGATAACTAAAGTTTCGAAATATTTTGAGAACAGATTTGTAAATTCTTCACTTTCTAAAGTTTTAAAAATTGCAAGCTAAGGGTAATCTACGTGTTTTTTACAAGGAGTAACGATGACACTACTCAACTTTGATTAAAATCATGTCATAATAATCACTTTTGTTTATGACTTATATATAGAAGTTGGGTCTTCTAGACGGGTCAGAAACTTGGCCAGCATGTCACGGAAAGCATTTCCAACAGCCTGTTGCAGACTTTCATCAACAGCTGCCACCTTCGCTGGCTCCATACTGAAGATCAAATGGCCAAAAAGAATAAGCAACAAGAAATTATGGGAACAAACCAACAGCAAGAGCCGATCGCTCAACAAATATGCAGGAGAAAGTGAAGATGGATTGGGCATAGATTGAGGAGGCAACCGAATGACATTGACGCAATGCAGTCCTTCGAGTGGAATCCAAACGGGAAGCGACGAGTGGGTCGTCCTAGGGTGATATGGAGGAGATCGTGTGAGGAAGAGATGCGAGAGTTCGGTCAATCGTGGACCCAGTTGAAGAGAACGGCAGAAAACAGAACAAAGTGAAGATGTGTTGTCGAAGCCTTATGTTCCACTCGGAACTCAAGGGAATGATAATAATAATAAAATAATTATTTATGACACTGTGATAGAATGATGCATATACTGTCTCACACTTCTTGACAAGACAGAATAATAAACGAAGGAGGATAAAGCGGTACGAAGTATCTTTTATCACTTTTGTATGCTTTTCGTGTTCAATGAAAGCTTTAATTCTAGAAAACAATATACTTTTATTGGTTATATTTGTAGAGTATTTATCTGTAGTCTAGTGGTCTACAACCACTTTAAAAGTAATATCTCTTACTCATTTGGAATTTTCTTCGGTAAATATGATATAGATTGAGCGATTTCATAACAGACTAGTGCACGAACCAGTTGAACTTCACAAAACAACAGTGCACCCCATTTCTCACTTATCTCATTCGACAATCTGTGTGTCAACAGAATATTTAAATTCTGTAAAAACAAAAATAGACAGAAAATAGCAATCATTGAACATGGGTTAAATGCACTAATCGAATTATAAGACAAAATAATTCATAGAGGTGGAAATGAAACTTAACTGTTCACTTAAAATCGATAACTTAGTTAATCTACAATAAAAGGCATGTAGAAAATGAAAAATGGAGTGTTTTGTATATGTTGAGTTAGAGAAAAGATACGTTGAGTATTCAGGATTCAGTCGATTTCAGTGTAGATTTCTTCATAAACTGATATCAGTTTGAAAAATATTTTTGTTGGTTTTCAATAGTCCTTTAACTGATATAGGGCTTTTAATGAAATCCACCTTGAAAAGTCGATTTCCTAAACACTTTATAAAAGCTAATATCTGTATGGTAGCTTTATGTGAAAAATGATGACAGCTGAAAAGAAACATTTTTCTCAACGTCTACATTTCAAATGAAATACTCCTAGTGAATTCTTACTACAATATTCCATGAAAACAATAAGTTGAAAATTTCTTCTTAAATGCCGCCTTATATAAACTAAAGGTTTCGAAACACTTCACCTGACTTCAGCTCACGATCTGAAAATATTCTCACGCAAAATATAGAAAGGATGAACTTAAATCTAATGAGAGTTGCGCTTAAAGCATTTGAAAGAGACAAAGAAACCTGTGTGTTAAAGGTAGATTTCATTGTAATAAGTCGCAAATGAGAATAGATTACAAAAAACCCGACTGTTACTTAAGACTTTACGTCAGAAAAATAACTAACGAAAACAGAACTCTGTGTTGAAGCGAATTTATTCATTTTGGAAAATACTATCCCAATATAGATAATAGTCATTTATGGTGTAAAAAATGCATTGTTCATTGTTACTAAGATCATTCTAAAAACAAGTTTAAAATATCTTTGTTCCATCCTAAAAATTGGTATGGATAAAGAAATGTATTGAAACATTTAATCTACTATTGGAATTATTGGATAATGAACACCTGTTCATATATATACAAATATATTTTCTTGGAATTTCTTATAATTACCTAGGTAACTATAGAATAAAGTAAAAATATGCCTTTATATAATCATGTGAAATATGATAGCACACTATGGGACAGCAGTGTCATACAATATGTTAAACATATGCAATGCTTTGTGACAACAATTGTTTCAGTCAATTATCTCCAGTAAATTACAAAACACCTAAATGATATGTGATAAAATTAGGCCTGCATAGAATTACTGAACACCACTAGGTTTAAATTTTTGTGGAAAATATCCATCATTCATAGGTACTTTGTTTGTTTTGTTTTGTCAAAAGCTTGATAATGAATTCATTCAAATAGGAGATAAAACCGACATACATTTTGGACTTATGAAGAAAACACATCCACCATACGTGTATGTAGGTATCCTAACCACTGAATTCATTGAACATGATCTATTGTGCATGGGTATTGCCTCTAGTAGTTATCTCAAAATAAACAGAAATGACTGATACGTATTATGAAATAGAATTGTTGGTAAATTAAACAGTGAATCTATTTTTCTTACGTCTAATTAAATTTCGAAAGCTTTTGTTGAAGGGTATCTGGAAAACTTAGCTTAATTATTGTTTTTAAAAGCTTGTATTTTTGATTAGACACTAATCAATAACTAGTGCAATGTGTCTAGTCCTATCTTTGGTGCAGACTGAATTCTATCAGTCGAATTTGCAATATCGACAACATGCTAGGTGGCTCGCCATCACGATGCACTGTGAATTGTTGGTAATAGATGGTTGGAGGCAATTGGCAGGACGCCTTGGACCTAGGTTTCGTGCTAATTGGCACTCATCAGCAAGGCGTATCTAATATCCCATACAGTCCTACAGGAGGTCAATCGTGAGTCTGAATAGCTCAGTGGTAACGTCACTGACTGCAGCACTTAGTGACGCGAGTTCGAATCTCAGAAGGGACATGAGTTCCTTCATGGTTGTAGATACGTCTTGCTGATGAGTGCCAACTAACACGAAACCTAGCCTTCCTGCAGATTACTTCCAACCATCTAGTACCAAACTTATATTTGATTATTATTGTTATTGTTTTAATCCATACATATTTGTTTGTCAGTGAGATGTACGACGGTCTGCCTAAATCACTGGGCTATTAGAATTGAAGTCAATTGAAACGCGTAAACTTTTCTAAATTTCTTTTTGTTTTAACCATGGAATTACATCAAAAGACCACTACGTGAACTCGCTGGCATGTCTAATTGGCTTTCAACAAAACATTGTGTAAATCATGAAAGAATTGAAGAAAACGTGTACAGAATTGGTTTTCTCTTCGTAAGCAACAAACCTACGTCGCATGATATACTTCAGATTATTACTTCACATGTAAATCTTGTATGAAGAGGAAATGCATTGTATACTAAATTATTGTTTGAAATAAAGATTTACTATAATATATTTTTCAGTGCCTCATTTGGCAGTCAACAGATTCATTTCTTTGATTTTTATTCACATATTTTCTTTTGTGTTTTAGCAGAAATAAAAAATGTTCGTTCAGTTTTTTTTATTGGTGATCAGGTGTAATAAAATGATTCCTCTGCGATCACTAAAGATAACAGGCTGTTTAATTTTTCTTTAACAATTGAACCCTTCACAAAAAATTGAAAAGCTTAAGATATCGGTGAATTTATTTTAAACAACCTTCTATCTAAACAAAATAATATCATGTGTTGGACGGAATGATAAACACGGCAGTTGAACTTCCTGAACCTTCTGGAAATAAAACCCTTGGTGTTATCTATAGAACAGTATGAAAATAATTGTTATATAAGGAGAAGAACTGTGAGTCATTGGTTCGGTGTTAAAATGCTCGCAGACCACAGATGAGGTTTGACAAGGAAGGCTGGGTGTGAAGCTAGCAATTTCACCGGTGAAAATAACAAGACCGCTACTGCAACTCCATAGTTCAAACTTGAATACTAATATTCCAGTCAAATCGTAGAAGAATGAAAAAAGTGATGAATTAGTGTTTATTTCAGATACATTATTGTACTACTAACTGTGAATAGAATCCACAATTATAAATTCTTCGATGGCTAGAAAAATATCCATTTGTAATAATTAACCATCTGGTTAAGGTGGCTAGCTCTAATTAGTTTTACAAAACAGATAGATTTCTGTATTATTAAAATATACACATTGAAAATTATCCTACAGCTATCATGCTTTGAAAAATTCAAAGTTTCACACGGAAATACCTGTATCTCTCAAATTAAAAAGTATGTAACTCACTTAGAAGAAAACTATTCGTTATTTAAAAAGAAACTCTATGTTAGCCAGTGAGAAAATAATTAATATATTTGATTTTAGTCATGAGGATCCCAATAACATTTTAGCTTAGTACTTTCATCTGCAAATCATTTTCTCAGATGCTAAACAACCGGGTTATGAAACGTTTCAATAACCAAAACAAAAGATTAATTATTTAAACTCCATATAAAGTATTATTCGTCTGAATAATCTCCAAGACGATAACTCAGTGAATGACATCAAAGGTGAGATGGAGAAATCAGTGTAATCAGCTGCGACTTCAGCTCTCATTTAGGCCATACGATAAAGTAACTTAGCTTAAACTATATTCATCCAAGGAGTTTTACGACATTCTTAAATGGAAAATTAATAAATCAAATTGACAAATCACAAAGTAATTGACAATTTACCCATTTCAAAGTGATCACTTTGTCATAGTTTCCTTTGGAAACCAAGATTACTCAGGCTATACCATATAATCTGCTTGACACCACAGATGGTAATCAAGAAACCAAGGGTAAATTCATAAGACTGTATACTACTGATTGATCGAAATAAGCAGTTGTATACACTCATATCAACCAGTAGTGTTCTGTGGGCCGATCAAAGTGATCTAAACGCCGGTCGGCTGTTTCACTCATCTGTGGTCAAGCCCATCAGCAACATGTTTGGTTCAACTTGGCTCAGAGAACCGAATAAGTTCGCATGGCGAATTAACTTGCAAGACTGTGAACTAACTTTCAAATTACGGACTAGATTTATCGTACTACCAGTTCAATCAAGTAGCTGGCCTGAATAAACTAGACGGTTTCAACCGATTCGATTATCCTAGCTGAGTGAACCCGGGTACTCCGCTTATGAGCTGCGTCTCAAACGAGTGAAACAGCCGTCCGGTGTTTAGATCACTCTTATCTAGCTAGAAGTCACTACTAGTTGGTGTGAGTGGTGTACAATTCAGTCAGTCAGTGGTATATGGTTAAATGTGAAGGCAGAATAATGACTACGTGTCATGTACAAGAAATTTGTCACAGTAAAGTATGCTGAACTGACAGAAAATTATAGTTTTTGGCAAAACAGAAATTGTGTAAGTTGCCATTAATTATTTTTTAGCAATTTTCCATGAATGTTTGATTTCAAGTGGAATTTTCACTTTCAAAATAAATTCCCTTCAAGTGTATTTTGAACCTCATTATCTTTAGAAAATTAGTCTTGCTGTCTTTAATTTACTACTGATAAAGTGTAATGACATTCGGAGTAGTAGTCAATCAAAAAATAGGTTTCCAGTGAATACAATGGTCAGCAATATTTTTGTTTATTGAAACACAACTTATAATAAATGGTCGAAAATTTATCAAACCCTTTTAGTTAATCACGCAATCTAACTTTTATTATTGTACTGATTTCGAATGCCAGTTGTAATTTGAACAGAACTTCCTGTGAAAACAAAACACTATGAAAAAATGAATATAGGATCTCTTTGCCCACCCCGCCTCGTCCTCCTTGTGCATTGTTTCTTATATAGGCTTCTAGTTGGAACACATAATTCATTTCAGTCAACACTATTACTCACAACAATCTCATTTTCAAAATTCCCTGATAATCATAGATATGTGAAGTAAATCTGCTCTGTTAATTATGAGTAAACAAAATTTTATTGAATAATAAATTATGTTTTAATTTTTATTTGCTATTTCATTCACTTAACTGATGTTAAATAGCTTTCTGAAAACAAAGAATTCAGGCTATAAGTTGGTTGATATTGTATTTTTTTTAAAAAGGAAGGGAATCTAAATATTTCATTTCAAAACAAAGTTCACTTACAACAATATATTTTAAAAAATGGTAAATAAAATTCAAGAATACATATTATTATATACATATTATTATTAGTAGTAAAAAGAGTCTTCATTGTTTAGGCGAAACAAAGTGGAAAAATGATTGGATAATCATGGCCGCAGATTCAAATGAACAATACACCTAGTAGTTATAGTAAAAATAAAGTCTTTTGTCTGACAAAGGTACCCTTTGTTTCATTTGCAACCTCACTGTGACATATTTTAGTGGGTGAATATTGACGCATAATGTTGCAGGTTTTGTTATCATTTGTTTTCTAGTTGTCAAATAAGTTGTAATGGACATATGGTTTGGACAATCCTCCCTGAACGAACTATTTACAATGTTTGTACTTATTTAGACATTGCAGTTAACTTTTTATATGTATATGTGTTTCCCCTAGATTGTGTATCATTAGTTTAACATTTGCCCGACAGGTGTTGATTTTCAATCTTTATTATTTGCCTTTGTTCTTGTTTAATCTTTATCTGTAATACTTCTCTTTGTTTTTGATGTGGTTGTGTTCTCTGAGCTGGATAGTTAATTTGCGGAGCTTTTATCATCTTACTAGGTGACATCTTCAGCGCATGCTTCAATTTCTTGAAGCTAGCTTTTAGATTTCTCCACGAGTTTATCAATCATCTCTCCCGGTGACCTTGGACGTGATTGGTTGTTTTTGTGTGTTTTCAGACCTTCTAGGCTACACGGCTAGCCTATGTTCGTGGATATCTAGCCGTCAAAAGACATGACATCCACTCCCTCATATCACTACATACAGACAACCATCGTCATCAATTCTACTGGGACAATGTTCATATATTAGACAGAGGAAACAACAAAAATGCTAGAGAATTTTTAGAAGCTTGGCATTCCAGTGAATCATCAATCAATAGACACATCGAGATTGACAAAATTTATCAACCGATAAGAAAGAAACCTCACACACAAAGGATCAAAGTTCAAGTCAAAGAAACAATCAGTTCCAATACAAGTAGCGTAGAAGGTGTGAAATCACACAAAAACAACCAATCACGTCCAAGGTCACCGGGAGAGATGATTGATAAACTCGTGGAGAAATCTAGCTCAGAGAACACAGCCACATCGAAATCATCCAGCTGAGCTACAAATCTTCTCCATCACTTCTCTTTTTGAATGTGTGTACATTGACAGTCTGTTGTTTTACAGCATGATTTTGTTTGGTTGAATGAAGGTTATTCTGACCCGAGAAGCGTTGGTGTGGGACTCTTGTGGACACAGCTCTCGATCACAGCTATTTGGGATTATTCTCTTGATTCTAAAGTACCTTTTACAGTTGAACTTCGGTGAACTAATTTTGTCTTACAATACGTATTATTATGTATTCAGAAATATACCTTGCCTGTATAACTGACTCAAGGCACTGTAGAGGTAAATTTGAGTTTTAATGTTATTATTGTTTCATATAACCACTAAAATATTGGAGAAAAATCATATTTTACCTGCCTTTGGGATGTTTCGTGATAGCACGTGTTTCAACTAAGTTTTTTCGGCTATACAGTAGAATGTAGAGATCAGTTTCTTGAAGTCAGACGATAATCGGATTAATTTGGTCGCTAGATGTTTCACAAGTATTTTAAATCAGTTGTACTTTTAAACTTCTACATTTCTGCTGTATACCAAGTTACTGTCAGTTCAAGTTTAAGGCAACTTAAATAGAGAATAAATGATATCCATAGTAAAATCACTTTGTTTATAAACGTTTCCAGAATAGAATAGAGCAGTTTCGCTCTGCGATCCTGGTGATGTCCAACTTCTAGTGTAAGAACTTCATCGATAAGGATATATCTTATAAAATGTAATTTTCATCTGATGTTCGCGAAAATGTTCGCGCGATAAATGAAACTCATCACTGTCATGAATGATTGAATGGTGCTAAGAAAAAGTGTGTTTTTTTCAAACATTTCATTCAGAGATAATACAGAATATCTAGACTTTACAATCCAAAGTCTACACATTTGAAAATATCTTACAATTACGCCAATGTATACTTATAAATTAAAATTCCCAATAAAATTCATTACTTCCGGTGAAGTAAGTTTTTTTCTCCTGTTTTATAGAATCAACTGCAAAATCTAATTAAATATTTGTTAGACTGAAAAGCTAACAAAAGACAATTTCCTTCTATTTTTGTAGGTAGAATTTTTCTTCTGAACTAAATAACACCCACACATATGTCTGACAGACTATCATGTGTAAAACTTAAAAAAAAGTGTCGTTTTTATTGCATTTTCGTCTGCAATGAAAGCAGAAAAATAACTGAAATTTTCTCTTAGAATCACCGCTACTTTGTTTCTTAAATTTTTCTATCCAAAGTTTTGAACTTTTATTCAATAATGAAGACAGTATTTGATTTGAAATAAGGTATACCGGTTGTAAGGAGAGTATTTTATGTATACGGCATGAGCAACACGATTAAAATGGTTTCAGACTGTTAATTTTGTGAATGTAGTAGCACTTAACCGCATAATATGACAAATTATTGGGAAGCATTTTGAACAACTATATTCTAATGATGTTTGACCTACATTAAGCATTTACAACCACTGTAATACTGGTCCATCAAAAAGACATTTAAAGATGTTCACGCTTCACATTAACACAAAATTAAGTTCATATACAAAGCAGTACCTCCAGAAATACCTCAAAGATATATTTAGATGCTGTGGTAGTATGTACTTTCGTACTAACTGGTCTGTTGGACTTATGACATAGTGAAACAGTATTATTTACTGTCTAACACTTCGAACACAGTTTATTGCTAATAATCATATCAACCTGTGACTAAATAACTTTGCAACTTGATTTGTATATTTGTTGTCCTACATTTCCATCTGTAGCAGAATCTTCCAGATGGGTATTCTTAGCTGATTCGATTAACAGAGTTTCGGTAATAAATCTCTTATTTAACCCTGTTATATTAGATCTTCGAACAATCAACTTGTGTCAATCTACCATGTGTTTGTGGGTAACTGCATTGTAATGATACAGTTGAGCATTTCTCAAGACATTGTATGTTGTCAATGTCTATAAATTGTTGTTACTCCATTAATCTAACTGACCCTGACCTACTACTACTTTGACCTAGATAATTTTAACCCCACTGCCACTGTTAGGTGTGAGATAAGTTACTTTACTTAATGGACCCTACAAGAAAGAATGAGAGAATTATTTGTAGAAAATTACATAATGAGTCATTTTTAATAGATGAAATAACAGAATTAAGAAAATATACTGATATTCAATAGATTTATCCCGAATATTAGTTTACAGATAAGAAATTACGGGAAATAAAACTTACATCTTGTATCCTGGCGTCATCAAAATTAATTAAGGAGATCTGACATTCTTGTGTATTACTATCATCACTTTGTTCTTGTAGAATAGAGCATATTTCAGTTAATGCTTGTTTCAGTGCACCAATACCGACAAGACATTTAATTCGCAATAATTTTGATTTTATCTCAAGTTGCAAATCTTGCAATAGATGTTTACTGATGTAATACATCAAGTAAATTATAGGAAATGCCTGTAAATAGAAAAAGATGTCATTAAAGGATCCCGCTAACAAAATGAACCTATGAAATTGCTTAGCATGAATAGGGACTATACAATACCTTTGATTCGGGTTATAAGTATTTTGCTCTTATCTTATGCTGAAAATGTTATTTTGCTGAATGTTACACCTACTTTGTATTCCATCTTGTGACAGTGAGCATCTCATTCAGCGAAATAATAGATACTTCACTCGAATACAAACTTCTGACGATGAAATCATATTGTCATTATGTCGAATGATGTCGACCATTCAACCTAGACAAAGAAGTCCGTGTGCTAGGTGGTGTAGTCTGTTAATCTACATTGCTAAAATTAAAATAATCGTTGTTGGTTAATTAAAGTAGTAAATCTAAGTTTTCCCCATTAACCAGCCATTAGGCCATTTTTGGCTGAGTGGATTCCGTATAAAACTAAATATTCGCCGACAGGTTTCAGACCAACGTCTCAGATTTCTTAAAGAGGGATTTCACCTAACATATGACGTCTTCAACACTATTTTTTTACCAGCTCAGTGATTCTCCTAGGATTTTTATATACACTGTATGCACTGTGCTCAAAAAGAATCATCTTTAATTGTATCAGAGATTTAGCTGATTTTAACTACAACAGATGACTAAGCGTCTTGCTTCTTATTAAACTTTGTAATCGACAAGACAAGGGTTGATTGTCACTATTACGCAGTGGAGACATCAAATAGGAAATCAAGAACAACTTTGATTCAGAACAGTTCCACACCTTTTGTTATAATGCAGTTATGATAATTCTCGGTACTTTGATTGGATACTAGTTAGTATCTGTTATCATGCGTCTAGTGCTCTGTTTGGTGTAGACTGAATTCTGTTGGTCAAGTATGCAATGTGGCCACCATACTAGGTGGCTTGACATGACAGTGAACTCTGAACTGTTGTTATAGGATGGTTGTAAGTCATCGACAGGAAGCCTTGCATATAGATTTCGTGCTTGCTGGTGCTCGTCAGGGATTCAAGTCCGTCTTGTGACGTGAAGCCATTTCATATAGTGTTGCGGCCGTAGACGTTACCACTGAGCCATTCCGTCTAATAATAACAACTGAGAGTTCCTCATCATGTCCAGCCACCAAACTCCGTGACCACATTCCACACTTGAATGACAGAATTCAGTCTGCACCAAACAAAGGACTAGACGCATGATACTAGTTACTAACTACTGTTCAATCAAAGTATCCGAAACAGGCCTACAGAGGGTCAGTCGCGAGCTCGAGCAACTCACCGGTAAAGCCTCTGTATGCGGCTCCTCGTCGCACGGATTCGAATCTCAGGAGAGACACGAGGTCCTTCCAGACTGCAGGCACGACTTACTGACGAGTGTCAATAAGCGCGAAACCTAGATGTCAGGCTTCCTGCCAAATACTTCTAACTGTCTTATAATAATAAGTGGGAATAATTCGAAGCAATCAATGATTATTAGAAATGAAGAGTGCTGTCCAGATTACCTTCACTACAATAAAAACATTCTGTACACTTAGGTGCTGTGCTGACGATAATGTTATCAGTGGCTGTAATTACGTCTGATTACTGAGTTGATGGCATATGAACAGAAAGATGATAGTCAGACTTTCAAAAGGAAATGCCACAAGTTAGAGATTGACTGCCCAACTGATGGACTAGTTTCAACAGATTTATATTCTCAGAATATGTTTGTTTTCATTTACTGATTCGAAAATGGAATATGTTACCTTCCGCTATAAAAGAAGGACGACCCATTTTAAAAATTCAAATTAAAACTCATTTTCTCATAAACCTATCGTTAAGCAAATGTTTTAATTCTTTTAGAAATTGTATGAAATGAGTTTGGAATGACAAGTAAACACAGACTAGATATGTCTGTGTAAATCTGTCTTAGCCTCAGGGGAGATAAGTTCAACTTATGGATTATATGTACCATGTTTTTAATCGCTTTTTAAGGTAAAATCAGAGATTCTATTTGAGCACTTTCGTTGCTTATGCTTCCTATAAATTGCCAAAATCGTCTTCCTATGAAAACGTTTCTATATGTCAGCTTGAATGGTGATAATGGTCTTGTTTGAACCAGTTTTACTGACAGTGTCTTAAGAAGTATCCAAGCTCCCACCATTTTCAAAGTTAGCAAGAAAATAAACTATAGAGAAACTAGTACCTTGCTGTTTAGTTATTTGAACACAAAACCTAGGTCTAGAACTTTTTGTCTGTTATCTTCTAAGTAACAAAACAAATCTTATTCTACATAGAATAATGTACAGTTTTTTATTTATATTTTAGAATACGGTGAGGGTTATCACATAACTTCTTGGCTTCCATTTTGAACTTTCAAATTAGTAGTTTACAGCAATCGAAATGATAAGAATCTTACCGTTTCACCTTAATGAAAAAGTCTCTATGAATTCTCTATAACAATATTGAATCAATTATTACCAAATATTCTACTTGTCATCCCCATGATCCTACGATACCGCGACTTCAAAAACCTCATTAATAGGTTAATAGAGTTGAAGTAAATTAGCTTCTAAAGCAGTTTCTAAATATACTGATGACTAGAAGCATAAAATAATTGAATTATTTTGAAGTATGCGACATTATACTTGTGCACGACAGAAAAGTCTCTTATTAAATGTAGAAATATTACAGAGTTTTAACGACCGTAAACATTAAAATACGATAAAAATTTATCCATGAAAATACTTCTTGAATAAACACAAATAGCGACTGTGGCCTGAACTTACTTCTATGTAATTCTCGTAATCTACTAAATGCCTTATTGTTTCACCCATGACTTTGATAACAATATTTGGACTAAAACAGTTTTCTGTTAATATCTTCTCCAAATTTAATATCTTCAATGACTGGCTGGGTATGTGTTTGTAACAGTAAGTGAAATCAGATGTTGCGCAAGGTAAACTAGCGTGTAATATTGACTAGACAGTTATCGAATAAACGAAAATAAAATCATCAATTATTTAAAATTTACTACTTTAATAAGTGCTCACATTACTAAAGTTTCGATTGATTTGAAGGTATTAAATGACAAATCGGATTTTGAAGAGCAAGTCAGTGTCACTAATTCATTGAGTAATTACACAATCACTTTCGGGAAAACTGAATGCTCATCCCATCTTTTGGAAAAAGTGAAGGCGTAGAGACTTCTTCTGTGGCACAGTCACACGCTTACTTTCAGTCCTCAATGCAGTTGAAATGTCAGTCAGTCATTCAGATATTTATTATGAAAATCTGCCCTCACTGTTTATTGAAACCGAAGTATTCGGTGCATTTTTTAGATCATACGCCGATATTCTTATATACGCAGTTAACTATAAACTTTTATTAGTGAACACATATCCTGTAATAATTTAGGAATTTTAAAATGCCTTTTTCTATTTATCGATATCATAGCTTTTTTGTCGTAAGATATTTAAGATACTGTTTAAGTTCACAGACACACATTTTGTGCTATTAAACTTTGAAATGTTTTCATGCCTTAGTTTTCATGTGTCTTTTAGGCCGAATACGTCCGTATAGTTTAGGTTTTAATGCAAAACTTAGAAAAACCTTAACAAATGCTTCCTCCGTTATTCGTTCACCATAGATATACCTATTACCAAATGTAATTTAATGTATAGTAGACCTCTAAGACATTTGTTGTAGTAAATTATTTAAAGATATCATGCACTAGGTGATATCTCCTGGATATAAATGAGAGTTTATAGGACAAATTAAGTCAAATATAATCACACTTACTTTAAATAAAATCACGCTGATTCTACGACTTCTGCAGCACTGATCTTCAGAAACAAGATGATGTCTAAATTTTTTAAGAAAATAATAGTGACTAGTTCAAAATGGTTACTTACTCGCTCAATAATCCTATTACTAGAGCACCAATCAGACAACCAGTGATACCAAACTTTTGAATGATTCTGGAAGAATGTTTACTCACTGTATTTTCTATATCACCATTCACCTTACAGTCATTTATATTATAATTAAGTGAAGCATCGAAATTTTCAATTGTGGTCTTTTGATCGAATAGAATATCTAATATCAATAAGGCTTGTTGTGTGGCTCTTCTGAAATTAAAAGATTAAAAGCAGTAACAAGTAGGTTTTAATGCCTTACTTCATTTGATTAACTTCCAAACAGAAATTTAACAGTTCGAATCGAATCATTATTTCTTGCAAGTTATTCTCATACGATTGTAACAGTTCTACAAATAAAATTGGCAATGATTAAGTAATATAAGATTATTCATTCACAAATTACCCAAAGTTCTGTTATACTGTTTTAAAGAATGATCGAAAAGGTTTTGGTATGTTTTCTTGTCCAAACGTTGACTTGTATTTGTAACAAACAAAGTGCTTTGATCTTCCTCACATTTTCTGTCCAACAGATGTATTATTTCCTGAAAACCGTAGAATGAAATATACTTTCACATAAATATAAAACTGTGATGAGTAGCTCAGAACATAATACGTAGGTATTTATAGAATACAACTGCTAAAGATGCAGCAGCATTTGACACTCTTAAATAAAATCTATTGATACATAAGCGTAGAAATTGTGAGGAGAGAAGCAGTCCCTTTCACCCAACCACAAAACTTTACTCCTAAAGTAGAATAAATTAAGAGGATCGTTCGCATGTTTCAGATAGCATAAGATCTCCCTCCAAAACACACCAGTTAGAGGAGGATATTCTGCACATTACATAAGTATTTATGAAAAAGACAACCTATGTAAGAAATCTGTGGAAAATGAAGTGTTTGATGGAGGTTCCAGGACCTCCTCACACCAAATTTGTATGGCCGTTTATGTAATATACAACAGGCTCGTTTTAGGTAATGAATACACCAAACATTTTAACTTTACAAGAGAAGTGACATAGTCAAAGTACATTACATTTACCTGAAGGCTTTCTACAGTCAGCTCAATGCCACTATTGTATACCGAATATGCAGGTGTATTGAAATGAAACCACTTATCTTTTGGCTAAGAACTGTTTTCAGTATGTGGTGACATAACTGATATTAGAAGCAGTTGACGTCATTTTGCATCTAAAACCCTGTAACCGTTGTAATCTATTCAGCAGTATGTGAAGTCATCAAACCAGTTGTATGCAGCCTAGTATGGACACTTCGTGCACTTTATCTCACTAAGTTTCACTTATAGTTTGATAACCTCTCATTTAACTTTTTTTTAAAGAATTTAAACGCAAAAGGAATTTTAAAATCATCTTACCAACCATTCAACCAAAAATTGAATTCAAAATTTAACTTTACTCAAATATTGTTGACAACAAATTCATGTTTATATGCAGAGGTCAAACGAATTTATTGTTTAACAAAGCGGAATAAAAATTTCCCTTTACTCACAGTGGTAAGGTTAGTTTCGAAATCAATTGCGGATTTTGCTGCGTAGTTTTCATCCAAGGGAAGCGAGATAAGATAGACATAAAGCGCTTTATACCGTCTTGCTTCATCTAACAGTTTTAAAATTCCTGGATAATGTAAACACCTTGACTCCTTTAATTCATTCTGTAAGGTCTCCGTGTTTAAAGGAACTGATATATTATGGAGTGCAACTTCTTCTTCTAATGGTGGTTTAATCTATAAAGTATAAGAGCAGTTAAGGTGTAAGATTACAGATAGTTATTAGTTATTTTGTAAAAATTCCATATCATTTTATTTATTGGACATATCACTCAGTGAAATGGTATTACATACTGAATGACATATTCATAGGCATATTAACTGTAACTACACAAATCCAAAACTTGATTTTTATAGTTCTCTTTCTCTCTTCCTATATGTCGCAAGCATAGTAGAATTTCTTAGATGCTCAGAACAGTGTTTCTTCATTCCTTTTGCTAGTATTCTCAGTTAATTTGATAGATAAAGCTTCATATGGAATTACATGGTACTACATTGCCCAAATTTCGTCAAGCGTTTGATAAAACCGCTTAGCTTCCGGCACTGCTAATGCGGCGTAATTTCCATTCTCTTTCTCTAGTTAACATAAGTTTTACAAAGCAAGCGTAATTTCTCGAAGTGTATGTATGTGTATTATTTTGTTCCAGCTAGTTTTGATGTTTCATGGTAAGATATTAAAAATTTTTAATAAAATAAAATGATGCTTAACAAAACAAATCTATAAATCAGGGAGTATTTTAAGTATGCCTTAAAACTCTTGGTAATGCAACATGCTATGGTGTAAACTGGTAAAGATTGCAATATGAATCATTTGCAGTCTGAAACTGTGTGGTAGGTGGTGACGAGCAGTGGAATCGAGGAGACGCATATCGTCCTATTTAAGACTCATTATCTGGATGTACCTGCACTCTCCAGTGAATGATATTGTTCACATTGAGGCTCGAACGCAGTAGCCATAGTTTCAAATGACAAAATGTTATTAATGGAGACACTAAAACTAACTGGAGAATGCAGGTACATCCATTGACGGGTCCCAAACAGGATGAAATGCACATCCTGAATTCCACTGCCTGGTCACCATCCACTAAATTACTTCGCGTTAACTCCAAAGACATCATCGAAGCATGCGTACAAAGAGGTGGCATGGCAATGGATGCAGAGCACTTTGGTTCAGTCAGTCAACGGGAAAGTGCAAATTAAATTAAATCTGAAATTATGCTTTATGCAATAAAATAATCTTAATCTATTTTCTTTTCAAGATAACCATCCAAAACAAAATACAGCATCAAAATACCTTTGTGTATAAATCATCCTTTGATGTTAATTCGTCATTTTAAAAAAATTTTCTTTGTTAAATCATTTTCAGCAACACACCCTGTCACATAAAAGGAGTGAGTAAGATACACCAAATTGACAAATAAGAATATTTTTAGTTGTCAGGCTTTTAGGGGATTTTTTTTCTTATATATTTTGTTGATATACATCATGCTTTCTTTTAAAAATAATAACATCAATCACCCAGATATTGAAAAAAAAATAAAATCTACTGAGAATATTAATTAACTACTTAAAATATGTTCCTATTCTAGTTTTCGAAAGTCAGCCTATGCCCCCAGTAGGAGTGGCAGAGATAGAGAGAGAGAGAAAGGATGAGCGACAAAACAACAAAAATGAAGTGTCCAGATGAAACAGTCTGCGTAATAACCCGTGTTTATCCCTCATCCTACCCATTCATTCTTTCATCCTTGCTGCTATCAGTAAATTCGCAATAATGATTGTTACCGGCATAAAACCTGATCACGAATGTCCGTAAATAAAGACAAAGCTTAATAAATATCATTTTCTTTTTGCTCGTCTATTTTATTATTGTTATTATTTGCCCACTTAGTGAACAATACGCCTATTCCTTTTTCCAGATAAGTATACTAACAGAAACGGTATTGATAAAAAAATATCTAGTAAAGATAAGATATAAGTGAATAACAGAGGAAGAAGAGAGAAGATCAACAATATAACCGACAAGGTTAAAAAAAGCAGTTAAGAAAACAGCATTAGCAGACTTTATTTATACAGTTAGTAGTCAACAAGGACAAAGAGAGATAAATAATTATACACTGAAAATCAAAGAAATAAAAAATACAGGATATTATAAGCCATAGGTAATAGTATCAGAGGAGGGAAGGAAGGGAGGAAGGAAAAAACAATTTGTTATCATTCCTTCGAGCATTTCTACTTGTGTTACTGTGTTGGTGCATTTTGTTTTACTGAACAACAGCAGGCAAGCTAACATATGAGTGGTAAATATATACAGTATCGCAAACAAATACAATTAATCAGAACCAAAATAATAAACTGATGATAACAGGAAAAAATTTGTTCCAATAGAGAGAAAAAAGCAATTCATTAATGAAAGAAATAATCGCCTCATCAGTTAGCCATCATAACAGAATCAAAATATGATATGAATATGCATATATATACATATAAGCAGAAAATAAAATATGATTGACACTTTACTCATCAAGAACTGCAGAGAAGCAGTTTCTGAAAACTATCCTGTTTTACTTTTTGAGTTTTGATATTAAACATAGATCGTTGTGTTTGCTGACAAAGCTGCTATTTTGAAGTTTATACATGAATAAGTTGAACTATTCACTAAATCACCTATATTTCAAATGATAGACTAAAATGAATCACGATGTTGATTTCCTGAGTAGATTACACGCTTCAGTGATTACAGCTGAAGAATTAAAGCTAAAACTTGATTTTCTTTTGTTTTCATCTAGTTCGTTCAAATGAAAATCAAGTGAGTAGTGTTGAAAGCTTGTGAGTTTTATTGGCTACATCTGTATCTGACTATCTTTAGATAACACAAAGTTTTAACATTTGGCTCTCAGCATTTCAGTGCTTACATTTTTACAAAAGACGTGGTGTTTTTGTCACCTCTGCTGAACTACTGAAATTGAAATAGCTATGAATGAATTAACAAACTAAAGAATCACAAACTTTTAATCTATGGTACACTGGCTAGAACTTCGGGTAAAAATAGATTGGGAAAATTTTCACACAATCATTTTGTCCTTTAATTCATCTCTGCAATAATCCATTATACAACCTTTCCTAATTTGATGCTTTGATGACCATTTTTTCACTTCCCCCAAACAAATTAATTTTTTTAATCATCTTTCACATGTTCAGCTAACTGATTTTACCCGATGGCGATAATTAAAAATTTTCTAGTGCGTCATTTCATGTCTTTTTTCATTTTCCTTGTACTTCTGAAATTAGCTATCAGACTCTATTCACTAAACGCTAGAGTGATGTAATGTAAGGCAAAATGCCGTTAGTAAATTCATCTTTTTGTTATGTCTATGAATACGAATGTACAAATTTCAATGTTTTTTTCATAATGATATGACTGTTCATTTCATTAGCAAACTGCACAAAATTATTATTTATGAATCAATCACTTTTAGTTCACCTTTCAAAAGAAACCTTAATCTTTCATTAAAGTCTCTTGAAAATTCTCCTACAGTTCGATGTGAAACTCCTTACTGAAATTTTCTTTCCATTTTTTACCGAAAAAGTCAGTAAGCGTACACAGAAGTTCTTCGTCCAAGCGTAAAGAGAGCGAAATTTCCGCTGAATTTACGGAAAATTCGAAAATATCTTTAAGTTTATGCACGGCCTCTCTGTAACAAATAGGTTCTAGCTTCTCTGCTATCCGACGAACCAGTTTGTGGCTCGACGAGTTTATCATGGACAGTATTGGCTTCAGGAAGATATTAGTTATTGCTATGGGTTGCATATCATCATTAAAAACTGCATAATCAGTCAACCCTTTCTTTATTGGACCCCGCAGATGTTTTACCACCCATCTCTTTTTGGTCATAGTTTTGTCTTGCTCTGAAGTGTCGGGTACAAACTCTGTCAAATCATTCAATATGATAGGCATCTTGTTTAAATGATCTTTTTTGTATATAATGACAATTCTAGATCATTTATTAGACTATAACTATGTCCACGTTTTCCTGAAAAGACCTAATTGCTTTTCTTTGTTCCTCATAGAGGATACTGGATTCCGTTATTACAGAAATGAAATATTGATTAACTGTGTCAAGCAACTTGTAATTTGAACAACTGCTTCTGTTATTGTCACTTGGTTACACTTCTGACAGCTGGTGATGTAGGTATTCGAATCGAGGTCACGCGTCTATTCGACTAGCATTTTTGTGTGGGCACATGAAATTTAAGGTCAAGAGACGGAGCTTCAGTTTGTAGTTTATTCCCTCCAATATTTGACAGACTGCATATAAATCTTTCTGAAAATTTCGCTTTTCTTGCTTTGATGGAAATTATCAACAGAACAGGCTGTATAAGTTTCTTGAAGAATCGCTAAGTTCATTGAAGTTCTGTTTAAGTTGACTGATAGCCAATATTCACAATGTAGATAACGTTGTCAACATTTTGACAAATGAATGAGTCAGTTTTGATAAGCAGAACAAAATAAAATTAGTGGCAATACTCCAAAGTGAATGTATGTATGAATGTATGAACCAAATTTATAGTGTTCGCAGAATAACTTTAAAAATATCTATTTAAAAAATGATATTTACGTAAATGTCTAATTGTTTAATAGCCAATAACTAAAACAGTATTTATTTCAGTTTTACACTTTATGGTGGAGTAACTTTAAGCCTGAATGAAATTGAAGTTCTCCAAAAACATCTACAACCAATCAGCTCAAAGTGAACATTTGAGCTAAAAGTGTGGGAACGAGGTGAAAAAATGCTATCAAATAAAGAAGTCCCCCTAAAAACAAACACTCAATAATTCAAATAGACACGAAGAGTATTTGAGAAAAATTCACCCGACTGAGTTGTCAGGCGCTTTAGAATGGCTTACAAAGACAGAAAATGCAACAAAGCGACAGTTGTTAAATGTCATTTTGAAGTGAGAAAGTAATAAAATGCAGACCAATATTGCTCAGATAGAGAAGTAACACGCTGACATTGCTACAAATGACTTTAAACCATATCGACAGCAGTCTCTACTTGCTGATTCTCAATTGCCTAAAGACTTTGAATACATACGTCATAATCTTGTATATGACAGAGACAAAATAATTGTCTTCAAATCTTGTGAATACAGTCGCATTTTGCGCATGCCTTAATTTGATGGACAACTTATTCATATTAATGTTTTTCTATCCTTCAAACTAATAATAATGACAGCATCTAAAATTGCAGGTATTCAGAATTACTGTTTACTGTGATTAAATTGCAGCTTTCATTAAGTGAAATCCTCAAGTATATATTAATTCAACTGCTAAGTACATAAGTATTACCAGTAGGATACTTGCTAAACGTGCAGAAAAACATCTTCCATTATAGTTGTCGAAAGGAGAACCTGGACGAACCTATATTTGGATTCTTGAGCATCTCTTTCTTACAAACCGACCCTCATCAATAGAAAAATCTTCCAGAGTGATACATAAGGTGAGATCAAGTCTTTTTACGTGGTTTCCGGCTACATTTTCTGTCCACAGCTGAATTTCTAGCTGTTTACAAAAATTACTTCGAACTAAAAAAAGCCGTATGTCTAGTTCCTTTTACTTCTGTGGCCTTAAGCCTTTTATAACTTGTATGCTGATTTGGTATATAATCCACATTCGTTCGTTTTCCTTCTTTCCTCTTTCTTTCCAAACTCCTCACTGTACATATTCAGAATCTCCAAATCCCTGTTTCCAACTGCTTATACTATTATGGATAATCATTTCTCAACTCTATTCGCCACCTGTTGCTTTTTACGTAAAATTACTCAACAAAATTTTGCAATTTATTCATTAATTTCCCTGATATTTAATTTCCAATGTTCTGATACAAACTGGTATTAACAAATAACCTTTATAAGCATTTTCATGACTTTTTAGTATACTGTATAACTGCACAGCTGTGAAGAGAACTGCTGAAAACAATATTCCTTGCTGACCTACGTCTTTTTTAACTGTAATGTCAGAAAAGTGTACTAACTCGACTTGAAAAATCATTCATCCGTTTATTTTGATCAAGGATGAATAAATCATTATAAATTTATGAATACCAGTCGATCTGCTAAACTAAAATCACAGTAGGACAACTGAGCTTTTTGTTCATTACAAACGATAATTAATCAAAGTAAATTTACTTCTTTTTTGTTCTCAAGTGACTTTACTTTCTCCTAGTCGGTTTCGTAATATTTCCTAACTTTTTGAATCTGTCCAGAAAATTTTAACTGACATAAAAGCAGGTGAATATATTTTCAGATGAAATGATTAGATATAATCATAAATAGAACAGGAATACAAATAAAACTGAGCCGACATTCTCTTTAATAATCTTTCAAAAAACTGTCCATTTCTGAGTTCACTTCGATGAGTTAACTATTTTTAAATAAAATGTATTAGGGATAATATTTCACTTAGTAATGATACTCCAGGTATCTTCTAATACAGAATTCGACAGAATATATGAAGAACTCATGCTAACGGAGACGTACACGCCAGTATTGTATGGCTCACCTAATGTACATAAACTGGAAGGGAGGAGGTGCCGTTAAGACCAATACTTGATATGTGAAATTCGCCCAACCATGCATGAGCATGATAGTGAAACATAGCGTCAAAAAATGTATTTGAATTCGTAGACAAAACCAAAGATATTTATATCAAGGATAAAACTATGATATCTTTGGAAATAACTTTTTTATTCACAAATGTACCTCTAGTAGAAACAGTTAACTACATATGTGAACAAGTGTATAACCAGTCAATAAATATTGGCATCCCAGCGGAAATCCTAAATGAATTTTTATTAAGGTGTATCATAAATGTAAATTTTGAAATTGATGTCACGCTTTGCAGATAATTGGGCCGGGTGGCGATGGGCTCTCCACTGGGTCCCGTTTTGGCAGATTTCTTTCTAAGTAAACTAGAAAATGGACCTCTGAACAACCTTATCAGAAATTTCTCATTTTATTGCCGGTATAGGGATGATACTTTCATTATTTATGATAATGATTTGGACAGGAACTTAATAATAACTCAATTCAATGAAGTACATTCTGCTATGAAATCCACGTGCAAAGGGGAATCCCAAATTAGAATTGCCTTCCTAGATGTCCTCCTAACAAGAAAATCAGATGGTAGTATGAAGAGAAATTTGCATAGGAAAAGCATATGGACAGGGCAATATACATATTTTCATAGCTTCGTTCCTCTCCAGTATAAAAGAAATTTAGTAAAGACCCTCAGCCACACGGTTAGAGCTATATGTTCAGACGAGGTATTTGAAGATAACCTAAGGATTATATGTGATACCTCGATTGGAATTAGCTATCCAGACAAATTCATCAGGAAATATATGACTCAGAAAGTTGAAAAGGACCATTCGCTATCCGTAAACAAGGACGATATACCTAGCGAAATAGTTATGAAGAAGTTAAGAAAACCTGTACAAAGAACTTTTAACGCTGGCAAATAACAAGTCATATTTTCTGCACGACCTGTGTTGATTCGTTGATTGAAAGATGAAGTGCCTAGACTAGCCACTTCTAATTGTATCTACCAATTCAACTGCGCTTGTGGAGCGAGTTATATTGGCCGTTGCTATAGGAACTTGATTTTTCGTGCTCGGGGACAGCCACTAGTGTGGCTAAATAAAGGTGTAGTAAAAACCATCAACAGCTTGATATTAGAACACTACTACTATTAAAGAGTCCTTCTCCATCATCTATCAGGTAGCAAACAAATTGCCAAAAAAATCGAGGTATTGCATACTCCAAACAGCAGAGGATATCGTGATTCGCGTGAAACAACTGGTGATCTGTGTGCAGAAGAAACAAGTCCAGCCACTACTACTGCTCTGGCCGGCCTTCAGTGGAGAATATAAATTCATGAATTTGTATTAGCACTTTTCCTACTTTTTCTGATGTTCAGTGTATTGTTATGCTGATTCTATCGAACTGTAATCCATTGATATTATTATTGATTCGATGTTATTTAAACAACATTAATGTTGTTAATAACACTAATTCATTCACTATTATGAATATACAGATGTAGGACCTGATGATGAAGTTATCGAAAAGAATATTATTTGTTCAGTAACCATTCTTTTGCGACTATACTTTGCCACACCCATGACCTTATTTGAAACTGTGTTTTGTTTATTGCTTATATATGAAATTTACTACATCTCGTGCAAATGAATGCAGTATTCTTTAGTGACTTTTAGATTGAATAGATATGTATTACGACTATTTTTGTTTAGCTTTATTCACATTTGCAGTTCACATTAACTCTTAAATCACCATCATCTCGAAAAACTCTGATGACTGCTTACAAATAACTGTTTTTAAGGGAAAAGAAGGATTACTCCACACAATTACTATTACATTTAGGAAATGCTGGTTTCAATTAAGACCTGAATTGGAGATTTTCTAATAAATGACGCAGTCTTAAAGTAAAAAAAATGAACTTCTCTTTCCTTACATCATCAACTATTTTACCATCCAGAAATACTAAACCATAATAAGTAAGGTGGATTGGATGTGTAAACATGTTGAAATTAAATTATTTGAAATTGAGACAATTTATTTTTAAAAGTCATCTTCGGTCTTACACACCTCTTACTTAATAACTCAACTATTTTTCATCTCCTCGCCTTTGTCATCACGCTTATACAACGCTGTCACTATGATGTCAATAGTTCCGAATAACAGAATATTTACTACGTAAAAGTTTATAGTAATCACAAGTAAGTAAGTAAATACGTAAGTAACCTTCATCATTTATTAAAGCTGCATGATCAATATTAATTAAACAGAACTAACTAGCCAATTAAAACTATAAAAGATTCAGTAGAAAATAATTTTTCAACAGTACCACAATGGGGGTTCAGTGGTTGAGCACTCGTCCACAACGCACTTGGTCCGGGGTTTGATATCGGCTGACATACTTACAAACCTTGCTTATCCAGTAGTAATATCGGTGAAGAGGGAAGGTTGGGCGTGATGCTAATAACCCCACCTGGTAAAAGGAGAATATCACCACTGGTACTGAAACTTCACAGCTCAAGCTTGAAGCTGTATGTCCTGCTCAAAACGTAAAAGGAATACAAAAAGCCATATCATCTAATAACACATTGTAAAAGAGTCACCGGTGTAGGTCCTGGCAAGCAGCTTAAGATGAAACCAGAGAAGGCCACTGTCTGAGATTTTATGATAACAAGTAATTACAATCACCATAATTAACATTTCTATGACTGTACACAGTGGGACTCTATCCTCTTCACTATCGAGCACTTATGCAGACTTATTCAGTTGAATAACAACCAACAACCAGCTTACCTTGTCTGAATTGGAATGCTGCGATTTCTCCCTCAGATAACCTTGTGGTATAAGCCAACCATTCATACACATTTTTGGTTTATCAGCCTTCACATCCTCTTTCTTTTTCTCCTTACAGTCAATCCAATCAAAATTGATGGTTTTAACTGTATCAGTTTTAGTGTCATTTTTCCAGTGATTTGTAACACTTTTGAAGGTTTTGAACTGATTCATCAATTCTGTGTACTCCTTAGGCGTAAGCGACATAACGAACGCATTTTGTAGTAATTCTTTGTCATTGTTAGAGGTTCCAGGACTTGTTACACTGGACGATAGATTCTGTTCTAGCTATAGAAATTATAAAATGAAAGTGTCAGGGGTTTAAGAAATACTATTAATAAAGAGCACAATATACTTTTCATAACTTCCTTGCAACCCTTCAGTGATAAAAACAAAAAAGAATGTGTATTTCATTTTAAAAAACTCATATCCCATAAAGGCACTATATCTAAGTGAACAATAAATACCATACACGCTGCAAACGTCACCGAAATATGAATGTATTTGTTTCAATTTAGATCACGACCTGATGTCATTTAGAAGACTCTTGAAAACCAGGCTGTATTAGACGGCCATTCAATCCTAATGTAGGACTCTTCATTAGTATGTACCTATAATCCCACCGGAGATGGAATCTGTAACTTTCAGGTTATACAGTGAGCCTGTTGAACATTCAGATACAGAGAAGGAATCCAATGGCCCATGAATTGTAACTTCTGCCGGTTCGTCATTTCATGATTTTATTGATATTCCATAGCCACTGTATATTTTAGGGTACGATTTCAGTGTTACATCCACCAAACAAGTGGTCCGAAATAAGAGTATCTAAGTTCTTAGTTGTTTATTTATTTTTCATCTTTAACACTTTACCAAGTTAGACATATCTGTGGAAATATTTTTTAACCACAAAGTATATGCATATATACGTCTAATTAAATGTTTAGCATTAATCTTAAGTAATCTTCCATGACTTCTTGTAACTGAATAAAGCGAAATGGTGATATAAGGCCATTAACGTGTAATGAAATGCAATATTTTTCATTTGCAAGTGAAAAAGTGCGTCTATAAGAAGGAGACTGATTTAAAAATTGTGTTACAGTTCACGCTTATAAAAATTAAAGGAATTGAGTAACCTATTGACTTAGTAGTAACAAATACCCACCTGATTTCTAACCCAAGCCCTTCCAGTTACAAGGCAAGTTCACAGACCATTCAGCAACTGGGACCCGATTCAATTGCCTACATATTCTAACTTCTACCGATTCATGGTTTTAGCGTGACTACCAACCAGTGTTACCGGCGAGTATTTTTCCTCACTCCCGACGGGACGGACCCCACTGGTCACGACTTCTCAACAGGACTCCAGAAAACTCCGTCCTGTAACCAGTCACTGGCGAGCATCAGATTAATTTTCAAGAGTTGGTTTGTCAGGATTAGATTATCTTTTTCGAGTTTAACCGCGGATTATCATCAGTTAGAGAAACAATGAAGACCTGTGCTCATAATCCATTGGGTAAGTACTGATCAGGAGTCCTAAACTACGATGAAAACAGCCGTCCAACACTCCTTGGTTTTCAATGATTCTCCAACTGATATCAATCCGTGGTCAAATTTGAAAAGCGAATTGAATCCCTACTACCCAATTCCTGAAAACTGATAGTAATATCTCAGGCGTCAAACTGAATGTGGTCTCACTCCACTTATAGACATTTATTTCTTATGAATTTCAAGAGAGGACAAAATAGTCGTCTGTTTCTTTTGGTTTTCCAAAAGTTGTCTAGCTGCATTATTCAGTTTTTTATACGTCCCTCGTTTTCTAATATTGACAGTTCACCCTGTATTATTATCCCTAAAATAATTTCATTGCAAATATTTTAGGAATAACCAATCATGTCTGCAAAAAGTTAATTAATATGTCTAATTTCAATCAGAAACATGATATCTACGGATACATTCAATATTCAAACATGCCCAAGTGTTCGTTTGCAGGGATCTGATTTGACTGTTTACAGGATTTCATTATGAGCTGACATCGATTAGAGAACCATGGGAAAACCTGCAGAAAGTACTGGAAAACTGTTTCGTTCTACGTTGGGACTCTGCAGGAGTGTGCACCCACCGGGGTTCAAACCTAGGACCTCTCGATTGCAAGGCAAGCTTCTAGACCATTATGCCACTAGTACCTGATCAAACGACCCATTATTCCAGTCTTCTTTCAATTCATGATTTAGCGTGACCCCGGTGGGTGCGTACTACTGAAATGAAATGGTTTACAAAACAAGTGGCCGTACTAATTGTTTAAAAATACACAAGAAATAAACGCATTTGTTTACGAATTGTTGCCACAGATTAAATAACTGCTACAGGGAAATGTTTCCACACACACTGAAAATTTTTCTCCTCACAAAAGAATAATCAACCGCATAAACTTTCACAAAACTTACAGAGAACCTTTCTTTGGTACTCAGAAATAAATTATAAATGTTGTTTTCTCCAGCCTAATTTTTATTCCTAGTTAGTGTCAGTTTCTCTGAATGTGTAGAAAAACAGTTAATTTTTTGGTGGTCATCGTTGTATTTTACAAAGATCTCTTATCAGATACAACTCTCCTGTCTGTTATGGTTTACTAAATTGAAAAAGAAATATTTTGTCATTTGTAACTACAGGCTTCAACTTATGCTGACAATAAAATTAATGTATTTTGACAAGAAGATTTCATGCTACCCAGATCCCAATCAGAAACTGCAATCTTTATATATATATATATAATATTCTGCTGTCATCTCTATTTCATTTTTGCTTATTCCTTTTGCACGAAATGATAGTTTGATATAACTGAGAAAGTTTCACATTTTTATTTTAAAACAGAATGTATTACCAGTTGTCTCGCCGGTAGAATGCTGTTTTTTTTTGTCTAACTAGCGAACACTATGTTATTGATTCTAACTTTCCTATTTCGTCTTCAGAACTTTATTGCTTATTATGATCATTTATCTGCTCTTGTGAATATATATATATACTAGCGGAGGTAAGGATTCATGGGCTGGTCTTTGAGTTGAATCCCAGCGGCTGAATAATACGTGGGGTATCCAGAAGGTTCTGGGTTCGAAACCCAGTCTCAAACTAGGACGAAACAGCTGGCTGTCCAATACTCCCTGGTTTTCTAGTCATCCTCTAACCAGTGTCAATTCATAATGAAATCCTGGAAACAATCGAATCCCTGCAAACCAATAATCTGATGCCCACTAGTGACTGGCTCCATCCAGGTGTGTAGTTACTTAGAATTTATTGGAATTTCGTGACCAATGGGGTACAGCAGGTCGGAGGTGAGGACAAGTATTCGCCAATGACATTCGCTAGTGGTCGCTTCATATCATGAATTAGCAGAGGTTGGAATTCACGGAACATTGGATCGGATACCGGTGGCTTAATGGTCTACGAGCCCATCTTGTAACCAGAAGGTCCTGGGTTCAAACCCCCGGAAGGTGCGTACTTCTGGAGAGTCCCAAACTAGGACGAAACAGATGTCCAGTACTCCGTGGTTTTCAATGATTTTCTAACTGATATCAATCCTTAGTCAAATTTGAAAAACAAATCCAATCCCTACAAGCTAACTCTTAAAAATAAGTATATGTTGTGACTTTTCGTTTACTAGAAATTAAATATTATCAGATGAAACATTTCAATTTGGCATCTGCATGAAATGTTGGTAAACAATCAGTTTAAACAGAGATTAAACTATCAAAGAAAAAAACCATTGGTACTAGATTTCTTGGGATTTATTTAATCTTTCAATGATCATTTCAATGTTCTTCAAGTTGACATGTTATAGTTAATCTCTACAACAATCGTAAACACTTCACTGATCAAATTTTATCAGTGCTTTAAAACAAATTATATATATATATATACAAATACGACTGATCTCTTACAGGCTTATTATTTAAAGGTGTAGATAAAAGATAGTTTTAAATCTGCCAGAAATACAGCGAATTGACTTCAGCTTTAGAGATTAATCTTGTTTTTCTTCAGCTATATAGTGAATAAAAAAATTCATGATATGCATATATCTACCAACAGGTTATTATTATTATATTTACTTGATATGAAGTAAACAACATTTTTCGATAATAAATAAAAGCTTATTAAATTACCGGTAAAATATTAAAATGATACCAAGCTGAATATAACTGCATTTGTGAACGAACAAGTGGATTTTTGAAATCCAAATCCCACGGCTTAATATTCCTTGATAAAGCATCACTTTTAACAGGCAGATTCTCTTCTTTCTTCAAACGCTTTAATATTTGCATTTGTCCAAAGATAACCAAAGGTAAAACACTTGATGTCCAGCGTTTTCTAAATTGAAATATTAGTAAAGAACAAATGTGACGATAAAACATGTGACATTTATGCAGAGGAGTAGTCGGGTTCATTTAACGCTTGGCTAATTTATCGAACACTTACCACGTTTATAAATATGAACTGATATTTTGTGTTCCGCGTTCTATGCTGGAAAGTTTTACATTATTGCCCGTAAAACAACAGAGAAAATCAAATGAAGTTTCATTAAAACGTAGAAATGTTAAATGTTCAGTATCACCCTACTTACAAAGACGAAACTAACGTATTGTAGTCACAAAAGGTGCTAAAGTACGGACATTTAGCTAACAAACTGAGATCGCTGATACACTTGAAAACCCAGTTAGCCTAATGAATACATTAGCGTGAAGTCAAGTAAAATAAAGCACCATTTTTCAGAAGAATATGAAGGTTAAAAAGAAAATAAGACTGACTTCTGAATTAATTTGCAGTCAATCAGCAGTTGCCGAGTGCAGCAAGAATAATTCAACAACACTGTTCATAATATAGCGTTTTCCACTTTTGTAAGAATGATATTTCTGATTGATGTTAAACTGTAACTAAATAATAGAATACTACGATTTGATAAGACACAATGATGTAACATTATATAATTTACCAAAAGACGTTTCGAGTACAGTTTATTATGTGATGACATTGAGAAGCTTTCATTGTCTTTCTATATAACATCTTCACTGCTAAATTCAATGCGAACTGAGCTTCCGAACATCTCTATGGATGGAATATTCACTTTTTCCGGTGACTATGAATCTAATTTGCTGTCTCTGAGGATGTTCTTAGGATTGTATCCATTTGTATATCGAACAGCTCATTAACCCAATATTTAATCTCTTCACCGTATGACTTACCCTTTATTGAGTGATAAATTTCATCAGTATCTAGATGTCTGTTAATTATAAGCTAGTCTGAGTACTATGCTTCTAAGAATTCGTGTTCCAACAACCTAAAATTTTTAATTTCTTCCAGAGATAACCAGTTACAGTGATAGGCACTATAAAAGATGGGCATTACATCTATGCTGAATTTCGAGAGTTCCCCTCACATTGAAGTTAAATTCTCAATTAAGGTATCCTTTCAGAGAAGACGTCCAAGTACATCCACTGCAGGAAACAATCTTTTCCATCACTTTATAACTCAGAATGACAAGAAGTGAAATAAATACTTGTAAACAATTAAACAAAACTGCTGAAACACTCATAAACGTAGACGAAATAAGCAGGAACCGGTCAGTAAAGTGGTTTGCACAGCATCTCGATTACACAAGTATCAGTGCTACAGCTGTCAGTTGTAGCTTTCGCATAGATTCCACTCAGAAAGTCATCAGCTCTGTAAACTATCAAATCTTCTCTTAATTTAGATACTGTAAAATCTCTGAAATTTACAAAATGTTTTACATAAAGGATAAATCCTATTAGATTACTGAAATAGCGAAAACATTATCTAAACCAAAAGTAAATCACACTTACCCTAAAATGCCTACAACTTTTAAGCCTAAATGTATGAGATGTTCCCATTTAGAAGCACGGCATAAAATTTCTAGCCCTTTCAAAATGAATTTATGCAACCAATTCCAGTCAATATCATATTCTTTGTTTGTCTCTTCAGGTTGCCAAAATTTGAAACAGTTTTCATGAAAACCTTCCACCTAAAAAATTTTTATTTTCATCAATTTAAATGAATATTGTTTTAGAAAAAAAACAATAGTGGCAATAGTTATTTCATATCATTTCTATAATAGCAGCTAATGTATTTCTTTCAAACAAAACAGATACTTAAATAAGCAGTGTGTGAAAGTATATATATATTAAAATTAATAATTATTTAGAAAATATCCCATTTAAATTATTCTTTCATGCAGGCACAAGGATGCAACTGATCCATTTATTGATGAAGTTTTTTTCCACAGAAACATCAACAGTAATATATGTGTAAAACTTGGGCACTGTGGTAGTAAGTAATTCCATATTAGTTTGTTTATTTGATATATCACACAGTGAAACAGTATTATTTACTGGATGACGTTTCGAACAAAATTTATTGTTCATAATCATATCATAATTGATATGATTATGAACAATAAATTTTGTTCGAAACGTCATCCAGTAAATAATACTGTTTCACTGTGTGATATATCAAATAAACAAACTAATATGGAAACATCAACAGTATCTTAAAAATCAGAGAAAACGACAACATAATGATGTCTATCTACCTTTAGGTAAATTTCGTGACATAAGTTTGCCCATAAATTAAAACAAAATAATTATCATTGTAAACTGTATTTTTAATGTGTCTAAATTTTAAACAGCAACATCACGAAAATATGTCTATTTCATTTTGAAGATGGGTGAAATTGTCTACTGATAAGCCATTATTAACAGTGTGAAAAGCACACTTAATTTCAAGATGAGAAGTATGTGTCTTAGGAATTATTCAAAAATTTCATTGATTAAGCAGCCATCCAAAGAAGTCCACGATTTTAACTCTTACATTTTAATTCGTTGAAGAAGACAATGTTGAGTTCAAACATTCATAAACCATAAAATAGATTGACATCTTTTATACAAAGAAATTCTAAGCGAAAAGTTCTTCACAATTTGTCAGGATAATGGGAAACATTGGAGTATTTATTTCATTACTAAACGATCATTCGAAACTTTTGAAATTGAAAAGTCTTTGAAAGCTATCTTAGTGTAGTCTAAGGTGTCTGAGCTTCTCAATTGAAAAGAAACTCTAATGTTGCTAATTTTAACTGAATCTATGTATTTAAATGTTATTCTGTTTGCCATCAGAATCGCGTAACTAAACCAAATTAAAACAAGACATCTAAGCTTATGCTGTTCTCCACTAGATATTGCTCAGGCTTAACTCTAATTTACATCGTTTTAGATATAAAACCTGATCATATTTAAGAAAAAGTAGTTTTTTCTGAAGCTCTAATGCAGTGTGGAAGTAGTCACTGAAATTCTATATCTAAGATTATCATGAGCCACAATATGACTTATACTTCTGCCACCTTTTGTTTGTTTTTCTCCGGACCAGTTATCAGTTAAGATAGGCAAGAAAGATAAGCTATCTAAGTGCTCCAGTTCCATGCGTATTCAAAAATTTAGCTGCTTTTGTAGAGAAAGCTAAATAGAGTGAAAAACTAGACAGCTTAAAAAACATATTACCGAACACCTTCCCCCATGGTACAGAAACGGCCAGAAAAAACCTTTAAGACGCTTTTTTGTGTCAGTTGATTCATAGTGGTCACTAAATTGACTGGAGAAGCCGTCATAAGATCATCTGTGGCATTCCACGGAATCTTTCAAAGGTTACTGGAACTCATCTGTTGCACATAACCGAAGCTATGGGAATTTGGGAGAATAAACCTAGTCTCTGCATACAGAAGAAGTGTGTTCTGTTTTTGTCTCTCCCTTGGTTTAGTTAAATGTAACAAAATAATTACAACTGCTCACAGTCATCCATTATTCACCCTTTGCATATATTTATCACATCTTATTAAACTCCGACTATATCCATGCCATTCCCCTTCAGCATTACATAATTTCTATTTTTATAAGTGTTCTACCTCATTCAATGATTGGATTATTTACATTATCTCACATCACTTTCATTATTCTTATCGCCACCTGTGCCAACTGCTTGTACTTTTGTTAACATTGACCTGAGTATTATAATTATCACTATTTTTATAATCGTTGTTATTAGTGACATATTTACAACGATTAGCACTTATATTTGACCACGAGTTCACGGTCACTGGTTGAATTTTTTGTATGCAAAATGATATGTACGTTGAAATAAAGCCTAAAATTTCAGTTGAAAACAACATTATTCTCTTGGATGTCTTATTTTAATTTTCACAATGGGAATATTAAAAATTATGAGACTAAACAAAAGCTAAAACATCATCTCTAAATATCTTTTATACTCTAAGATTGACATTGTTTTGCAGACATCAACTAATGGAGTAACGGGTGAAGATGAAAGACTTGGCGATGGACCTTTATCAAGCGAAAACGCATGATATTTATGCAATCTTAGATACAGAGGAGAATAAATTCCTGATGTAAGTGTAGAACTTGGGCACTGTGGTAGAATGTAATTCCGTATTAGATAAGTTTATTTTAAATATCACACAATGATGTAGTATTAATAACTGGATGACAAGGGTTCTAGCACAGATTATTGCTCACAGTCATATAAATTTTAGTCACACGGTTTCACAATTTGTCTTACATATATTTTCTCTCTATATTCTGTCCCTCCAACTTTCCTCTGTAGTTTGTCACCACTTCCTATATCTCTGGTATAGGCGTTGCGTCATTCCGACTGCATATGTGCAGTGTTGAATCGATAAACAAAGCTTCAGTGATCAACCTCTCTTTCACTCCACCTAACTATGTTACTTTTTAATACTCTCACCCTGTCCCTCCCACCCAATCTGTTTTGCGATTACATGCAGGTGAATGCAGTGTAATGGCTGAACCTTTTTCAAGGTTATTCAACTTAGCAGAGTCAATCATCCGATGTCTAGCTTAACTTTTATGTTCCAATAATCTAGCTGACCCCGATCTACTAGTTTGACTGACCTATGCAATTGACCTCAATGTACAGCATTACATGGTATTTGGTAAATGTTGTTATTTTTATTAATTGGATCTGTTGGGTCCTTAAGCCTACAAAGTTAATCTCTGAGAGAGCAGGTTGGTTGGTTTAAATGCCACCCTAATTCCAGCCTCATTGAAAATTCTACGTAAGGCCTCTGATTGTATGGTGACTGGCCCAAGGATAAACAAGTTGTCCGGTGAGGTTATTCCATATCCACAAAGTAAACTCTGCAGTCATTGACTTAAAATGTTGACTTCAGTTCTGGCCGCTTCCTAACAGTCTGCATCACGCTAAAATGGTTTATGCTACTATAAGATTTACTCGTGAATCTCCTGTCTCTTATTATTCAAAAGTAATAACGCGAAGCAATATGGATATATGAAGTTGGAATACTTTATGGATTGAAATCGAAACCCGTTTTATATTTAGTTATTCAACAGTGTATTTCATAATTCTCACGCTTATAAATCATAAACCGTTTAGCACAGTTAATATGAAATATTTGTTTTAAACCAGAAACTTAAGGTTAGCTCTAGAAGTTGACTGATCTGCAAGGATTTTTGTTAAAACAATCACTGCATTCCATTCACCGAAATGAATAAATAAAAAAAACTAATTTCAGAAATAAACAGAAGATAAGTACCATTTCTAGCATACAAAGAATCATTTTATCTTTTAGACGACAAGAAACTAATTTTTGGAAATTTACCTAGAATTCACTTTAAAACTGAGCATATCACTTCAACCACTGTTTTTCCATTCGTCTCTCTCTCTTATCCTTCCTCTAACTTCCTTTCAGTGTTAATATTTCCAATTTTACCACTTCACTTTTGTTTCATTTGTTTATATGTAATACACTCTAATTCTGGTAAACAAGTTTCTTTTCAAAACTGTTCCAGTTAGGCATTATATATATATGTATACCTACATATTTACTTAAAATAATCCTGAGGAGAAAACTATGGGTCATTGAATTCGCGTGACTTGTTTCACAAAAATATTTTTTTGACAATAAGTTGAGTACTACTTCTTCGAAATTCCTATCCAGTTAAGAAGAATGGAAAAGAAATAATAATAGTAATAATAAAGTTGGCACCAGTTTTCAAAACTTTCTCATCTACAACACTATCAAACAAATTCAATTATTTCATTTACAGTGGTATAGCAATAAAGTTTTCTAATCACCAATGAGAATCAATTTAAGAATAAGCTGGAAAAAGAAAAACAAAATTGTTTAAAGTTATTTAATGAAGTGTATGTCTAAATTATTTGTTTATTGAATGGACTTATATTCTAAGTGGACATAAATATTCGCTTACTGTATATCATTTATTTTATTCTATTTTCTATTTTCAATTCCATAACCAATGTAGTTACATTTGATTTTATAACGTGTTTTTTTGACTTTTCATGACTTTTAGCAGACTACATACAATCTTGTAAATTTTAGCCTTAACTAAATATTGTAAACCTGTGATGAATTTTCACCTCGAACAGTGTAAGATTTGATAGTGTGGAATATTCCCATATTGTGAATTAAAAGTCAATCTGAACGAAAAATATTCTTTTCAATAATTTCTCTCTCTTCAGGTTCTTACAATTATAAAATATAATATTTGTTGTCGTTACAATAAAGGCCAGTTATGCGGCAGATACATTTTTAACGTAGAATAACAGATTAGTTATGGGGTGTCAAAATAAATAGTCGTATTTGTGTGACAAACGTGCTAGGCTGAATTCGATTACAAAATATTGTAAAACGGGAGACAATGGTGGTGATCAGTCATAATAGATTTGTACAGTGTGGGGTAGGACATGTGTTACGCATGCTTAGTCATTGCCTTCCTCGACAATGGGCAATGTTAGCTGATATTGGGCCAGGCTGGAAAAGAGCTAGCGGCGGTCAAACGAAAACATGGCACCAGTCAATGAAATCTACAACGTTTAGTCTAGGCCATGTAAGAGGGTGTAGAGTTCCTGGTTGGGGTCCTCGGGATGGTAAAAACCAATGGTTGGAAACAATTGGTGACATGGCTCAAAATCGTCCTCAATGACAGCGCAGATGCATCCACTCCTTGTGACTTATGATTTCCAATTAAACTGTTTTGTTCTTCGTTATTACTATTCCTTTGTCTCACACCTCTGTTTACTGTCTATATTATGCATTTCTCCTACTTTCTTCTCTTGCTTTGTGTGCTACATGGAGGGAGTGTGGCGACTTGAACTGCCGCACATATGTGCAAAGTTCTATGTCGAAAACAGACAGACAGACAGACAAGTCTAGAGGGGTGACTAATTGGAAACTAGAAAAGAGGACAGAAGTTAGCGTGACATAATAAATGTGAGAAAATGACTAATCCATGCGTAATACGTTTTCGAGGACAAATTTTACCAGTATCTGATTGGTCTTATGAATTCGTTATTAAATATAATTACGATTGCACAGCTCATGAAAATGAATCGTCAAAAGAAAATTTTCCTCTCTGTTTAAATCTTTTTCTTATGACTCAATGTGGGAAAATCTCATGAATATCTTTTATAGAAAATTAGATTAAAGGACAAAATTCAAGCAAGTACTCATTTTCGGTAATATCTGACCAGGCCTTACAATTACATAACATTACTAGGCATAAACATTTGATACCAATACAGTCAAAACAGTTGAAGTTCAAGTATATGAATTAACTGATTAAAATCAAGGTGAACGTAGGAATAATAATAAGGATAAACTCATGAGAGTGTTTGTCTGATCTAGGTAGTCAATCATTGTGAATGTTTAAATAAAATGTGTATATTTCTAGAGGTACAGCGATAAGATAACTATTGTATCATAACAATTAGATCAGAAAGTATTTTATAAAGTTAATTTGTATTTCCATTGATTGTTTATGTTGAATCGAAATGCCTGTTCTCCGTTGACATTTTCGATCCTACCATGGACACTTTTACAATGTTCTGAGATTAAAAAGATGCTGTTTGGTGGGTTATGCTTCAACGTTTGAAACAATAGGTTCCTTGTTTAAATTCCAATGAGAAAAACATCACTAACTGGGGATATGTGATCCAAGGATGTTTTAATTATGCGTTTCAAATGGTGTGTTAAAATTAAGTTTATGACTGGTCTCCATGATGTGCCGTGCACTGGATAACATTGTACATCTATTTCTGTGGTCTTGCTGCTACTTTAGAATATCCTTTGTTTTATAATTATTGACACTCGTTTGCAAGGCTTACCTTCAAACTCCAAAGAACTTATGTTTCCCTTGAGATCTGATTCCACACACCAGGCTACTGTGATTCAGGACGCTGACTACCTCTTGCAGGACTTAACTGGCACATCGATCCATCACTGGATAGCAACCGTTGTTACGTTGTCTGGTTTTCAGTATTAATAGAATTTTACTAATCAAGTTTGAAGATATGACTTGTAGACGAGTGCTAGTAAGTATAAGACCCAACTATATGTCTATTACCGATTATCTCTGGCCATTTAAAATCAATTTATGATGTACATTGATGGCAGTTCACTAAACTTGACCGACAGAATTCCGTTAGTAATAATAAGTGGACAGTATTAATAATTGGTGCAAAACAGAGGTACTTTAAACAACCGATCGACTTCTCTTTATATTGCATTTTGTTGTAGACTGATCTTATCATCTCATACTAAACTTTGACGGTAACATCATCACACCAATCAAAGCAAAAGATATGTGATATATTTTCTATAGTTTGGTTTGTAAGGGTTAGTTATGTTTTTACGAGTTGATCACGGATTGATATCAGTTAGAGAACCATTGAAAACCAGCACTGGAGTACTGAACAGCTGCTGTTTCATCCTAGTTTGGGAATCATCGGCAGTACGCACCCACTGGGATTCGAACCCAGGACCTTCCGGTTACAAGGCAAGCTCGTATACCATTCAGCCACTGGGACCCGATTCAATGGCTCACGAATTCTAACTTCTACCAATTCGTGATTTAGCGCGACCCCAACCATTGTCGTTGGTGGGACATCCATCCACACACGTGACATCTAATCGGGTCCAAGTGGCTGAATGGTATACGAGCTTGCCTTGTAACCGGAAGGTCCTGGGTTCGAATCCCAGTGGGTGCGTACTACCGATGATTCCCAAACTAGGATGAAACAGCAGCTGTTCAGTACTCCAGTGCTGGTTTTCAATGGTTCTCTAACTGATATCAATCCGTGATCAACTCGTAAAAACATGTGATATAACTAAAGTTCATGTAATTAGAATTTATTAAATGACACTACCTATTTTACAATAAAAAATCCTAGGTATTTTTTTTCTATTTTATAGCTGATTTAGTACATAAAGAAGACTGACTTAACCAAAATCAACTTTGTTAATGAATAGTGATTGCATAAACTCACATTTTTTTCAGTCTTCCTCGAAACGTTTTCATGATGGTTAATATTATCGTTATTATTTAACAAAGCTTGTATGTTGTCTATCATATTATCTGTCAACATAAACCAACAAGACCATGCAACGTTTGCTAATGCTCTACGGTTAGTATACTGGTTCAAATAATCCATAATTTCTTGAACCGACGTACCAAACAGCTGTGTATGAGTTGAACATTTTACATTTTCTGTATTCCCTGTTTTACGTACGGTTTTACTCGAAGCTTTCAACTTTCCTTCCAGTTTCACTTCTGTCTCCCTACGTATATTTGATTTGTTACACCAAGCTGATAGTGTGCACAGTAAGTTACTTATTAATGCTGTTACATTCCAACAATATCTTGCGGTTTCATACAGTTTAGGCCAGCATTCACCTCTGTAGGCTAAATTGGTCGATCGTTTTAGTAGGTCAAATATTCTTTGGATGTCATTTGTCAGGTTAATCACAAGGAATGTATCAATAAAACCTGAAAATATTGGAATAAAATTTTAATTAGACCACACTATTGACAGCTTACTAACTTATTTCATTAGAATATTCTGCAAAGGATTGTTTTCACCTCGAAGATTATTTACTAGATTATTGTATTTAGAAATTCTCAGTAAATTCAGTTAGAGTAAGAGTCAAAGGATAGGAATAACCCTCTTCCACTTTCATCTTTATTGAGTGTTTAGTCACACACTCTCACCTTACATGAATTAAACATTAAAATTTTGACCATTTGAATGGATATGAAAGCTTTCAGGATAACTGAAGTTAGACGTTTTCAAGAAACGCAATAGAACTCATGTTATACTTTGATCACACTGAGATTTTATAACTCACGTGTCCACAAAATGTTGAATTCATTAATAGTATAGAACGCACAAGTAAATTTGAATGCGTTTCATAAAACTTGCTGAGAAACTTTTATTGAACACTAGTTAGTAACTAGTGTAATGTGTCTAGTCCTTTGTTTAGTGTTGATTGAATTCTATCAGTCAAGTTTGCAGTGTGGCCATTATGCTTACTTCAGCACTAGGTGACGCGGGTTCAAATCTCACAAGGGACACGAATTCTTTCAATTTTATAGATGGGCCTTGCTGACGAGTGGCAACTAGCCTGAAACCTAGGTCAAGCAAGGCTTCTTGCCGACTGCCTGTCACAATCTAATATCAGTAAATAGAAACTGTTGGTAAAAAGAACTTACAATAATACCTGGACGTCTGGGTTTCCATCAACTTGCCTTTCAACTAATTCGTAATATTCCCTCTACTTCTTGCTTAATAAATTTTTCATTAAATGCGAAGCTTGTTTTCCTATTTATTTTATAGTTTTTGGAAGGACGCCGTATATCTGTTCTGTAACAAAATATGTTCAGTTTTAATCTTAAATGACAGTCTTGGAAGTGTGCTTTAATGTAAGCGTTGGTCTTTGGCAGTGTGGTATAATGTGGTTCCATATTAGTTAAGTTTATTTTAAACATCATACAGTGATGTAGTATTAGTAATTCGATGACGTTTCCAGGATAAATTACTGCACATTATCATATCAATCAAATTGTGAGTGACTGGTGGTGATGGATATGTTTTTCTAATTAAGCTTCTGAATAATACTCCGTCAAAAAGAACAGGTAGGTCGAGAGTTGGATGACATATACATGCTGTATCCTGTAATCATATTTTGTATACCTGTTGACATTCTTCATCTGCTACACTAATGAAGTGATAACAGTTAAGAAAACTACAAACTGATCAATGTGAAGTGCGAAGTGTGTTAGCATTCAAATATGAAGACTGATAATGTTAAAATGGGATGCCGACTTTTATCTATTCAGTCTTACTGTCCATCTTAACATGGCTAAAATGGCAAACATATTTCAATTTGTAAACTTAAAGTTACTTGATTATTTAAATATTCAATTACCTTCATTATTCCCATGTTCTATTTTGTTATTCAGACACTGTTTATCATCCTCTTTTCCAAACTGTAAAGCATCAACTGTAGGTTCACAGTTAAGTGATCCTGAATAATCATATAACGCTTTAGACGCCTCATAAGCTGTTAAACAAAAAGAGTGGAACGTTACATTTGCAGGAACAAATTATGATGAACAGTAAATGTAACAAACATAGAGACCAAGGATTTAATATGTTTACCTGTTGTTTAAACATGTATGTGAAAGTGGAATAGATTTAAAAGGACATTTCTAAATCAATACTGACAGATGTCATTTCATGTGTGCAGATATAGTGGGTCATTTTATTTCATCGTATAAAATCGCAATAAATGAAATAAAGTAGGCAATCAACTAGTAAACGTAACAGCATAAACTTATTCTCGTTCAGCTGACTGACTAGGATTCCTAGTTCAATCTATGAATTTGGTAGATGCCGCTTATATCATACAAATGATAAATCACTAATAATGTTATTTGCTACTGTCTTAACTTAGTGTACCGGTATTAGTGTGGTGGAAGATAATGACTGAAAATGAAACAAATCTGAGTGCCAACGTAATTTATATGAATCATTTTTCGAATCCAGCTGCTGACAAGATTTTCACACTAACTTTAATCAGTACTGTCACAAATTAATGGTTTGCCTTTACATATTTATTTTGTGTTTCGAATCATAAACGAATATATTTCTGAATTTTTTATTAGCCAGCAAAGTAACTGACTTTGTCAAGCCTTTATAATTAATTTGTTAGATTCCAATTTGTGTAACTAAATCAAAATACGAACTGTGGAATACCAGACATTAGACTTATAAATGAAATTTGAACTTTTCATCGCAGTATCAAAATAGTTCGCACTTATTGATCATACAAAAGGAAAAATACTTTTGTAAAAATTATATTTGTAAAATCTCAGAGAGATTGAAATGAGTAATTCCAACGTTTCGTTCGGCAATCTGGTCCGAACTTCTTCAGGGAAATTAATCAACATTAACATAACAGGGGTTTATATATAAAAGGTACATCTTTTGTTTTTAAAAACTTTGTCCAATCATGAGTCATTCAACAAGTATAATAAACAAAATTTTATGAGCTGTGATCAAAATTTGACCTCGGATTTACAAATATTGGTCTACCTTTGTTAAATACTTTAGACAGAGTGTGTATGTGTGCGTGGGTAAACAGTTGTAAAACATTTCTTAACGTCTCCATAAGAAGATATGGACAGCCGAGAATTTTGACCAAGTATTAATAATTAGTGATACATATCCATTTTTATTTATTAATAATCCTATGCATCAGCTAACACCACACCTTCATGTCTGTTCACACTGTTAGTATCTAGAATTTTATGATTAGACGTATTTTCAAAATTATGGTGTTTAGGATTGGATTTACAAATATAATTTTTACAAATGTCTACTTCTCACTCGGCGCCCAAATATTTTAGAACTATTCTGTCAAATCTTGACGACAGTTCATTTGGAAAAATACTTTGCTTGTAAGAAAATTATGCAGAGGTTGTTTTACTCCAGTAATCTGTGGCTCACTTTTTGAAAATATCGGATGTATTCAAGATGATGGGTTTTAGTTGCCTGTATAGTTACCAGTAAAATATTACTGGATAGATTATAACGCAATGTGTTAAACATAGAAATGCTGATTCACCTCAAAGTAAGAAAGAAAGTGAAACTAAATTTTTATAATAAAAGCACTGAGTTTTATCTCTACTCTTTAAATAATACTGCCACCCCTTTCCTTGGAATATTCATAATTCTACACATCGTCTCAGACTGTTTTCCAATATGCAGTAGCACTGCATAGGACCGTATTGGGACCGGGCGGCTTTTTTAAACCACTGGACTAACTAACGTTTCTGTCCATAGAAATATTCATTATTTACTCTAATTCATGTTGTTCTAATTACCTAGTTACATCTCGGAATCTGTACTAATGTCTATATTCAAATAACATTTGACCTACCACTGGGTTTTTTGAAGTAACTGGAAAAAAAGTAGAGCTAGTTATTAGAGAATCCTTTATGTTGAATGATATTTATTCAGGTCGTGCATCGTGCATCACTAATTTGAAAAATCGACAACCTAAGTCAATACTTTGTGACAGGACACGCTGAGAATTCTGCAATAAGTACTAGAACATTTTTCAGAATACAGTATCGGTATTACACCTAATTTCTCAAGGATGTCAGTGGCAAATAACCCATTGAAACTATTTGGGTAGAACTTTCATCACTGAACACTGGATAATGAACTTCACTGTTTCATCTGACTGGTCTAGCAGAAGGTGGGTGGCCAAGCATTCATGTAATTTGCCATGCTGTCGTGTTACACTCAGCTTTCCGTGCACACACTTTGGCTATCTATGTAGACATCACTGACCTACATTCTTTTATTCCGTAAAATATTGCGTATTTTGGATTCTGACCTTTTTATTCTCACCAGGCTTTCAAAAAGTTTCCTGACCACACAGAAGGAGTACGTTGATAGTTGGGTGATACATAATTGCCTGATCCTATAAGCACAACTCGCCTATTAGTCGATATCATTAATCTCCTAAACTAATCAGCTGAAAACGAATTTTACCTTCGAAATTGATGAGCCAGAAAGTAAACTTCAGTATTTACAGTGTGTTTGTTAGATTTGGTATTTGTTCATTTCATTTCTTCAGTATTTTTCTTTGGACACTATTTGTACTATGTACGACCAGACCACCAAACCCATAAGCGATTGACCAACTAATGTACCCATTCGGCTCGTGGCATTTTGGACAGGCAGAAACTTGATTTTTGTACGCCAAACTTGACTTCATTGCCGTAAGTTAGTGGATCCACTCTCCCACTTCATGGCAGTTACACGTGATCTGCCTCGGGAATTAAACAAGTGAATCAACCCACACAGGCATTTACCACAGAGATAATAATTCACATGAGACGCTTCAAGCAGAAATCTTGAAGGTAAATGACATCTCAGACCACCAACGTCTCGGAGAACTTTTCCACAGGGTCGGGTTGGGTGATAGTTTGAATGTAAGTATGCTCACACCAATGCATTAATTCATAGGGCAGAGCAGATTCACTGAGGTGCTCTTTTGAGAGTTATTATTGTCTAAGTTGTTAAGTCAGTGCAGACTGTGCTGTTGACCCTACAACCTGTCTCCGCGGATGTCCTAACTTATATATATATATATATATATATATATATATATATATAACCTGGAAATCTGTACGGTTGTATTTTGAAGGATAAGATTTCACAGCAACAATTATTATTTAATTCGACTTGTATAGTAGAAAGAATAGAGTGGAAAATAATTCCTAAACTGATACTAATATGATGAAAAAGGAATTTAGGTCAAAAGGGGCATGGAAGACAAATTGAAGTGCATGCCTTCTAGGCTCCATCTGTGACAGACTCATTTACTTAGCCTTTTACCATGAAAAGATTGTTGCTGTCACGAAACCATCCTCGAGGTGAACGACTACGGTTAGTTTCAAGCATTATAACATTAACCAGCAGCAGAGCCTACATTATGTATTATTTCTACTGAGGTTCAACTCAGAATCATAACCAGTAAAAATCAGTCGCACCCCTTTTATTCAGGTTTCCACCTTAAAGGAAGATGGAACGAATGGACAACCAGCTAATGAATAGTGAAAAAGCTCGTGGAAAAAAGTTATCACTTCCCGTACATTAAAATATTTTTGATTCTTAGTGCTCTTATTAGTTTTGTTTACGTGCATTGGACACTGTACGTTGAAAAGGCGCTACACTCAAAATGGGTGACTCCGGCAATTTGAATTACAACTTATTGCGTATTTGGGAAAAAAGGACAAACTGCAGAGATAAAATAATTGATTTGCACCAAAAATATATCGACGATACTCTGAATAATTTTGTAAGTTGCTTGTGCTGGCTAATTTTTCACTTTCAGACCGAATTGGAAACTCCAACACCCGAGGAATCTGAAATTCAAAGTTCCCCGAATATACCCTCACAAATTCCTGACATTCCCTTTGACAAAAAATATCTCGAAGATATTAATGAGGTATGGTTGTTTACATTATTTGCGATTTGTTAGGTAGAAAAGTTGCTCGTAGATCAGATCAGTGCTCTTAATGCAATTGAATCCTCTGAAATTACCAATAACGATGGTCATCCTGGTAAGCTTATTGGCTTATTTTCTACTTTCATCATTAGGTCTCGCAACAAATGACCACTGAATGTATTGAACTCTGCTTATCTCGCGGTCATGGTTGAGGTCGCCATATGGTTCAGATAATCTGAACATATGCAGATGGATGTATATGGTCAACGCGCTACGTCTGCTTTTCGAGCATTATTTCTGCGTAAAGGAACTATCGCCAAAGAAGCTCTGGCCATAAACTCATACTGTCAATGGACATAAAATGTCAATTTACCTGCATATATTTACAACATTTTGAATTCTTTCCTCTGGTTTATTACTCATGTTAACCCCCTTCATGTTCAGCATTGTGCTGATCTGTAGTTCTTAATTGATGTCCGAATTGTTATATATGAAGCATTTTTACTTCGCAAATGGAGAATAATACTTTGAAAAGTGCTCCACGTGGTGAAGTAAGTCGCCCATCTCTCTGCTCACGAGTTTAAGTCTTACATATTTCGTCATGCATACCTGACTTATTTTACCAGCCGGTTTTTATATTTACTAAGTCCTAGTGTGTAATACTACGTATATTGCAGAGTACTTGTCTGACGCTACATTGATATGCTAACTTTTGTATAATTAGACCAACATTTGACATCATAGCTTCTGAGCGTGATGTAAGCGTAGTTACCGCCTTTTGCTCCCAATTTCTCTCGAGGTTACCTCTACTAGGTTTCCTGACACAGTAGTCCTTCAGAGTTAAGTGACAACAAAATGGCACATTAGTTGAGTTCACCACTCCTCGTGAAAAGAAATTAATGCAATTATAACTAATGAAGTTTTGTGGAAGGACTAATTAGATAGCACTTCGTTTTGTAACAGTCCGTCTTACGGGGAACTAGCGCATACGGTTGAGTCATGTGATCTTCATGCTTTCATTGTGGTCTTGGTGAAACTGCATTAAGATCATATATAATTTCTAGGTTTTAACCATAAACGTGTGATAAGTTGATTTGACGTGTTGTACTCAACAAATGTTCGTAGTTAACATTTCAATGAGAAGGTTTAGGTGATTATAATGTTATGCAGTATAACCTATTCAGCGTACTAATAAATGGTAGATGTTCTGTTGCGTACTTTGATTGCTCACGGAGGTGATGTGGACGCTAAGAGATAGATCACATGTACTTTTATCATCTGGGCATTGCCGTATTGGTGGAACTTTCCATCTGTAATTAATGCTTGGTGGTATTTTGTTTCACGTGCAGCAATTTTTCTCTAGCTCCTTTCTTAAGATTGTACAAATACTGCGAACTTATCGGCAAGTCGACACATAAAATCTTTTAGTTATGTACACTGGAAATCACTTGGAGCATCTCTCTACTAATTGTATATCGTCTGCTGTTTACTTTTCAAAGGTACTTCCTAGTCGCACTACTGCTGGTATCACCTTTATATTCTAATTTCTGTAGATGCCGGTACGTAAGGTGTGGTTATCTTGAACTATGTAGCCGTCTCACATCTCATGTATTTAGTTGACCGGGCAAACTTCGTAATTAACAAGACAATAAACTTCTCCCATCGAAGTTGTTCGCCACAGTTAAGAACTTTCTTCATGTAGACGACTTGTCTCTTTTAGTCACCCGTTCATCCGGCAATTCCTCTGCGCTCACTGAATTCGGCTTCTTCAGCTCAAATAAAAATTGCTTAGGTGATTAATGGAAGAATTAGATGACTAGAACCCACTGCTTGTAAAAGACGTCAACTGTTATTTTGGTATCCACTTTTCTGACTTTTACACGTGTAAGAATATATATTCTCTAAAATTTGTCAAAAGAGATGATTAGCAAAACATATCCCGACTCTGTAAAGAAGTCACAATCGAGTTATTCAACACTCCAAAGACCTGGCCACAACAAGTTAAGAATCCCTGAGGTCTATGCGGCCACCCTTCCCGCGGTCGTTTTTGTCCGACGGTGAAGAATTCAGTGACACAAGCTCCATGAAACATTACATCTCAAATGATATGTACATTCTGTCACGACAGCTCTTGCAACTTCGAGATTGATTTTAAGAGGTCTAGAATTCACTTTTTTAAAGTGTTGAGGGATGATGAATAATTGCGTTTGTGCAACCTTTGTTGGTCTGTCACATGCCGGCAGATGAACCTAAGAAGTTCTGTAACTGACAGACATACTTTCAGATTTGAGTGAGGAACGGTGGCGTTTAGTCTAGGCTTCAATGGTGAGGGTAGTAGTCACTTTTTCGGGATGCTACTCTGGTTCTTTTAGTAATTCTTAGTACTTTTTCGATTTGATTTTCATAAGTTTTCATATACATGCTTCCTTGCAAAAGCCGTCATGCAAGATCTTATGTAAACTTATAAATCGAATGGTAATTTCCACATGTTTGTGTACACGTATAGTTCGGTTAGAAAAGTTACAACAAGCTTATTATAGACTGGTAGGATATATATATATATATATATATATATATATATATATATATATATAAAATCTAACAGCACTTAATGCTATGTAATAAATCAGATTTTGAACCCGAAAGATGTCGGGCCGAAATATCCGTCTTTCATACCAGATAATTTTATTTTGATATAACACAGATGCATTATTAGTAGCTGAATGACGTTTCAAGCATAATTTGTCGCTCATAATCACATCAATGTATTCACATGGCGCCATAATTGGCTCTATGTATTTTTTCTCTTCCCTTTGTTATTCATTGTAATTTTCCATTTATGCGATTTAGGCATTGCGTCATTTCGATTGCATGTGTTTGGTGTTGATTTGATAAACAAGAAGAGAAATATATATGTTGACTCCTTTATAAAGCCGTGTGGATACATTGATATTATTATGAACAATAAATTCTGCCCGAAACGTCATCCAGTTATTAATACCATATCACTGTCATATCAAATAAATAATGTGGAATTACATTCTGCAACAGTGTTCGAGCCCTACACTTGCAAGAATTATCTGTTTGATGGTAAAAGGTTGTAGGAAAAAACAGGACATGCAACACTTGGTTACCTCCAGGGAAATTTAAATTATTGCTCTATGTTTATTAAGACGTACCTACGTTACCACAGTGCCCAAGTTTTATACTTATATCAGTAATGCATTACCACTTCTTTTACCTCTGAATGTGAATAAAATTTAAACTTGACGTGACTCACTTGCTGTATTGCTTCCTTGAGGTATTATAAAAGCCAGTCTGTCAAATTTCTTCCTGTCAATGTTAATTACTGACTTCCGTAAGTTCATCCGAATGGGCCTATTTTCGAAGCTGTCCTTTAGCGATTGATCATAGTCAATTATAATATTATCTCTATAGTATGTGTACCACTCCACCTGTTTTCTAGGTATACACGTAGATACAGATTAAAAAAAGATTCGGCTTAGTCGATATTAGGAAAATTTGCAAGTTGACAGCGTGTTAATCAATAATTTTGACCATTCGGCTTTTAAATCGCAGTTTACAACCACAATGTCACTGACTGTCAGAGTTTCAATAGAGTTCATAGCACAGAAGGGCAGCGATTCAAGTTGGAAAAGAAATTCGTAACGACTATAATAAATAAAAGTGTGTAAGAAGAGTAGTACGATAGAAGAAATATGACAGTTTAGTGGGTATGGGAGACTATAAAGAGTGAGTGCATCTGCGCCATTTTGAGCGGTATTATCAGTATTCTTTAGCCATCGGTTCCTAGCATCTCGAGAACCCCAGTCTGGCAGTCTACACCTCCCTACGTGTTTCAGACCAACTGTCAAAGTCATGGGCTGTTGCCAAATGTTAGTATGACCACACCTAACCCTTTTCTAATTTAATCTAATGTCGGCTAACTTTGTTCATCGAAGGAGACGATAGCTCGGCATATGTAACACGTGTCCGAGACATCTCAATCGGTGTAGTTCTACAACCTAGGACTCTACATCTGACCTTAGTATTGCTTGTCATAGTGTTCTACTTAACACGAGAGATAGAACGCAAACATTTTTGATCAAAGATGGGTACTTTTTTCATATCTTCCACTTTTAATGGCGATGTCGCTTCGTCATTAAATAGGACGGAGCGAACTGTGGAGCAGTACACACTTCCCTTGATTGACGGCCGGATATCATGTCCAAGCTAAAGATGACGTAATTTGGCAAATGCCACGTGAGCTTTTTGTATTTGCACTGAGATTTCGTTAGCATTCAGCCTGTTGGGGCTGATGCAGCTTCTCAAGTGAGTGAAGCGGTGAACAAACTCCACCAGTTGACCCCGTACCTATAAGCTACTAGGGTTTGGTGCAGACCATCCACTAACATCGATCAAGTAGCATACGATGTGCATTGTCATCCGAAGCGTACATTATTTAGGTATTTTGGATTTCTAAAACAAACTATGGCTAAGTGATGTGTCGACGTGGAACTTGGCATAGAATGGTGTCTTTTCACATCGGCATACTTTTAAAATCACGCGAAATTAAGGAACAGTAACAGAATTGTAGCCCAATGTGGTTGCAACTGAGACAATGATTAAGTGACGGCTAGTAAGGCGTTTTGTATTCTCAGTGATAAGTGAATACATTTGCACCACTGCAAGGTATATCGTCAAGAGTCTCTAACCACTTGCTCTTAGTGTCTCAAGCACTTCGGCCACGAGGTCTGCACCTCTACGTGGCTCTTAAAAACAATCAGTGATTTCGTGGATTGATGTTATGGTATAGTTCGAATACTTTTACCTTTCTTACCTTTTGTTCCATTACTGTGATAACAATTATTAATTGTCGTTGATTTGAAATTATTTCTGAGGTGTGGTATATGTTTACATTAGTGGTAACTTATGTCATCTTTATCCTGTTACCTGAGGGAAATTCGTGGAGCGAGAAGTAAGCTACCCTGATGCTGAAAACAGATCTGTCCTTGCTTCGTTTTTATTAAATGGTGTGAATGTGTACCATTGAGAAATAATTTATTGTCCATGTTTACATTAGCTTGTATTATTGTATGCATGTAGTCATGATTCTTGTGCGTGTTGCAACCAGCCATGGTAACTAAACCAAATTGTATTGCTAAGATGAAAAAAGCTTTTTAAATTAAAAAGAGGATATTTTCTTGTACGGCTTACTTTTTCGTTAGTATTTCACTATGCATAGTAATCGATCGCCATTTCCTCCATAGTTCATACTGTTCAATTCTTGCTTGCAGAAGACTAAACTGAATTTCAATAAAAAAAGATAAATATTTATTCATGTTCCTCCCTTACTAGTTTTTGCTGAAATTTTAGTTTCCATCAGTGTTGAACTGATGTATAAGAATTGATACCTGATGTCCTTACTACTTTAAAAGTCAGACAGCTGAAGGCATAAAGAAAGTCAATATTATACCCCACTCCGTACTGAGCAGTAAATAGTTTATTTGGAAACTGGAAGTCACAATAGTAATCTGTGACTAATGTAACTCGACCCTCGTACTTTGTGCAACGGTTTCTGAATAAATCCCACCAGAAAAATTGGTGTCCTTTGTTGTAGGTTTGTGCAACAGTTAAGTATGAAACACTAGTAGCATATTATCACTTTTTATTGTGGAACTGTGGATACCTTACTAGATTTTCCAAAGGAACAAATATGCTATATAGTTTATTCGCGTTCAGCGTAATTATAGTTTTAGACAATTCATAAAGGAAATTATAAATTGCTTTTGAAAATATACCTAATCCTGTACACCATGATGGCTCCACTGCTAACCATCACCTAATAAATCATATCAAGTCGGTACTCTTCATCTGTGTTATTTCCCTTCTATGCGAATAATATTGTTAAAGTATACTTTGCGATTATGCTGCAATAGAAAAATGGGTAAATATTCTACTGTATTTGGTCACCGATTACCAATCAGTCATTATTAATGTGTTGTTTTGCGGAAATCAACATATACATCACAATAATTCCCATTGTAACATTAAGAGCACAGTATTCAGCGAAGCAGGTTGTTTGTAGTAAGTATATTTCAGATGTCTACGATCTCTTTCTCACGTTAGGTGGTATAATAAGGTAAGTAATGTTGACGTTAGGCGCAGACTGTTGGGCAAAGAGGGAAAATCAATCGACGAGGCTATAAAGTTACATAGATTGAGATGGTTAGGTCACGTGCTGCGCATGCCTAACCATCGCCTCCCCCGACGGACGGGCATTACTAGCTGATATAGGTGCAGGTTGGAAAAGAGTAAGTGGTGGCATCAATCCATGAAATCCCTGACAGTTAAACTGAGTCAGGTAGGGAGATGCAGACTTCCGAGTTGGGGCTCGCAGGACTCTAAGAATCAATGGCTGCAGACAATAGGTGACATGGCTCAAAATCGTTGTCAATGGCGCAGATGTATTCAGTCTCTGTAATCTTTCATATTCCTTTCTGCCATTATTCATTCTGTTTCACTCTTGTTAAAACTCCTCTATTGATTCTCTTCACTCATCTTCTTGTCTACCTTTGTGTGCTATTTGGAACGTGGCGACTCGAACTGCTGCACTTTGGTGCCAAGTTCTATGTTGAATACAGACAGATAGACAGACAGTAAGTATATTTCACAAATCCACAAACTGTTGCACTTATAACAATTGTTAGAAAACAACAAAAGAAGTTGTTTCTTAGTCCATTTCACTCATGGTGGTAATAATGGAATTGTAATAGTAAAAGACAATGAACCACTTAGACAGCAGTTATCTTCCCTGCATATGAGTGCATTTATGAGACTGCTGTGAAAATACATAACAGAGGATTGTTGTTAGATGAACTCAAAGAAGTAGGCGTTTGTTATTTTTTGGTAATGGTTTGATGCCGCTGTGCTCAAGTAGAATCTCACAGAAGTCTCATTTATTCCATTCAGGAGTGAAGGTTTGCATAGAAATGGAGAAACAGAAGTGGATGTTAAATACTTAATCAGACACTACGCTACTAGGAGTTTGCCAAATACTGACCAGCATGACATCTAAGATATGAAATTAATTGATGAAATACTCGCACACTGATTATTGAAAGCCGCTAAATTGTAATAAGTATCTTATGAACCAGACTTTAAGTGTCCGAAATCCAACCGTAGTAAACATTTTTTGTATTATTAGCTGCTAAGATATGACTTCAAACTTTACTTCACTAACTAAAGATTACCAACCTGAATGCAATCGATGTGACCGTCAGTCTCTGAAGTGAACCTTTACATATATTAATTTTTTTGGATTAGTTCACTGATTTACACAATGAACCCTCAACAATGAAGGCATAAATTCGAAACGTATTCCATCCATCGGATAGTATCATCATCCTTCACAACAGGTCTGGCTCATGGTTGAATGAAATGTTAATACAATGGGTTGTTGAGTAGCATTCATATTTGAGTTTCTTTTACACTTCAAAACAGTAAAGTTGCTTTCGCTTAGACTAGCAGTGTCTTTCAACCACCCATTACTAGACAATATTAGTAATCATTGCTGAATTTTTTATCAGTGAAATGATAATAAATATCAACTTTAGAGTCATAATGAACAGCTTTTAATGCTTTAGATTTCTTTTTACCAAATGATCTGTTAATATTCGTAATATTGGCTGAAGAATAGACTTGCTTAGCTATGTACATTATAGTCTAACTCTAAGTAGATATTCTCACCTGTGAACGTTGTATCCACTCCTCTTGACATATATTTCTTAGTCTTCTGCGTCTAGCCTTACGTGTGTAATATTCGGTCAGTAAACTGCACAGGTGACTGATTTCCTAAAAAGAAATTAATTTTTTTATCATTACATGAGTGATTTTGTTCTTTATTGAATTGAATTAGTTTACAGTACAATATTATGCGTCGGTGGCACAGCGGTAGAATGCTCGCCAACTACACAGGTGGTTCAGGGTTCGATCCCCGGCCGACGCACTCCTTTACCTCACTAAGCCAGTAATGCGACTGGTAAAGAGGGAAGGTTGGGCATGCGGCTAGCAACCCCATCTCGTAAAAGTGAACACCACTGCTACCGAAACTTCAAAGCTCTAGCTTGAAGCCCTATATTCCACTTGGAACGTAAAGGAACAAAATAAAAATGAAAACGGTACAATATTAGTAGCTGTTGAAGTTCACTATGATTTAGCAATTAATTCGTATAATAAGGAAACAAAAATATATATGACGTATAGACTGTTATTTCGATGCATGTAAAAAAGATTTCTTTGCATATATGTCAAACTAGAGAGCTAATGATACTGATAGGAGAAAAATAAGGGTTTTGTTGCATGTGGTTCCTTGCGATTCCGAAGCGACAACACTTTCCTAACTATTGATATAAAGTTTTGGTATGAATTAAAATTTTCAGTTATGACGAAGGCCTTCGATGCATATCAACAGTAATGAAAACTAGAAGACTAAGAACATTGTCTAATCCCAGCATTTTTTTCTCTTATGACGAAATTCAAAAGCTTCATGCGACAGGAAATGGGTGAAGATATAAGTTATTGCAAACCAAACTTGCGGCGCTTTTGTCTCAGTACAATTGTATTGTTGGCAGTACGGAGTTGGTTAATTACGACTTGAATTTCCTCAGGTAGTTGACTTTGTATTACATGCCTAGAGATATTCAATAATCATATCAGATATTATGTCTAGCCCGACCGAAAGCTGCTACCTTGACGTGGTGGTCGGGCTTGCATATCTCAATGACCCAACGAGCTACACTGGCTGGAACTTAAGTTCCTGTAGGTCCTACCATGCCAGAAAGGTTGTTTGGATAGCGGTTAGACAAAAAGCAGCTACCCAATCCAAAACTATGACCCAAACAAAATCACAAAATATCATGCCGGATCGGTCGGGGCCAGGACTAACAACGACCGCGCTTCCTGCTGCCGTGTCACAGGGCAGAAGTGATAAATACGCTTCTGAGACACACCAAATAAAAAAGAACAAGCAAAAACAGGCCGCATGTAACCGGCCTCAAGCAGTTGTCCCCTGGGCTCTGCGGTCACGCAACCAACTTCCACGGTGTGGGCAGCCGGGAAGTAACAATCGCCCTCACAATCCGAAGTGCACACGAGACCTCTCTAATCCTCACTCACCTTTGTCTTCATCTTCATCTCTATTATCTTGCCTTCCTTCTACTAATGCAACTCCTCTACTTAATGGCTCTTCACTTCCTCTTCACTCTGTGTGCACAGATAACGATGGAAGCCAAAAAGCCACCATCGATAGTCTCCTAAAGCCACGTCACCAATTTCAAATAGGAGCATTTAATGTTAGGACACTTTGCCAAATAGGACAACAAGCATCACTAGCCAAGACTCTGGCATCCCGAGCCATTGATGTATGTTGTGTTTCAGAGACACGCATACAAGACCCAAGTGTGGTTATTTACCTTACCCCACCTGGCCAACAGGATGAATCTGCAAAACTTACCTTGAGGGTGTCAGGAGATGCGACGGCTAGCTCTCGAGGATTAGCTGGTGTTGTGGTAGCTTTGAGTACTAGGGCAGAAAAGCCATTACTTGACTGGATCCCGGTAGATAGCCGAATGTGTGCTGTCCGTCTGAACGGATCAGTGAAAAGGAGAAAGGACTGCACTACTCGCCGATGCCTTTTCGTAATCTCCGCCTACGCCCCCACTGACTGCAGTCCGGATGAAACGAAGGATGAGTTCTACCAAAAGCTATCTGGTTTGCTGCGAAAGGCTAAACGCTCAGATATAGTCGCTTTAGCTGGTGACTTTAATGCTCAAGTAGGGAAATTGTGTCAATCTGAGAAGAATGTCGGTGGCACATACGGAATTCCGTGCCAGCGAACAGACAACGGTTACCGTCTCCTACAGTTCTGCTCAGATAATCATTTGTTTCTTGCAAGCACTAACTTCAAACACAAGAAGAGACACTGTTTGACCTGGCGACCACCATCATCAAACCAACGCTGGACACAAATAGACCACATAGCAATAAGCTATCGTTGGCGTGGGTCGGTAGAAGATTGCCGTTCCTTCTGGAACACGTGTGTAGATACCGATCACGCACTGGTCCGCACTCGTGTATGCTTACGACTGAACGGACGTAAGAAACAGCTGGCGGTAAAACCATCACGTCCCCAGCTCGATCAGAAAACTAAGTCCCTATTTGAGGAAGAACTAGCTAAACACATATCTGAGTTCGACAGCTGCGCTCACCCTGAAGAAGCCTGGAAGAATATTCAGTCAGCCATAGATACAGCTGTAAAAGCTGTGAATAAGGTAAATCCAAAGGTGAGTAAAAACCATTGGATTTCGACTGCCTCATCCGAACTGATAGATGCTAGAAGACTTATTCCGGCGAGCTCCGAATTCAATGAGGAGCGAAAGCTGCACAAAAGGAAACTTACGAAAAGTCTCCGCAAGGACCGTGAACAGTGGTGGTTGACAAAGGCGAAAGAGATGGAAAAAGCATCGGCGATAGGCAACATTAGACAACTCTTCAAACTCATCAGGGAAACAGGTGGTAAAAGGCAAATGATAAGCGAATCAATCTCTGAGAAAAATGGCACCATAATTAGCTCCCAGGATAGACGTCTGGAGCGCTGGAAAGAACACTATGAGGAGCAGTTTAATTGGCCCACAGTCACACTTAACCTGCCGGACATCCAACACCTCCCTGAATGGGATATAGACACAGGTCCTCCGTCCTTAACTAAGGTTACTAAAGCTGTCACCAATCTGAAGCAAGGCAAAGCAGCGGGACCTGATTTATTGACTCCAGAGGTATTTAAGTACGGAGGCGACAGTTTACTGTCTGCGTTAACGGAGGTTCTAGGCAGCATCTGGGAATCAGAGGAAGTCCCATCGGGTTAGTGTAAGTCACTGATCATCCCGATATACAAGAAGGGGGACAAGTCGTCTTGTGATAATCACAGAGGGATTAGCTTGACTAATATAGTATCTAAAATCCTAGGCTCAATAATACTGCGTAGACTAAGTGGTGCTCGGGAGACACAAACACGAGAAAACCAGGCAGGTTTTAGGCCAGGAAGACGGTTTATTGATCATATCTTCACCCTTCAACAGATTCTAGAACATAGGCATTCCTACCGGCGTCCGACAATCATTATTTTTCTTGACCTAAAGGCGACATTCGATTCTGTCGACCGGGAGGTTCTCTGGCGATGCTTGGCTGTAAAGGGAATGCCAAGAAAATACATTGCACCGATTAAGGCACTCTACTTGTACTCATGCAGCCAGGTGAGGGCTTATGGCGAGTTGTCATCAGAAGTGGTGACGACTAGTGGCGTCCGTCAAGGATGCCCATTATCCCTATTCCTATTCAACTTCATCATAGATGTACTAATGGACTTAACCCTAACACACTTCAGGGACTCAGGGATTGACTTGCTACCAGGGAATAATCTCGTCGACTTAGAATATGCAGACGATATAGTCCTTCTAGGCGAGGACTCTGACAAAATGCAGAGTATACTGAACACCTTGAGCAACAATCTTCGTATGTTTGGCATGCGATTCGCCCCTGTAAAATGTAAGATAATGTTGCAGGATTGGACTACACCGACTCCTAGATTAGAAATAGGAAGTGAAGTGGTAGAGCACGTTGACCGCTTCACTTACTTGGGAAGTACCATCAGCCCCAACGGGTTGATCTCCGACGAAATTTCAGCACGAATACAGAGGGCTAGGTTCGCATTCGCCAGTTTTCGCCGTCTCTGGCGTAGACGCGATATCCGACTATCGACCAAAGGGCGTGTGTACTGCTCATCAGTCCGCTCCGTCCTCCTTTATGGCTGTGAGACCTGGCCATTGAGAGCAGAAGACATGAAAAGATTAGCTGTGTTCTATCTCCGCCCGTCGCTACTACCGATTGAATGGTTTAGTGAAGCCGTTGGATTGGTGTCGTTGCAGTGGCTTTGCCGCTCGACTGATGCCGAGAAGACGACCTAACTTGACTATTTAGAGGAAGTAAAAGTCGTAACAAGGTTTCCGTAGGTGAACCTGCGGAAGGATCATTACAAGATTCTCAAACATGTACCCAATTGAAGCACGGATATTGTTGTGTTGTGCTAAGACACGCCAGTGGGTGTTGGTTGACCTGCCTAGTCGACCGGCACCCAAGCCTAGATGCTGGTAGGCATGTGTACCCGAAAGATTAAATCATGTGTTGTTTTGGCTTGAACAACCAATCAGCACAAATGAGTGAAGTATCATGATGGCTGTATTCGTCGCAGTCGATCATTGATAGAGAAATATATGATCTTGGTGGTGTTGTTTTGGCTTGGGAAACCAAACAGCACAAATGAAATGAGTGAAGTACTCATAAAGACTGGGCCTCGCAGTCAATCATCCCTAGTGTACTGTTGCTAAACTGAAACTTAAAGGAATTGACGGAATTTTGATACTTTGACCGGGGTACCTAACCTGTCATATGCTCTGATGGTGTTCTCGTGACTTTTGTTGCCAGATCTGCCAAGGGCGATGGGATAGTACGCGACCTAATGGTTGTGTGCAAGGTTTGAAGAAGGCTGTGTGTTATTTGCATACGCCTCGCCCTGATAATGTTTACAAAAACAAGGCTTCCTGCCGATTGCCTCCAACCATCTAATACCAACAATTCGCAGTGCACCGTAATGGCGAGCCACCTAGCATGGTGGCCACATTGCAAACATGACTGATAGAATTCAGTCTGCACCGAAGATAGGACTAGACGCATTACACTAGTTACTGACTAGTGTGCAATCAAAAATAAAGATTAGCTGTGTTCGATCATAGGTGTCTGCGTTCTATCTCCCACGTGAAGTGGTATAATAAGGTGAGCAATATTGAGGTTAGGCGTCGAGTGCTCCGTAAGGCGGGGAAATCAATCGACGAAACTGTGAAATTACATCGACTGAGATGGTTAGGACATGTAGTACGTATGCCTAGTCATCGCCTTCCTCGACGGGCAATGTTAGCTGATATAGGGCCAGGCTGGAAAAGAGCTAGCGGCGGTCAAACGAAAACATGGCACCAGTCAATGAAATCCACAACAGTTGGTCTAAGCCACGTAGGAAGATGTAGACTTCCTGGTTGGGGTCCTCGGGATGGTAAAAACCAATGGCTGGAAACAATTGGTGACATGGCTCAAAATCGTTCTCAGTGGCGCAGATGCATCCACTTCTTGTGACTTATGATTTCCAATTAAACTGTTTTGTTCTCCGTTATCACTATTCCTTTGTCTCACACCTCTGTTTACTGCCTATATTATGCATTTCTTCTCTTGCTCTGTGTGCCACATGGAGTGTGGCGACTTGAACTGCCGCACATATGTGCAAAGTTCTATGTCGAAAACCGACCGACCGATTATGTCTAGCCTGTGTCAAAGTAGTTACATCAATTTTTTAACACAACTGGAATATCCTTTGCAGCGTTTGCGATACTATGGACGAAAACACCTTAAGGTGGCTTTTGTCTTCACCTGCAGAAAACACTTGTAGTCAAATACAGCTTCAATACTTTATTTTTGCTACTAAAAGCTTAATCAAATGTATGCAATCAATTATTTACATCTTATGCATGGTCCACGGAATCAAAAAGCACAATTTATTTCTCAAATACCTGGTTTCACCATTACATTTAGCTGAATGGTCACAAAACTTAGCTTTATCGCATTAAGGTTTGGGGCGACAAAATTCACGAAATAAACCGTAAAAAAAGTTCGAATGCTTTCAAAAAATGTAAGGAGAATTTATCGGATATAAGGATAAAAATATACCTGACTCTACAATTTTTTTTCTTGAGTATTTATTATTATAACTAATGTTTCCTAATTATTATTTTCATACACCCATGTCGTGTTACATCGTTTGTAAGTGGATAGTATATTTTCCCACTAAATCTCAGACTAAAATAATATTTGAGACAACAGAAGACCATATTTAGAATATCTTAGTGTTTCAGATGTACTCATCTTTTTATCCTACATTTTAACGTATTTCATGCTTTCGCTTTTCAACATTTTCTCATGGTATACATTGTTTCAGTTCGGTCTCTTGTGTACTTCTCTGTGCCAAAATCAAAAGTTTTAAATTTCTCCAGTTAATTTCAATCAGAATTCTACTTCAGCTGATCCTTTGTGGAAGCTTTTATTATCTTTGACAGTAGTCTATGAGTTTACCAAAGGTTTAGAATCTTTTTATTCAACAATTTGAATGATCTTCCATTGGATCTTAATTAACCTGAATAATATTAAGATAAAAACGTAATATAATGGCAGTCAGCGTCTCTGATTCAATGGTAGAATGCTCGGCAGCCACGAAAGGGCTCGTGTTCGACTTCCTGCTGACGCACGCGTAAACCTCGCCTAGCTTACTAGCCGAAAGGGGCTGAACCTTCAAAACTTGTATCCCTATGTTCCACTTGGAACCCAAAGGACAATACTAGTCACCATTGATTTAGCTATTATACGAAATGATATTGCTAACAATAATACAAATGATTATCATTCTTAGGCGCTTACCTTCCTATTGGTTAGCACTCGAGATGGTGTTTTAGTTGTTCCTTGTCCGTCGCTTTCCTGAAGCTAGTATTTTACGATCAGTAGAAAAAAAATTGAAAGACTTGAATTAATAAGCTATGGAATGGAATGCATACTTGTCGAATTATTGCGCATAAGGGATAAATATGGGCTGTGAATAGCTACACTTATCCTTTCGAAGCATTCTGTGAAACTAATCATATCAGTACTAACATCTGAGTAAGAAATGCAGTTACGCATTAGACGAGAAACTTCGAAGTAAGTAGAAGTGAATTGCACTTTCAATGAAAGCAATTAAAAACAAGCAGACAATTACAAGTTCATTTTCAAGTATACTAATGGTAATTTTCTCGGCTTTTGCCTACAACTTCATCAGAGAACCACACCTGATTCTTTTTTAAGTTACTTTCTTAGGGTCAGAGCTAACAGTAGTTGAATGACTTTGGATAATTTAAGGGTTCTGCTTTAATTCGAGAAATCAGTGAAATTCAAAAAATAAGAATGACGTAATTTTCCCTGTTTGTCAACTAAACATCTTTCATTGTTCAGTCTTCACTAAGATTCGAAAGCTGAATAAAGGAGACTGTAGCTGTGTGTATAGACTTTGTAAGTCTGTTCATTGTAAAATTTTTAAGAGTGAGATGAAAAAGTTAAGTTATGCAAAACACATAAAGATAGTAGAATAATAAGTAAATAACCGCATTATACATTTAAAAACTTTGTATTACCTGTGATGAAAGCGTCAATTTTGATCTATCCAAATTTGTAGCATTCATATTATCATTGATTTTGACAACTTCTGTATATTCATAAGACTGGCATGCTTTTACTAGAACTTGATCACGATGATTCAACCATACTTTTGTTTCGTTAATGAGTGGTTGAATTAAATCTATCTGATTTGAATTTATCCTTTCTACAAGTATATTTATTAACTGTAGGAATATTGTGCGGCGATTGAACTTCATTACTACAGAATTATACAGAAGTGAAATATAAATAAATACATAACATATTTGAAAAAACATTTTTAGACGCTGTTATTAAAACTGAAACTTTGCTTAAGAGGCGAAAAGTACTTATGTCAGGTACTGGGAAAATCGTGTGCGTCGGTGGTATAGCGGTTAGGACGCTCGCCGACCCTGCACATGGTCCGGGGTTCGATCCCCGGCCGACGCACTCCTTTACCTCGATAGGCCAGAAATAATGCTGGTGAAGAGGAAAGGTTGGGCATGAGGCTAGCAACCCCATCCTGTAAAATAATTACTGCTACAGAAACTTCGAGCCACTAGCTAGAAGCCTTATATTCCACTGGGGAACGTGAAGGAAGAAAAAAACTGGGAAAATCACTTGAAATAATGAATGTGCTATGAAGAAATATTTATTCGGGCCCTTTCTTTTACTAATCATTCTGTTTAGAACATACTCCTTATCCTACCTCACTAGCCGATCTTAAGCTTGGGTGGGAAAGATGGAAGGTTGGGTGTGAACTAGTAAAGCCATCCTGTAAAATCAGTCTAACAACAGCACTTTGGGCTCTGTCATTTAACTTCGCTGATCTATGTTTGTACGTTCCATTATTTGTTGACACTAACCCTTGAATTTGTGGGCCACATCAAAAGGAGACAGGTTGAAGTCGTCCTGAAATCACCTAAAGACAATTAGTACCATCTGAAGACATTTTGGATTGGTAAAGACAGAAACAAAATTGTAGTAATTATAAGCAGTATGTGCTGTATGAAAAAAATGTATTTAGTTAGCTCAAAGTTCAAGCAGGCATTAAGAATGCCTTGATATCCAAACATGCTATTCACTGTTGTACAGCTTTATAAAACACAATTCCAAAACTTAAGAGTCTTTTCAAATCATGCATAATTATTCACCACTAAAAGCTAAAATATGTTATCCTATGAATCCATTTCTGTCTTTAACATGTTTCTTAACATAAATCATGTTGTCTTTAGAGATTAGGCCAAACTAACTTTTGGGATGTACTATAATTTTTTTTTAAAGTTAGGGTAGTGTACAGGCGATAATCATTCTCATTTTCAACTTACCGTCTTTTAATGATGTTTTAAGTGGCTTTGTAGCTATACATGCGACTGCTTGATATGGCTCTTCGTAACCAAATAACTCAACTCTTGGAGCACCTGTGTAACAAAAATACAATCAAGGCGATTTCGGTGAATATAATATTCATGATAGGGGAATGAATCCCTGAGATAGTTACACGCTAACTATTTTAGTCAATAATGCGTAGTTGAAAAATGATGTCAATGTTGACGATTCACCATTATTCAGAGATATGTTAACTTCAATTACCTTTTGTCGAAAAGGTTTTAGTAAAGTACTGTAAAGTGCTTAAAATTTATTAGGAACAACACAAGATGTTTTAAGTAGATTTCGTTATGAACCATCGAAAAACAAAGAGAATAATCTCAACATTTGAAAGGATTTTCGGCTACATGTCTGTCTGTTTTCGACATAGAACTTTGCACTGATGTGCGGCAGTTCAAGTCGCCACACTCCATGTAGCACACAAAGGAAGAGAAGAAAGTAGGAGAAATGCATAATATATAGAGTAAACAGAGGTGTGAGACAAAGGAGTAGTAATAACGAAGAACGAACAGTTTCATCGGAAATCATAAGTCACAAGGAGTGGATGCATCTGCGCCAGTCACTGAGAACGATTTTGAGCCATGTCACCAATTGTTTCCAACCATTGGTTTTTACCGTCCCGAGGACCCCAACCAGGAAGTCTACATCTTCCTACGTGACTTAGACTAACTGTTGTGGATTTCATTGACTGATGCCATGTTTTCGTTTGACCGCCGCAGCTCGTTTCCAGCCTGGCCCTATATCAGCTAACATTGCCCGTCGAGGAATGCGATGACTAGGCACATGTAATACATGTTCTAACCATCTCAGTCGATGTAATTTCACAGTCTCATCGATTGATTTCTCCGCCTTCCCTAGCACTCGACCGAAGCCTAACCTCAATATTGCTCACCTTATTATACCACTTCACGTGAGAGATAGAACGCAGACACCTATGATCGAAGACAGCTAATCTTTTCATGTCTTCTGCTCTCAATGGCTAGGTCTCACAGCCATAAAGGAGGACGGAGAGGACTGTTGAGCGGTACACACGCCCTTTGGTCGATAGTCGGATATCGCGTCTACACCAGAGACAGCGAAAACTGGCATATGCGAACCTAGCCCTCTGTATTCGTGCTGAGATTTCGTCGGAGATCAACCCGTCGGGGCTGATGGTACTTCCCAAGTAATTGAAGCGGTCAACGTGCTCTACCACTTCACTTCCTATTTCTAATCTAGGGATTGGTGAAGTCCAATCCTGCAGCATCATCTTACATTTTACAGGGGCGAATCGCATGCCAAACATTCTTAGATTGCAGCTCAAGGTGTTCAGTAGACTCTGCATTTTGTCAGAGTCCTCGCCTAGAAGGACTATATCGTCCGCATATTCTAAGTCGACGAGATTCTTCCCTGGTAGCAAGTCAATCCCTGAGTCGCTGAATTGTGTTAGGGTTAAGTCCATTAGTACATCTATGATGAAGTTGAATAGGAATGGGGATAATGGGCATCCTTGACGGACGCCACTAGTCGTCACCACTTCAGATGACAACTCGCCATAAGCCCTCACCTGGCTGCATGAGTACAAGTAGAGTGCCTTAATCGGTGCAATGTATTTTCTCGGCATTCCCTTTACAGCCAAGCATCGCCAGAGAACCTCCCGGTCGACAGAATCGAATACCGCCTTTAGGTCAAGAAATATAATGATTGTCGGACGCCGGTAGGAATGCCTATGTTCTAGAATCTGTCGAAGGGTGAAGATATGATCAATACACCCTCTACCTGGCCTAAAACCTGCCTGGTTTTCTCGTGTTTGTGTCTCCCGAGCACCACTTAGTCTACGCAGTATTATTGAGCCTAGGATTTTAGATACTATATTAGTCAAGCTAATCCCTCTATGATTATCACAAGAAGACTTGTCTCCCTTCTTGTATATCGGGATGATCAGTGACTTACACTAACCCGATGGGACTTCTTCTGATTCCCAGACGCTGCCTAGAACCTCCGTTAACGCAGACAGTAAACTGTCTCCACCATACTTAAATACCTCTGGAGTCAATCCATCAGGTCCCGCTGCTTTGCCTTGCTTCAGATTAGTGGCTGCTCTAGTGACCTCATTTAGGGACGGAGGACCTATGTCTATATCCCATTCAGGGAGGTGTTGGATGTCCGGCAGGTTAAGTGTGACTGTGGGCCAATTAAACTGCTCCTCATAGTGTTCTTTCCAGCGCTCCAGACGTCTATCCTGGGAGCTAATTATGGTGCCATTTTTCTCAGAGATTGATTCGCTTATCATTTGCTTTTTACCACCTGTTTCCCTGATGAGTTTGAAGAGTTGTCTAGTGTTGCCTATCGCCGATGCTTTTTCCATCTCTTTCGCCTTTGTCAACCACCACTGTTCACGGTCCTTGCGGAGACTTTTCGTAAGTTTCCTATTGTGCAGCTTTCGCTCCTCATTGAATTCGGAGCTCGCCGGAATAAGTCTTCTAGCATCTATCAGTTCGGATGAGGCAGTCGAAATCCAATGGTTTTTACTCACCTTTGGATTTACCTTATTCACAGCTTTTACAGCTGTATCTATGGCTGACTGAATATTCTTCCAGGCTTCTTCAGGGTGAGCGCAGCTGTCGAACTCAGATATGTGTTTAGCTAGTTCTTCCTCAAATAGGGACTTAGTTTTCTGATCGAGCTGGGGACGTGATGGTTTTACCGCCAGCTGTTTCCTACATCCGTTCAGTCGTAAGCACACACGAGCGCGGACCAGTGCGTGATCGGTATCTACACACGTGTTCCAGAAGGAGCGGCAATCTGCTACCGACCCACGCCAACGATAGCTTATTGCTATGTGGTCTATTTGTGTCCAGCGTTGATTTGATGATGGGGGTCGCCGCTACATAACTTCCTTAATGTTAAACGTTTTAGGGTAAATAGGCTGTGTGCACTCATTGCAGGGTTTTCTGCAACTATAGGCAGATTCACAATATTGACAATATTATATTTAATCGGATGGAGGAGTTCATCATGAACTGACATCAGTTAGAGAACCACTGGAAAACCTGCAGGGAGTACTGGACAGTTGTTTCGTCCTAGTTTGGGACTCTTCATCAGCATGCACCCACCACGGGGGTTCGAACCCAGGACCTTCTGGTTACAAGGCAAGCTCGTAGACCATTGAGCCACTGGGCCATTGGATCGGGTCCCAATACTTGAATATTATATTTAAATTTGTCATTAGTTGAATTTATTCGGTAGAAATGATCTATCTATTTCGATACGTTAAAAGTGAATATTCAGTCGAAACTATTACAAAACTGATCATATCAAAAGTAACTTATTATAAAGTTGAATTGGATCCTTAAATTACTAAGCAGTGTGGTAAACGATGTTCATCAACTATTGTACTTTGATTATCAGGTGAAATTCCTTCGATTGTTTTAACGTCCCCCTTTCATCTTATTACGTTCTGGGGGGTTTGAGTATATTATTTTCAATCTATTTATAATTTATTACATTCCGTTCGATTTACGGACATAAAGTAATGGCAACTTAAAATATAAAAATTGTGATTATACATTCTATACTTACTTAATTTAGCAGTTATCAAGTAAGAGTGAGCATCCAATGCCTTAACAACTGACAAAAGTTCGTCCAGCTCATCTGAATTCTGCATTGACTGTCTACGTCCAAATTTTGAGTTCAGTTTTACTTGTGAAATTCGTTTTCTCGTCATCTGATTCATTGTTGGCTTCATATCTGCACAGAAAAGCATAATATGCATAGTAAGGGTTGAAATTCTTACCTGTTGAAAAAAAAACTACTTAAATTATTAACAGATTCATTGTATTGTGATGGTAGGTTTAATGGAGTAATTTAGTTAAGTGTTATACGCTAAACCAGTCAATTTATCAGTGCATAAAACTGACTTTTTGTTTCATAGCTAGGCTTCTGTACTAAGTTTCTACGGGTCTTTCGCCTTTATTAAATTTACATAGCTCACATGTGATATCAGTTAATCTAATAGAATCATCATTCAGCAGAAACCATGATGTTTCTTATCGAGCCCCTACTAACAAATTGGCTACTTGTACAAATTACTCTGCAAGTAAGGGTTTCAGAGCATATTCCTAAATGGCTCCAGAAACAAATAGAATCTTCAGAACCCATTAATGGTGAGAATAGGTGACCTAGCTCCTCTATTGCGAAACGTATTATAGAGACAGGACCTATCTATAAAACGTGTTCGGGGTGTATTCTAAAGTTTGTGGAAGCCCTAGCTGGCAATTAGGAAGTTTAAACCACCTTTATGCGTTCAAAAACAATTCGTCATCACACTAAACCTTCCTTGGTAAACTTTGTTTTGATAGCAGGCAGGGTAGATGTACTGTTGTGGTGAGAGATGGCTGCTAGCCAAACTGGTAGACAGTAATTGACGTCAATGTTTATGTCTCAAATATTAGCCATGTGAAAACAAGATCAAAGACGGACAACAGACTTTGCGTAGGCGGATACAATTAGCAGATAGATGATCTGACACTCAAGAGACAGCAATAAAGAGATGAAAGATTAACTTTTAGTGAGAAACAACCAATCAGAAAACTGTGTTTGTCAGCTAACAATAATTTATAATAATGTACACGAAAATCTATAAATATGTGTTGATTTCCATAATAAACAATCTGTTGCCTGAGTCTTGCCTTCTGTCGTTACACTGTTACCTCTGTTATTTGGTTCAGTGGTCTTCATTGTTATTTTGACCTTCAGTATGTCCTTTTATCTTGACCTAAATTTATTTTCTCACCTCTTAACTCTTTATTAATTTCATATATATTCCTATGACAAGTCCGTGTGTAATCAGATTGTTCGAAATGTGTTGCGCAAATAAATAACACGATTCAGATGAATTACGTCTTCTTATTGCTTTGTTTAAATTCATAAAGGGAACTAATTGTTTTAAATACTTAATAGTCGTAAACCTGATTTTGTGACAGACAATATTTTCACCATCCAACCACTTATATAAACAAGTATGCGAACAAATTTGTAATTTACACAGTTCGGCGTGAGATTTCATCACAGTTGCCTTTGATAACTTAAATTATTCAAATCAAAATATGTGATCTACCTGATATCCATTAATGGTAATCATGAAGGCAAGCATAAATGCATACAACTATATACTATTGGTTAATTGAAATGAGTAGTTGTTTACCACTCACATCAACCAATAGTGCTGACTAGCCAGATTATCGAGGTGATCTAAACACCAGACGACGCTGTTTCTCTCGTTTAAGGTCGATTTCATCAGTGGTGTACCCGGTTTGACTCAACTCAGAGAGCCAAATATGTTCAGACCATCGAGTTCGAACAAGAAGTCGATATTTTAGCAGGAGCAAGTCAACAAAGGGAAACGCGTAAATTAAGCAATTAATTTATTACATAAATAAAATTAGTATTTGATATGATGCTTACTCATTTCAAGTTTCAGTTGATATTTACAAAGCATACACCCCCGCAGCATTCAACTACCGGATATAAATAAATATAACCAAGTACTCATCTACTGAGTTACAATTTTTTATTCCTTCACGTTCCCAGTGGAACATAGGGTTTCAAGCTAGAGACTTGAAGTTTCTGTATTAGTGTCTGTTTTTTACAGGATGGGGTTGCTATCCTCATGCCCAACCTTTTCCTCTTTACCAGGTTTATTAATGCCCTAGCGAGGTAAAGGAGTGCGTCGGCCGGGGATCGAACCCCGGATCACATGAGTGGTTAGCGAGCATTCTACCGCTGTGCCACCGAAGCACTAATGGTTACAATTTACATTACCTCTTATTCTAAGTTAATTATTATTCTGCTCATGTAAGATACAAATAATGTTGTTCACTAACTTAAGTAGGCATTACCAGTTAAGTTCTACAGACAAGTCAATAGATTGTAAGTATTCAGTAATTCCAAATGTATGTAAAACACCAAAATGCTAAATATTAAAACTAAGGTGCCTTTCCTATCCATTAAATATACTCACCTTTTATTATTTGATTTAAAACTGTTTTTACAATTTTTAAAGTTGCAATAATTCCTTTTAATTCATTCAGTGTTTCAAGGACTTGAATACATCCAAACGTGAATTTAATTATCATTTGTGTAAGCTTCCAATTTAGAGAGTCATCGAGTAATATTAAATTTTTAGAGTATTTTCTAACACCAAGAAGTATGGTTATTGATCTCAGTAGTATCTGAAAAGATGAAATGTAGTCAATCAGAAATTTATTCCGTTGTGTATTATAAATGTGTATTTGGATTATATGAACAATGTTAACTAAAAAGATTTTTAACTTTCATGTAAATGAATTCAAAAGGGTAGAAGAAATTCTTGATTGGATTTCATCGAGAAATTGATACTTGTCATTTATTCATTGGAAATTTTCAAAATATAAGGACTTGCTTTATCTTCGATTGCCCATGTGTACTGCTTGTTTGTTTGTTAAACTCCAAACTACCTCAGACTACAAGACAATTGCTTCGGTTGCGTTTCTTTCAACTTTGAAATACATGCTATGCACATTTTGAAATCACTGTCCGTCTTCTTGTGTTAAACATAGAAGGCTTTTAAGACGTTAAATAGGAGCATATTGCATCATTACACTGCAAGTGTTACGTAGACATGCTTCTTTCACTCTCCTGGTTAATATCAACCACAAGATCGTGATTACCTGCGTTATATAAGACGTGATCAAACATGAAACAAATCAAATCCCTACAAATTAACGTTTGAAAATCAATCTGGTACCCACTAGTGATTGGCTACCGGATAACGTTGCCTGGAGTTCTAGTGAGAAGTTGTGACCAGTGAGATCCATCGGATTGGGAGTGAGGACAAGTACTCGCCGATGACATTGGCTGGTAGTTGCGCTAAAATCACGAATTGGTAGAACTGAGAATCCATAGGCCATTGAGTTGGGTCACAGTGGCTGAATGGTTTACGAGATTGCCTTGCAGCCGGTTAGGTCCTGGTGGGGTACGTACTGGCGAAGAGTCCCAAATCCGGACGAAATAGCTGTCCAGTACTCCCTGATTTTCAATAGTTCTCCAACTGGTATTAATCCGTGATTAAACTTAAGAGATACATAAAACAGTTGAACAGTTTAGCATTACCTGTTATCATAATCTGGATCGTAGCAACTAACTAACCTTGGCATAATCCGTTGTCACAGAACCCATCTCTATATTGTAGCTCAATATTTGATAGATTAAATTTGCAAAATCTATCAAAAGTTGGACATCATTTAGTTTGGCGCTCAATTCTAAACCGATTATCAGCTTTTCAGACAAATGGATTTTTTGAATCTATCAGAAACAGAAAACAAAAGTATTGATTATGTATTATATAAATAAATTAGATTCAGTGGACAATAATCTCAGTGGAGAAGGCAGACAACTAAAAAGCATCTCCACATTTTTCTGTATCAGTTTTATTCAATCATTCCAACGTACCTTGACTTTTTTATCATATGTTGCGTTAATAATAGAAATCAAGCTTCATATATTTCTTTGGTGTGTCTCCGTCGACAGGCATTATTCGAAGCGTTACTATTTATTAATGGAGATCACTCATTTCACGGGATAGTTTGTATTCCATTTTGATGTTAGACCGTGTCGTCTTAGGCTGTGCCAGTATCTCTGGTTACATTTTCAATCAACACACTCCTGTTACATGCCTCAAGGGACATTTATTGATAAGTCAGATTCTAATTTTTTTATCTCAGCTTGATTCCACACCGTATTTTTGGTACAAGCATGGAATTTTCAGCATGTGATATCAGTAGCCCAAATTTTAATTAATTTTTTGCAGGCCGACCATTGATATCAGGTGTGCGTCGGCAGAGGATCGAACCCCGGACCATGTGCATGGTCGGAGAGAGTCCTAACCACTGTGCCACCGACGCACAGGTTAGGTTATGTTAGCAGCACCAGATATACACTCAACGTCTTTGCACGTTCATATATATTTACATAAATTAAAATAATATTCATTGACAATCTTACCTGCGTGCTCAGTAAATAGACTTTATTGCTAGAATTATTTGAATCAAAATCTTCAGTCTTTTGAATAAATGAACACTGCCATAGAATACAAGTTGCAAGATGTTTCAATAGTATGCTTGAACAATGAAAAGTATCTGAATCTTTCATTCTATAATAAGTAAAATTAAGCATTCATTATAAAAGTAGTAATTGACAACTTACTTTAAACCAGTTAAGTGAGTTACTTTTTCATCGTCCGATTTATCATTGTGTTCAGTTAAATATTCCCATAATACGTTCATTGTTTGATCATTAAGACAAGATAGTAGATTACGTCGACATGCCGACTAGATAATTATCGAATAAAAGATTAAAATGATAGTGTGATATCAGATATTTTTTTATTCTTTTATATTCCAAATGGAGCATAGGGTTTCAAGCTTGAGCTTTGAAGTTTCAGTAGCATCAGTGTTTTTTCTTACGGGGTGGGGTTGCTGGCATCACGTCCAGCCTTCCCTCTTGACCGCTGTAAATACCGGCTTAGAGCGGTTTAAAATTGTGTCGGCCAGGGGTCGAATCCCGTTCCACATGCGTTCTTGGCGAGCATTCTACTGCTGTACCACCGACACACCATGAAATAAGATAGTTATTGAAACAGTAATTTTACACGTTGTATACACACGTTCCTTTTGATTTGACACTAGTAACTAGTGTGATGCGTGTAGTCCTCTCTTTGGTGCAGACTGAATTCTATCAGTCAGGTTGTAATGTGGTCACCATTCTAGGTAGCTCGCCATCACGGTGTACATTGTTTGTGATGATATTAGATGGTTGGAGGCAATCGGCAGGAAGCCTTGGACCTAGGTTTCGTGCTAGTTCCTTCAAGGTTGCAGATAAGCCTTGCTGAAGAGTGCCAACTTGCACGAAACCTAGGTCCAAGGCTTCCTGCCGACTGCTTCCAACCATCTAATATCATCACAGGTTCCTTCGTCGCCAACCGAGCGCGTGGTCCGTGTCCAGCCGGCACAATCTTATACCTCGCCTACCCGGTGAAGAGGGAAGATTAGGCTTTGAAGTTAGCAACCTCACCCCATAAAAAACAAAATAACATCACTGCTACTGAAACCTTAAAGCTAACGCCTGAAGCCCTATATTCCACTCAGAACGCAAAGAAATAAAACATAAAATAATAATAATAAATATGGAGAGCGAAACCCTAGTAGAATATTTAAAATCTAAGCCTCAATGTATCAGTTAACGAGACAAATCTTTGTCACCAATAATCCTTTGTTGTTGTCCTGATAGAAGACAATTAGAGGCCAGTTGCTTTTTCGATATCCAACTTAGAAAATTTGTTGATGTATTTGTGTTATCTTATCTGGATGGTTTATTTGCGAAGCTTTCATTATCCTACTAGGCAACATCTTCAGCGCATACTTCAATTTCTTGAAGTGAGCTTTTAGCTTTCTCCACGAGTTTATTAGTTATCCCTCCCGGTGACCTTTGAGATGATTGGTTGTTTTTATGTAGTTTTACACCCTCTAGGCTAATTGTATTGGTATTGGTGTTGATTGTTTTCTTGACCTGAAGTTTGATCCTTATCGATTGGTAAATTTTGTCCATGTCAATGTGCCTATTAATTGACGATTCACTGAAATACCAGGCTTCTAAAAATTCTCTAGCATTCTCGGTGTTTCCTCTCTCTAACATTTGAACGTTGTTCCAGTTGAATTGATCTCCGTGCTTGTCTGTATGTAGTGATATGAGGGAGTGGATGTCATGTCTTTTGACGACTAGTTTATGATCATGGATATGAAGACGAAGAGGACGTCCTTTTTGGCTAATGTGGTGTCTTTCGCAGTCAATGCAACTAATTTGGTTGATGATGTTGGTTTTATCTTCTTTCGCCGTTGAGTCTTTTGGTTGACATAGAACTGAGTGAATTGATTGTGTTGATTTGTGTGCGACGTGAATTCCTAATGGTTTGAAGAGTCTTGCAGTGATTTCTGAGATATCTTTTATATATTGTAGGGTGATTTTATTTGTGCTTTCCTTGGGGGCTTTTGATCTGGTAGGTTGGTTTCATGAAATTACGTGGATATCCATTCTTTTGGAAGACTCCATGAGATATCTTTCTTCAATTTTCCTTAAGGTGGGAGTGCTGCAATGAGTCCTGGTCCTCTTGAATAGCGTTTGTATACAATTCCTTTTGTGTGTTATTGGATTGCTGTTATAATTCAGTATTAGGTCCATGTGAGTTGATTTTCTATAAACTTAGGTTTCTAATTCCCTTGTGGTTGTCCGCTTGACTAAGACGTCCAAAAATGGGATTTTAATCTCGGATTCTTCTCTTGTGAATTCGGTATCGTTGAAGACGTTGTTTATTAAGTTGTCAATTTTGTCCAACTCGTTTCTTTTGATTATTACAAATGTGTCATCTACGTAACGAATCCAAATTTTGGGTTTGATCTTTGGTAGGATTTTGCTTTCGAGCCTTTGCATCACTGCTTCTGCAATCGAACCTGATATATGTGATCCCATGGTTGTTCCTTTAACTTGTTCATATATTTGGCCGTTGAATTGAAAGTACGTTGTTAGGCATAGGTTTATGCATTCCACCCAACTTGTGTGTTGCATTTTTGAATGTTTTGGGAGGCGTTAATCATTGCTCAGTAATGACGACATGCAAATATACTGATGACAACAAGTTGAATATAAAGATGCCCACTACATTTAGATCCCCTTACTATCCATTGGCTAAGGGGTTAACTGAAATCCTTGAACCCGTCACGGGACAACTATCTAACCATTCCCTTCATGACACTCTAATATATCGAATGTTTACAAGATACAAATGCTTCGAATAAGTATATGTTTTCCTTGGAGGTAGGATCTCTTTTTCCGAGCGTTCCATTGACAGAAACCATATGATTTATGTACAATTATATGTATATATTTCAGAAAAAACTATAACATTTGTAATTATGCAATAATGATAGTAACTAACCTGTATCATATGACATAATGCTGTGTAAAAGCATAATGAACTACTTGCCAGTATTGGTTTTGTACTGTAACCTAAACCAAGTTTATGTGAACCTAATGGTTCGCCTTTTTCATTATAAGCTGCAACTGCAAACGCATATTCCTCATTTGGAGTCAGGTCAGTTACTTTTATGATACAAGAACCATTGTTGCTGACCACCTGAAAAGATTTTTAGAAAGACAACACCTGATCACTAGATAACAGTTATTTTTTGTTACTAGGTGTAACAAATATAACTAAATAATACGGGTTAGTCAATATGTAATATAACCTTTAGCAACAGCTTTAAGAGCATGATCTAGGTAATGCGCACTGTGCGATTATTTCCGCTAAGTGCTTTAATTCCTTGCTTAATTTAATACAGGAATTAAGCCAAACAACACTGTATTCTCATCAGTGTAAAGTGATATGTGTAGTATTTTAAAATGATCTATTAAATGTCAGACAAGATATTTACACTTCGAGAATTTGTCGATTTTTCGCATCACTTTGACAATTTGAAAGCAAGGATTTTCGTATTACAGTGTGAAGCAAACTGCGAGCCCAACAAACTTGTGCAAATGAAAGAAATTGTTTCATCATCTTTTACTGAATGTTGTGAAGAAATAGAGGATGAATTCCACAAAAGCTACTTTAACCAAACCATATGGAAATGAAAAGTATAAGAAACCTTACAGGCGGTAGTAGAGCTAGCTAAAAATGATTGCACACAACAAAGCGAAATAGCAATGTGCTGCTGAAGTCCCAGTGTTCCTCTGGGAAGTCAAAAGACAGTGGCTAGGACGGGGATCCATGATGCATGTTTCCTACTATTGGAAACTCAGTAGCCTGATCTCTATAGAATGACGGTATTTGCAATGAGATTAGAACCCAATACCTATGTAGGCATCCACTCAAGGAGTTCATAGGCCAAAATGAGGCTAATCGACTTGGTTCAGATAAATCAATAAGAAATCACAACTATGAATAGATAATATGAATCTTTAGATTCATTACGTGAGCTATAGTACTCGTAAACAAATTTTTCAATCTCATTCTAAATATTATAGTTAGTGCAGTCTCACTACTATTGTAACGACAGAAGACAAGAGTCAGGCAACAGATCGTTTATTGAGAAAATCAAGAGGTATTTATAGATTTTATGTGCATTATTATTAGTGTTATTGTTAGTGGAGAAGCAACCTCTTCTGATTGGTTGTTTTCTTGCTGAAGGTTATTCTGTACTGCTTGTGATGGTTTCTGACAAAGTTAAGCCATATACCTGCGGATTATATTCTCACATGCTAATTCCACTGTGATTGGTTGTTCAGTTCCTCAAGGTTAAGCTTTGTTTTTGTTTTGTTTTTCTGATGACGCCGATTCGAGGCGTGAACATTGACGTAAATGGGTGTCTACAATTTTGGCTTGCAGACAGCTCTCACCACACTATTGCTGGGTTTTACGATTGTTGCATTATGGGCATCAGGAGGTACGCCGCACAAAAACAACAAAGTGTAAGGAAAACAGGGATAGAATAACCGCTCAAGTGATCCAATGTTCTGTTCTAGGTCGATGCACTTTTGAGTCGATAGTTCATTGGTAGTGTAGCCTCATGATAAACCAGTAAAGTATTTAAACATAACATGCTATTGACACCAAATGTTAGCTGAAAGCATCTACGTCGATGGTCCAAAGGTATGACGTCTAGCAAATACACACGTGGTCACAGTTCAATTTCCAGTCGAAACAATCCTAACGTCGCCCAGAAGTTAGTAAGCTCGGGAATAAAAGACTGGGCGTTAGTCCAACAACCTACACCGTGTATGAAGAAACTCATGCTCTTCAGAAACTTTAAAGCTTGGAGCGCAAATGAATGTAATCAGTAAGTCTACTAAAATCAACTTTGTTGTCACTTTTATTGCTCAGTATATCATGTTTTCACTTGTTTTTTTTTAATATCAAAGCAATGTATTGTACTACTAAATAGTATCCTTCCCAACTAAAAACTGTAAACTTGTATCACAAAGAAAACAAAATGTAATAAATTGATGAAAGGAATTTGTGTATATAGAGATTTTGATTACCATAACTCCTGTATTAGTTAGCTTATTGTCAGTAATATGAACTTTCTGATTAGCTACAAATGTTTGTTTTCCATAGATTGCATAGAAGTGAACCTGAAAGGTAAAATAAACTTCATTAAAGTTAGAAAGTAATTCACTTTAAAATTGATATAACTTTTACAGACTGGAAAATGTGAGGATATCTATAACAAGTTATTATTAACAAATGAAAGTTCCATATTACAACCATCCGTTTGAACGTGCTACAATGCTCAAAATATATCTTGAAACAAATTTATAGCAGTTCTTGTTCATTATGTTTGTAAAGCTATTATTTATTTATTTATTATTATTATTCCCTTGGGTTCCGAGTGGAACATAAAGCTTCAACAACACATCTCCACTTTGTTCTGTTTTCTGCCGTCCTCTTCAGCTGGGTCCACGATTGACCAAACTCTCTCATCTCTTCCTGACACGATCTCCTTCATGTCACCCTAGGAAGACCCACTCGTTGCTTCCCGTTTGGATTCCACTAGAGCGATGGCCTGGCGTGCGATGTCATTCGGTGGCCTCCTCAATGTATGCCCGATCCATCTCCACTTTCTCCTGCATATTTGTTGAGCGATCGGCTCTTGGTTGGTTTGTTCCCATAGTTCCTTGTTGCTGATTCTTTCTGGCCGGCTGGTCATTTGATCTTCAGTATTGAGCCAGCGAAGGCAGCTGTTGATGAAAGTCTGCAGCTGGCTGTTGGAAATCCTTTTCATGACACGCAGTACAAGTCTCTGACCCGTAAAGAAGAACCGACTTGACATTGATGTTGAAAGTACGAATCTTGTTCCTTATGCTGAGTGCGGAAGATTTCCAAACTGCTTTCAGGTTGTAAAGCTATTGAACCGAGAAAAAAATGAAATATCACGAGCTACTCCGATCAAAATTTCTACAGGTTTATATTCTTCAGCTGATCTTGACGTGATAAGATTGAATTCGGAGACGAGATGCTATACAACAAAAGTCGAAACTGATGAATAGACTATGCATTTTCTTTAAAAAGATATGACAAAATGTAAAATACTAAAAGAAGATTATCTCTTTAACTGATAAGATGAATGTATGGTGTGACAAAACGATAGTTCAGAATAGCAAATTAATGAATTACAAAAATAAAAAACCATTGGTTCTGGGAATCCTAAATTTGTATTGTAACGACAGAAGACAAGAGTCAGGCAACAGATCTTTATTGAGAAAATCAAGAGATATTTATAGATTTTTATGTACATTTTTAGTCGTTGTTCTTGGCAGAGAAGCAACGTCCTTTGATTGACTGTTTTCTTGCTGAAGGTTATTCTGTACTGCTTGTGATGGTTTCTTACAAAGTTAAGCCATATATCCGCGAATCGTATTTGCACACGCTAAGTCTGCTGTGATTGGTTGTTGAGTTCCTCAAGGTTAGGCTTTGTTCTTGTTTTTTCTCATGACCCCTGTTCTGGAAGTAAATTGTTGCTTACAATTTCGGCTTGCAGACAGCTCTCACTACAGTATCACAGTGACCTCAAATGATGAAATTATTACAAAATCTGTCTGCATAAAATAGTCGACAAACAAGTACTTCATTTATTGGTACATTTATTTCTTCAACTGTGATGGCCGAACGCAAGTAACATAAGTGATTCGATTTCTGTACTAATCAAATAATTTATATTTGTGGATTTCCATAAACTTTCTAACTACCTATAACATTACATAATAGATATTGTCAGTATACTTTTATTTGTCTAATCACATTGGAAACCTATTTATGCCATCATGAATCTACAAATAATTACCACTTCTTAGTTCTTCAGTCAGCGAGAAGTTCTCCAAATGTGTGGTGAGAGCTGTCTGCAAGACAACAATTGACGTCAATGTTTACGTCCCATACCTTGGTCATGAGAAAAAACAAGAACAAGGCCTAACCTTGAAGAACTCAACAACCAATCACAGCAGACTTAGCATGGGTGAATACGATTCGCATAAATATCAGCGGACTGTCTAAGAAACAGCAACAAAGAGATGACCGAATAACTGTCAGCAGAAAACAACCTATAAGAAGATGTTGCTTCTCTGCTAACAATATCGCTAATAATAATGTACATAAAAATCTATAAATATCTGTTGATTTTCTCAATAAATGATCTGTTGCCTGACTCTTGTCTTCTTTCGTTACCACTGTATTTAACTTTGAGACGAAAACATTTTGTTACAGTTTTCATCTTCTCATTCAAAACTATAACCAATTTGAATCGAAAGTATTAAAAAACGTGTTTTTAGCTGTACAACGAATAAACAAAACAGTTCAGATTATTACTCATAAAAGTAAATAACTGACAAAATAATTATGATGCTTTGCTAGACTACTCGTTGTATAAAAGTGTCTTAAATCAGATATATTTGATATTAGATGGTTGGAGGCAATCGGCAGGAAGCCAACCATCTAATACCAAAATTCACAGACCTACGCCTAGCATGGTGCCACATTGCAAACATGACTGATAGAATTCAGTCTGCACCGAAGATAGGACTAAATACAATATATATTTATTCATCACATTTTACTTACCGATTCTCCAGTAGATGGTTTCCAGTCTTGTGTTTTAAACACCATTGATTTCCCAGATTTTGTAACCAATAAGGGTGGAGGTGGTCGGTCGGACTTCACAGCATCGCTTCTTGATTTTCTACTTAACTCCTGTGACTCATTGAAGTCATTTGAGATTTGAGTATACCTATGTTCATTGGTTTTCAAAGGGTAAGTTTCATTCTGCCATTTAGTGAATAGTAATTTTTCAGCAGTCTGTTTCATCAAAAGTGAAAAGTAGTGGAAAGAGTGTATTAAGAAAACATGGATTCTCAGAATAGCTAAATATTTCAGTAGTAATTTTGTATGGAATAAAACTGTAAATACTTTTTAAGATTTGTGACCAATTGAAATTGGTCTGTGTCTTTGTACCAACACTAAGTGAATTATTTCCAGGAGTGAACCACACCTTTAACTGCAATTTTCATTTCATTATTACATCGCTATAATAGGCCACTGTCACACATAACAAATGAGTGTAATACCTGCCCTTTTTTATTCCTTTACGTCTCCCAGCTAGAGGCTTGAAGTTTCTGTAGCAGTGGTGTTTATTTTTACAGGATGGGGTTTCTAGCCTCATGCCCAAACTTCCCTCTTTACCAGTCTTGTTACTGGATTAACGAGGTAACGGAGTGCATCGGCCGGGGATCGAACCCCGGACCACCTGTGTAGTTGGCGAGCTCTCTACTGCTGTGCCACCGATGCACATACCTGCCCTAGAAACGTATTATATAAAAATGCTCTAGTTGACCCAAACACACTTGGAAAAAAACATTTAAGTAGATCTTGGACCTAATTAAAGTCTTTTTGAAATAATGAATTTCTATTTTGAGTGACTTCAGTTAGCACAGTTCAAAACCTGTCACAGTACAGCTGGTACATGTGTTAATTGAGACAATGTGCATTGATAACTTCAGTTAGGACTCGAAAAAAATGTCTGAGGTTCTCTCAGATACGATATTTTTCTTTCATTTTTACTAAAATGATTAGTTTTCAACGTAAAACACTGCACAGAAAGGAAAATCACACAGAAATTAATCAGAATTTATAGGATCTCGAAGTGAAAAGGACTGAATGCAGATGCAGAATTTTTACAATCAAGTCTGCTGAAGTTATTAGCACTAGATGTATAAAGAATCTTCCTCACAGATAATTTTAAATATTTATATACCTTTTTGTGTTTTCTAATTTTAAATCTGTTTACATAGATGTTAGTTTATACTTTCGAAACTCCGTCACCACTTCTAATTTTCTTGTAATACTTGAACTATAAAACTTTCGTATTAGGCTTTTTAATTTTATCTGCCTATTTTTTCCTAACTTAAAATTATTTATCCATAAGTTTCAAATTTATGATGGATGCAAGAATTGTTCATTTCTTTGTAAAACGCGCTCAGGAATACTATCCAGCCTGGCTAGCAAAGAGAGAATGTTGGTGTGTTTATAGTTTAGTAATAGAATATTTGATGAACTCAGGAAACTCACTTCCACTGTAAAAGTTCTATACACGATGCGGTCAAAGCTCTCAGAGGGAGTGAGATCAAGACATCTGGACAAAGTTGAAGTACTAGTGACCCAAAAATTCAAGCCATCCCTCTGTATTCGAAAGAAGTATGTCGAGCCTTAGTCCTTATCATGGCCAGCATAAACAATTAGTCTTCTCACTAATTTTTATCCGACTATGTTTTTATCTGAACTTCCTGTTTATTTTTTCGTTATTACATTTTTAGTCCCTATTTTTTTAATCTTGTTGTTCGACGTAATTTGATCCTCGACGTGAAGTAGACATGAGACTTTCCCACTCCTTTATTATATATATGCAAGAATGAACAGTCTAGTTGATGACTTAGTCGAAGATAAAATTTTCTTCGCTTCAACCGTCTTTTTAATTTTCCCCAGGGTACGAAAGTGCTTTGGTGGCGCAGAGATGCAATGCTCGCCAACCACGCATGTGGTCTGGGGTTCGATCCACGGCTGACGCATTCCTTTATCTCCCCTAGACAGTTGTAAGCCCATCAAGGAGGAAGGTTGGGCGTGAGGCTAGCAACCTCACCACATAAAAACACCACTGCTACTGAACCTTTAAAGCTGATACCTGAAGCCCTATGTTTCACTCGGGACGCAAAGGAATAAAAAAAACAAAGAAAAATCTAAGAATATAAGTGCAAAGGTGTGGTAATTCTTTTGATAGTGATGCTGAGATTTTATTTCCGATTAGTTATGAATCTTTCTTGATCATAATTCAATCATCTTAGGCCCAATAATTCAGGTCTTTCCATTAGGGTTTATTACAAAAGAGGACCTCCTGTGCTAAGAAAATGAGTTTGGTCGAAAAAATGGCAGAGTGAACCCTGCGGTGTTTCCTGAGTCTTGATTACATTCGTTATTATTTTACAGACAGAAAACTACGAGTAAAATACTGAAATAGTCATAATGATTTTTATTTCATTGAACTTTTGCAAAAAATTCATACCTGATAATATTTTTTAGCCTTTTCATCGTTCACTTCCATCTCCGCTTTTAGACAGTAGTGAAAAACTTTTGAAATAAAATTTCGGCCACACTGTTTGAGTAGATTTTCATTGATTTCATCGTTTTTCTTATCTGCTTTATCATTTGTTAGATCATTTGAATCGCACCAAGATAACCATTCTGAAAATATTCAGCAAATTATATGAAAATGTTGGCGTGAATGAATGACGTTCAGAACTTACAGTCTTCGTTGTTTTGTTAGGGTGAAAATTTCTCTTATCATTACTGATATATTCCGTATTCTAGCAGAAATATATACTTGTGTAGGATTGTACAATTACTTATTATGAATTAGGTTGCACTCATGAAAGTTTGTGAACAAGCCGAATTTCTGTTGGTTTTACAGACTACTATTGAATTTTTACAAAATGATGTCATTTTGCATGCTCTAAATTTCAAGTCACTACTACTATTACAAATATATAGGCAGAAATGCAGATGGATCGGGCATACGTTGAGGAGGCTGTCGAATAACATCGCGCGCCAGGCCACTGCTCAAGTGGAATCCCAATGAGATGCGACGAGTGAGTCGTCAGTGCGAGGGTGACATGGTGGAGATCGAGCGAGGAGGACATGAGGGATTATGGGCAATCGTGGACCCAGCTGAAGAGGACTGTAAAAAAAAAAATGGAGATGTGTTGTTGAAGTCCTATGTTTCCCTTAGAACCCAAGGGAATAATGATAATAATAACTATGATTGAAGACCTTTTAGACTACTTAAGTATATCTCCCTAATTTTTCACAGTCTGCTGCTTTCCTCTTTTTACTACATAGTTCAGCGTTTTCGACAATTAACTGACATAAAATCCTTAACCTATATTTCTACTTCCCATGATGTTTTAAAATAATTTTCCAGCTGAACAGCTTTGATGATAATTTAATAATGCAGTTTTATTCCAGGCCTATGTCTTTTATACCTTAGATCGATTCATGTTTAGAACATTCACCTGACATGTAAATCACTGAAACAATAATCTGCACGGATTTCAAACAAGAAGCTCTATTCATAGAACAACTGGATTTTCATAACTTCACTTTCTTTTTACAAAAACATCTTTGAGCGTAATTTGAAATTTTATTCTAATCAATTTAGTAAAGTACGGAAGACTTTTTAATCATACTACTTCGAAATATTTAATGCCAAACTTATGACGTCAGCGGAAAGGCACCTATAATTCCTGCGACTAGTTGAATTGCGGATGAAATTGCACCAGTTCAAGATACCACACTATAGAAAAGCACACATGAAAATGAAGATAAGAAAGGCAGTGAAACTTAACTGGACAAAGATGTATGGGGGGAGGAAGATCGTATGAAGGTTAGAGAGGATATTCAGAATCTGGATGACAGCAAGAAGTAAGCCTTCTCCAATTAGAACAATTTTGAGACATGCAGCTAACAGTCCCTGGTCATTGATCCTTATCATCCTAAGGAACAAAACAGGAATATATATACCGGAAAACTTGACTAAAACCAACAGTCAAAGTCCTCATGGAAGGGTGCTATGCCTTCGTCTAAACTCGTATATTTTTCCAATTTAACTGTGTTCTATGTAATGTAACTTATCAAGGAATGTGATGCTTTAGTATTCATAATCTTTCATTGCTGTCTTAAATGATTCAATCCACAACTTCATCGATTGACTTGCCGTTCTTACCCCATACTTTATCCCTAACCTCAGTATTAATAACCACTAGAAACTGAAAATACACATTTATGATCAAAAACTGCTAGTCTTTTAAAGTTTCAATTTTCAACAGCCACGTCTCGCTGACTGAAAGAATGACGCGATGAACCTCTGTACAGCAAACATATTTAACTACTTCACTGTCCATCATAAAACCAAGAGTTGGTGCAAACCACTTCTGCAGCACCATTTTACATGTGATAGTGGTGAGTCGCATGTCAGACACACACAGAAGACTTCGTTTCATCAGCATCCCAGCCTAGAAAAACAATATTGTTTATGTAAGGAATTTTTTTCCTGATAACGAGTGGATCGGACCGGACCTCTGCATTCAAAAGCGATACAGCCCTACCGTGGCCAGATTAAAGTTCTTACTATAATTTTGATTCTTCTTTTTATTATGTAGGTTCACTATTATTACTATTATTTTATTATCATTAATATTCCCATCATCCATATTTTATTACCACTATATTGCTGTTTATTAATAACATTGCTTTTTCATACAGATTTTATATAAAAACACTTCATCACCTTTCCACTAGTTCCTGTCCATTCTACACGAGCTTATTGATTAGTCATTATCTCACACTTATTACGTCATGCCAACTTCTGCCTCTTTTCTAACTTACAATTAGTCATCCCTTCCTACACCTTACATTATGTAATACATTTTTCGAGTACAAAGTTTACCAGTATCTGATTGGTCTAAAGATTTCTTTGTTAAATACAATTATGATTGTACAGCTCATGAAAATGAATCGTCGAAAAGAAAATTTTCTTCGCTGTTTACGCCTTTTACTTATAACTCAGTATGGGAATGTTTCGTTCATGGATTTCTAAAACACTGAAGTCATACATGCTCAAATCTATCAATAAAGAACGAAGACAGTGGGTATCCCTGACGAACACCATTTGTAGTAGTCACTTCAGATGACAACTTTCCATAAGATTTTACACGACTACATAAGTTTGAGCGGAGCACCTTGATTCGTCCAACTTCTTTTTTGTGTACCCCAGTCAGCACCTCAACACTTTTCGATCAACAGAGTTCGACATGGCATTAAGGTCAAAAGATAAAGTAAATGATGAGCGCTGATAAGTATTCTAGCATTCCAAAACCTAAAGAAAATTATGCATTCTACGATATTTGTATTTATGACACACTGTGCTAACATTAAAAGCTTCACAACAGAAGTATTCGGGCTATAGTTTTTTTTATCTTACAGGACTTCGTTGTGTGCAAATAAGTGAGTTTATCTCCGCCTTTACATATGAATTTTAATCAGCGATAGAAACTTGGCAGCTACAGTATTTACTATGAGGCGTTCAATTAGAATTGTCGTGGACACATCACCGAATAGTTTACGCAATTCTACCTTTCATTCAGCTGTGTTTTATCTGCTAAGTAACTAAGTTTTGTAAAACAGATGTATTTGCTTCCTGTGTTCCTATTGAAACTACCTATTCCTTCAACAGAGGAGAACTCAAAATTCAGGTTGTAGCTTCACCTTGGAATTTGAAATTTCCAAGTTACCAGTTTATGCTAGACAATCTATGTGGTATGTGGATAGAGTTTACGAATTTCTTGTATTTGTTTGTGCTTCCGATTCCAAACAGAAAGTGAAAACACATCTATCATTATCCTGCATGTATTACTTAGTTTTGACAGTGTTTAACATTCAAAGTGAAATATAAATAAAAACTTACCTAGATTCCTAAGTTTCCAACGAATACTGTGTTCGAACCAAAGTAGTTCTACTTGTATTTCTGACAGACCATTAATCTCCAAGTTGTGAGTCTGTCAAACAGTTTAGATTGTAGAGAATTAGAGAAAATCCAAAAGTAGTATAATTAGGATATTGATCTTAGATACAAGGCAGGTAAGTGTTTAGCAGTCAGATAAGCATAGAATAGTAAGACATTTATGAATATTGTGGAAACAGGCCACAAACTCTGATGATGGAAAACAGTATGTCAAAAAAAAAGCTGTTTTACTGAGTGTTACCTTTTGCAAAATTAAAATATTCCCCTTACTCGGTGTACAGTGCAGAATAAAGGCATTTGAATTATTACTTGTCGATTAGCGATGCTAATCTCATATATTCTTAGACAAAACTATGCTAGTTGTAGAACATCTATTTCAAACTATAAAAAAATATTCTTATCCAGTTGTTAGGTATTCAGGATTGGATTAATTTGAAGTGGGACTTGATTACACAGTGACATCAACGGAAGAACTATACTACACATATGTTCGTATAGCTTACAGTTTCGTCAGTAGTGTACACCTGCCCTTTCGGATCATTTTATTTTATTTTGATTTTGATTTACAGCTTGATTCCACACCGTATTTTCAGTACAAGTGTGGAATTTTCAGCGTGGATATCGGTAGCCCAAATTCAGGCCGACCATAGATATCGGGTGTGCGCCGGCAGGGGCTCGAACCTCGAACCATGTGCATGGTCGGCGAGAGTCCTAACCACTGTGCCACCGACGCACATCAGATTCCTGTCTGAAGTTATAATCAGTACTGCTAACCATGTCCGGTGACGAGAGTTTTTACTATTTATACTGGACAGTTGTTACGATGTACCGAAAATTGAAGGTTATAAACAACTAGATTCCAATCGAATTGCTCACTTGTAACTTAATATGCGAAAACCTTCATAGATATGTCTTCTTCTGTATGGAGTATTCGGTACACTATAAACAGCAGAAAGGGATTTTTCTATACTGACATTGTGATCTGTTTGGATCAGGTGTGATAAAATCAAACTATTGATTCATTTTACTACACATTTATTTAACCGCATACATTCTTTTAAGTTTCTTCACGTTCCCCAGTGGAACATAGGGCTCCAAGCTAGAGGCTTGAAGTTTCTGTAGCATTGGGGCTTTTATTAATTTTACGGGATAGGGTTGCTAGCGTCATGTTCAACCTTCCATCTTTACCAGTGCTTCGGCCGGGGATCGAACTCCGAACCACCTGCGTGGTTGGCGAGCATTCTACCGCTGCATAAATTTAAAAAAAATTTAGAAACAAAACGAAAATTAAGAGAAACAGCTGATATAACTGGCTAAGAAGGAACAGCTGAATTATTAGGAACACGAACAGGTGGCTAGTCTAGGCATTTAGTTCTTCAGTTTTGGGCATGTGGAAATTCTGAGCTGTTGTAACCAGCATTAAAGGTTCTTTGAATTGATTTTCTCACTTAAAAAAGTTAATATTGCTAATAACAATCATTCTCTAACTATTATGGATATGTAACTGTAGAACCTGATGAAGAAGTTATCGAGAAGAATATTCTTTGTTTCCGATCAGGATTCTGAAATTCCCAATAGACATCTTTAATCAATTAAAAAAGATAATTGTCTTAAAGTTTAGCTTTATCTATAGATAGAATTCAGTCTGCACCGAAGATAGGACTAGACACATTACACTATTTACTGACTAGTTTACAATCGAAAATATCCAATACAGTCCTACAGGAGGTCAGTCGCGAGCCTGAATAGCTCAGTGGTAACGTCTCCGAGTGCAGCACTAGGTGACACGGGTTCGAATCTCAGAAGAGACATGAGTTCCTTCAAGGTTGCAGATACGCCTTGCTGATGAGTGCCAAGTAGCACGAAACCTAGGTTCAAGGCTTCCTGCCGATTGCCTCCAACCATCTAATATAGATTTATCTATCAGCCTTCTAGGGCACCAGTATTTAGTACAAAAAAAGTTATTTTCTTTATTATTACAGAATTTATTCATGCATGCATCTTTCTGTTTCCACTGATTTTCTTTATCAGTGATTTCTGTAATTCAAGTTCTTGTAAAGAATCTTTCTGATAAAACCAGAAATTTGAAATAGAATAGTACTTATTTCTGTTTGATTCTCCAAAACTCATCGAAAATAAGTAATCAAAACATATATAACACAAATAGAATTGTTTAGAGATACATAAAACATATGTGTCGGGTCTCCCTATTGCTTCATAGCTATGTTGGCATTCAGCTGATCGTCCCTAATTAACTGAAAGAAAATGGGATAGGTAGTGATCCTTTTTCTACAAAAAGTTGATATGGACATACTCATTACAGTTCATCTAAGGCTCTTTGTAATTATTTTAAAAAGAGAATTTGAGTATATATATATATATATATATATATATATATATATATTTCGACAACACAATAAGAAGACGTAGTTTATCTGAAACGTGTAATGTATTGGCGCAACACATTTCAGACATTCTGATCACACACGTACTTGTCATACACAGTTTTTATAGAAGGCATGAATAATTACAATACAGGTCAGATTGTGTACAGGTCAAGGTCACAAATAATGGGTAGGGAGACGCAAAATGTGTGGGTAAGAAAGATGAAAGGAGAAAAACAAGGCAAAGAAGGGGTTGAAAATATTATGAAGTAAATTGAACCTTGGTTCTAAATGGGATTACCAAGGCAGGTTTAAGGTGATAACAAATAACTTTTGGACACATAAGACAGGTTTAAGTCTCTTTATGGCTAAGGCTTCAATGAATTTAAGTATGTGGCCCAACCTTGTTTTATATATTGGCTTAAAGGCATTGTTGAAATCAACCTTTTGACCTGTCTCTATAATGTGCTTCGCTATAGATGATGTTGGACATCTATTTCCGGGGTCACTTGTGTCTGGCGATTTCATTTGTTGTTGCAGCCACTTTGGAATGTGTTCTGTAGCCCTAACCTGCAGAGACCGATGGGTCCTCCCTATGTACGTGTCTCCACACATACATGTAAACTGATAAACACAGTGGGATGTGACACTATCGTTCGGATAATGTGAGGGCTTACAGGACAGCATAGTTCTCGTTTTCTCTATGAAGATAACCTTATTATTATTATTATTTATTATTTCCTTTAATTCCTAGAGGAACATAGGGCTTCAGCCATGCGTCTCCATTGCGTTCGGTTCTCTGCTGTAGTTTTCACCTGGCTCCAAGTCTGCCCACACGCTTTCAATTCCTCTTCACATGATCTCCTCCAGGTCACCCTTGGACGACCAACTCGTCGCTTCCCTTTCGGGTTCCACTCGAGGGCTTGTCTAGTGATGTCACTTGCTGGTTTCCTCAGAGTGTGTCCAATCCATCTCCATTTCTTCCTGCCTATTTGTTTCACAATCGATTCCTGGTTGGTTCGCTCCCAGAGATCTTTGTTGCTGATCCTTTCCGGCCATCTGATCTTGAGTATTGAGCGAAGACAGCTGTTAATGAAGGTCTGTAGCTTGTTTGAGCTGCTCTTTGTGACACGCCAAGTCTCTGATCCGTATAGTAGTACTGACTTCACATTGGAGTTGAAAATACGGATCTTATTTTTGACGCTGAATGCTGTTGACCTCCACATAGACTTGAGAGAAATGAAAACTTGTCTTGCTTTTCCGATTCTGGCTTTGATATCCTCGTCAGTTCCTCCTGTAGTTGAGACGATGCTTCCCAGGTAGGTGAAAGAAGTTGTTTCCTTCAGGTTCCTCCCATTTATGCTGATTGTTGTCGGTTGTTGCTATTGATGTTGGCCAGGAATCTTCATTACCTCTGTTTTGTCTATGTTCACTTGAAGTCCTATCTTTGCTGCTTCTTCTGCCAATTTGTTGCTTTTCACTTGCATATCTTCCAGTTTGTGGGAAATCAGACATATATCATCGGCGAAATCCAAATCCTCCAAGGCTTTTGTGTCGGTCCATTTTATGCCTGTTCCCTCGTTGGTTGCCGTTGTCTGCCGCATTATCCAATCAACTGCAATCAGGAAGATCATTGGTGATAGTAGACAGCCTTGTCTCACTCCCGTCCTCACTTCGAAGGATTCCGTGAGCCTCCCGTTGTGGATTACTTGGCATGCAGCGTTGTCATACAGCTGTTGGATGAGATGTATAATTGTCGGCGGCACCCCGTAGCAGCGAAGTAGTTGCCAAATCACCTCTCGATCGACGCTGTCGAAGGCTTTCTCAAAATCGATGAAGTTGAGATAGAGAGGTGACTGCCATTCCAAACTTTGTTCAATGATAATCCGTAGGGTGGCGATTTGGTCAATGCATGACTTGTTCCTCCTGAATTCGGCCTGTTCCGGACGAAGTTTTTCATCTAGGGCTTGTTTAATTCTCTCCAGGATGATGCGACATAGTATCTTGCTTGGAATGGACAGAAGCATAATTCCACGCCAGTTTTTACATTGACTCAAATCTCCTTTCTTTGGCAGTTTGAATAAGTATCCGTTCTTCCAATCCTCGGGTACTTTGCCCTCTTTCCACACCTTCTCTAGTAGTGGCGTCATCAAGTCCGCTGTTGTCTCTGGGTCTATTTTCAAAGCTAATGCTAGGATTCCATCTGGTCCCGGCGCTTTCCCAGCTTTTAGCATCTTGATGGCATTCAGGACTTCGGATTTCGTCTGAGGGTCGATGTTCATTGGTAGTTCTGCTTCCGTTGTTGGTATTGTTGGACGCGTTGTAGGTGGCGGACGATTTAGAAGTCTTTTGAAGTGTTCAGCCCAGTGCTTCCTCTGTTCCACCTCTTTGGTGATTGACTTTCCATTGTCGTCCTTTATTGGCTTAATCTGTGTCGAACTTTTGCCCGAAAGGTGCCTAGTTGTTTGGTATAGTGTAGCGAGGTCTCCTTTGCCTGCAGCTTGTTCTGCTTCGTTTGCCATGGTTTCACAATATTTTCTTTTGTCTTCCCTGGCACTTTTCTTCACTCTTTTGTTCAGTGCATTGTAGCTTGCACTCAACTCCTGTTTCTGTTGCTCGTCGGTGCACTGGATAATCTTTTGTTTCGCCACCCTTCTCTCTTCTATTAGTTTCCAAGTGTCCGTAGAGAGCCACTGTTTGTCCTGTCTCTTTTTTCTGCCTAGGACTTCCATGCAGGTTTGACTCCACACCTTGTTCCAGTGCTTTTCGACGCTTACCTTTTCGTTGGTGTTGATTTGTGTCTCGGCTTTTTCCCTTATGTTTGCAATGAAGATGTCCTTTGTAGCCTGGTCCTTCAGCTTTTGAGTGTTGATAACCTTAGCTGCATAATAAGTTCTATTAATTGCGGCCTTAAGTCTTTGTCTAGTGACTAGACTTTGTTGATCACCTCTGAACCGCAAGGATATGTAAACATCCTTTTTGGGAGCTGATTGGATTGGTAGAGCTCTATGGTTGACGCTTCCGTAACGCCTAATAAATCTCAGTGGGTAATTGTTATCTAACAATATCTCAGTGAGGTGTTATCTTTCTTCTTCAATTGTATCAGCAGTACATATACGGTGAATGCGCTTGAACAAACATTTAACCAACTCCTTTTTATACTGTAGTGGACAGAAGCTATGATAATTTAGATACTGTCCCATTTTCTCGGCGGGTTATGAGTACATCGAAAAATGGCAGACAACCATTATTCTCTTTGACGTATGTTAGCGATATGCTGTTTTGTACTCTGTTGATTTGGTTCAGGATTTCAATGGCGTCTGTCGGTTTATCGCAAATGACTACTATTTCATCTACATATCTTTTATAGAAATAAACTTTTCCAATTTCTTTCTCCACTAGGTTCTCGACATGCGTCATCTATATATCAGCTAACAATGGACCTAGGGAGCTTCCCATAACAAGACTATCGATCTGGCGATAATGCTAGCCCTCGAATGTAAACTTAACATTGTTAGTACAGAGAAGCAGTAACTCTTCTAAGTAAGATGTGGATACTGGTAATAGGAAATCGTTGTCAGAGATGCAATCACATAAAATGTAAACTGTCTATAAAAGAGTTACATTTGTAAATAAAGATTCAACCTCTAGGGAAAACATGGTTTTGTCCTTTATATCAACGTTATCAAGGCAATCAATTGACTCAAAAGTGTCTTTCAATGAGAACTTACAGAAGCTTCTTTTAACAGTCTCCCTCCCCGTTATTTGTGACCTTGACCTGTACACAATCTGACCTGTGTTGTAATTATTCATGCATTCTTGCCGTCTATAAAAACTGTGTATGACAAGTACGTGTGTGATCAGAATGTCTGAAATGTGTTGCGCCAATACATTACACGTTTCAGATAAACTACGTCTTCTTATTGTGTTGTCGATATATATATATATATATATATAACTACTGAACTTCATTATTTCTTCTCTACACCCTGTGGTTAAAGTGAAAAGGATGATCATTGCACAGAAATTCAAAATCCCCACCTTATTTGTTCAACCTGTACACATTTTAATTAACTTATATTTATTCAATGATAACACTACTTGAGGTTGCCTTAAATTGGCTGTCTGTTATTGATGTAATATGACCTGTAATTATAACCTGGTTAACAGTTATCTGGGAGAGCGCTGGAAGAATAACTCAGACGGGGCTGATTGAAATCCTACTGCAACCTAGATTCATTCTTTTAAAGAAAAACAGAAGTTGGAATCCATGGGCCATTGGATCGGGTCCCAGTGTCTGAATGGTCTACGAGCTCGCCTTGTAACCGTAAGGTTCTGGATTCGAAACTCGGTGAGTGCATACTGTTGTAGAGTCCCAAACTGTCCTGTACTCCCTAGTTTCTCACTCGTTTTCCTAACTGATGTCCGCTCATGATCAAACCTGTAAAAACATGCAGCATAAATTTGGTGTTACACAAAACACTTACATGATTCATCTGCAGATACATCATTCTTTCGCTAATTGTTTCGCGTGCCCAATTAATTATACTTTTCATTTTCATCCAAACATTAGTCCATATATCAATTGTACATACAGTGGGCTTTTCATTTCCAGTGAACTCTTTAAAGGCTTGAAAAAATATCGAATAAACATTTGTCTGACTAATAGTTTCAAATAACACAACTAACTTTTTACTGTATTCTTACACATGGTTCACTTAAGATTCATAGAAAGCTCAGAATCTACTCAGAATAAGTCGCATTCATGATAAATCTTTTTAAATTATGTATTAAAGTTAGACGTAAAAAGCTAACTGACGAATCAAAACTGATCTTTGCACAGATTTTCATCAGTCCAAGTATTAATATATCATTTAGGAACGTAAGTAACATTATATTATGATGTGTGAAGTATAAGCAAATTCAATGGAGATAAGAAGATTTCTTAGAATCTTAAAGGTGAATATTCGTCAGTCATACTGTAGTGTTTTTAAACATTTATTCTTATTATCCCAGTGACGTCAACGGCACAACCTAAATTCACCAATCTACATGCATGTCAAGTAATCCACAACGGGAAACTCACGGAATCCTTCAAAGTGAAGATGGGAGTAAAACAAGGCTGCCCACTACTATCTCCAATTATTCTCCTGATTGCGGTAGACTGGATAACGCGACAGACAGTGGGTAACCAGGAAACAGGCATAAAATGGACCCACACAAAAAACCTGGAGGATCTAGACTTCGCCGATGATATATGTCTGATTTACCACAAACTGGAAGGTGTGCAAGTGAAAAGCAACAAGTTGGTAGAAGAAGCATCAAAGACAGGACTTCAAATAACATAGAGAAAACAGAGGTGATGAAGATTCCTGGCCGACACCAACAGCAAAAACAACAGACAACAATCGAAATAAATGGGAGAAATGTGGAAGAAACAACCTCCTTTACCTACCTGGGAAGCATCGTTTCAACTACAGGCGGAACTGAAGAGGATGTCAAAGCAAGGATCGGGAAAGCAAAGCAAACTTTCATTTCTCTCAAGTCTGTGTGGAGGTCAACAGCACTCAGCATGAAAAATAAGATCCGGATTTTCAACTCCAATGTAAAGTCAGTGCTACTCTACACGGATCAGAGACTTGGCGATTCACGAAGAGCACTTCGAACAACTCCGAACAACAGACCTTCATCAACAGCTGTCTTCGCTCAACACTCAAGATCAGATGGCAGGCCAGAAAACATCAGCAACAGGGATCTCTGGGAGCGAATCAACCCAGCAGGAACCAATTGTGCAAAAAATATGCAGGAAGAAATGGAAGTGGATTGGCCATACTCTGAGAAAACCATCAAGTGACATCACTAGACAGGCCCTCAAGTGGAACTCGAAAGGGAAGTGGCGAGTTGGTCGTCAGTGCGAGGGTGACATGGAGGAGGTCATGTGAAGAGGAGATGAAAGCATGTGGACAGACGTGGAGCCAGGTGAAAACGTTGGCAGAGAACCGAACGCAATAGAGACGTGCGGCTGAAGCCCTATGTTCCTCTAGGAACTAAAGGAAAAAATAATAATATAATACGTGCTTCAGACAGATAATCACTGAATACATTCATTGATGTCATCACTGTTTGATGTAACTGTGTCCAACTATTTTTTTCACTCTTATTTTATTTTGGCTGACATCACTCTTCAACAAAAGGTACCGAAGTGAATTGTGTAGTGCATGTTCTAGCCACATAAACCGATTAATATTCATAGCCCGGTTAACTAACTTACGTTATTTACCTGGCATTGTTTTTCAGCATAGCATTATTTGTAACTTTACCCATCAGAAATCTAGAACTGATGAGGTATATATGTTAATAGTCAAGGGTTTAAAATCCCCTTACATCTTCTAATTTAAGTAACCATGATTCATTGCTATCAGGTAAAACGAATGAAACCGCTGAGCAATACACATTCTATTTTCTCGGTAGCCTGATATAATTCCTAAGAATAAAAGAACAAAAGCCTTAAAATGATAATGAGTATGGAATTCATCAGGTTTTCGCTTGACTGTACGTGTTGATAAAGGGAATTTTTTATGATGAACTAATTGAAAATAAGCTGTCTGGTTGTTTTATGTTGTTTCAGTGTATAACTCGTGCACTCAAATATACAACAAAGCGTTTGTTTTTTTAATTTAAATAGAGAGGCGAAGGGTATTTACAAACGAATACTGGGGTCAGACAGAGTTTGCACTGTAAAATCCTTGATTATATACACATCTGCTTTAAATGAATAAAACAGGTCTTTAATACCTGTTAAATTTTAAATTAGGGATATGTATATATATATATGCTTTGACCAATATTTGATTTAGAGGTTTCATAACTTGGTCAGTGAGTGAAAAGAAGACAAAAGTAAAAGGTAAATTTACGAAAAGTCCCAACATATTTAAGTACCTAGTTCTAGCATTTTCTTCAACGAACTGCTAAACACTTCTCATAAACGGTTACTTTTACAGATCTTATAAATAGTTTAAGTAGTATTTAATTACCATCCAACTTACCCTGAAAATCATTCGTCTTTATTTGTAAGTTTAATACTCTCAATAAAACACTGATATTCACACCATCCAAAAGTGTTTGTCTACCAGTTGTCTCCTGTGATCTATGTAATGTGAATATCCTCTGCTCGAATAATTCCATAATCCATAAAGTGTAGAATGTAATATTCGAGGACATCAATGCGTCAGCTACCTCAATATTCAGTAATTCCAGTGTGGCTCTAATCAGACTTAACATATAAAGAAGCTGAATAAAATGAAAATAAAAATTTTAAAATGTCTTAGCTGTTGTGCAACAAGACATGAAATTATACAGGAAAAATCCGAAAAGTATATTCTGATCGTATGACAGACTGTCAATAAGAAAATATATTTGAGCGAAAACTACTTGTTGAAACTTCAGAAACGTTGAGAAAAGAAAATCGCAGTAAATTCATCTGTGTTGTAAGTATTACGACAAGACTATCTTACAGGTTTATTGTGCTGATGTCACTGGCATGTCGTATTAATACGTAATCTTATACTTCGTTAAACTTAAATGTTATTTAAGGGGTCAGTTCAGACAATTAGTCTTCTTTTAGTCAGATATGGTAAATGAGATTTTAAAGCTTAGAATAAATGAAAACAAAAAGACCCAAACTACTTAAACCAAATATTCAATAATATAGGAGAATTTTTACGCTGAAAAATTAGAAAGGAATTGTTTATAAAACACCCAAGTTTAATCACGGATTGATACCAGCTAGAGAAATACTGAAAATCAGGACTGAACAGTACTGAGTAATGGACAACTATTTTGTCCTAGTTTGAGACCCTTCACCAGTACGCATCCATGACCTCACCAGAGATCGAACCCAAGACCCTCAGGTTAGGAGGTGAGGTCCGTCCTCAGTAGACTCATGGGTGAATACTTATGAAGAGTCCTAATCTAGGGCTTAGCAGCTTTTCAATACACTCTGGTTTCTGATGATTCTCTAACTGTGATCACACTTGACCCAGTTTGATCCTTACAAATTATTCTTTTGTTGTTTTCACCCTCATGCTACATAACCAAAGAGGTATTATGCTTATTGGTCTTGACGACTTCATTTTTGGTAATTATTAACAACAAACACTTTACGATCTGTAAGAATATTAGTTCCCCCCCCTTGAATTTAAAGTCATATCATTCAGTATACTGGTCATTTGTGTCACGTTTAACTGTCTGACTAGAGTTTGATAATTCTTTCAAGGAAACATTCTAAAGCATCAGTTATTTGTATTGTAATTCGTTTATAAGTTTATAAATTCTTTCGTGTTCAAAATATTCTCCCAAGGAGATATTTCATAATTAGGTAGTTCAGAGTTTATGACTGGAGTTCAGTTAGCCACTTACGTGTTTCTATCAAAGCTAAAAGTATGACAAAAGCAAATTCATAGGTATTTTAGAAGTACAACGGTTTATAATGCATTGAACTTAATGATTACAAGTATAAACATTTCGTGCTACTATACTTGAAAATAGAGAAGTGGAAGTTTTAACGAGTGAAAAAAAATATATCTTAATGGTCTTCTGCTTAAAGAAGAAAATTTCAGGTATAACTCTATTTTAACCTGAAAATAGCTTCATCATTTAAAAAAAACCAACTTTAGATAAACTTATTATCAAGTAATAAACTCACTCCAATAAAGTTTATCTTATTCTTATCGAAATATTCAGGTTTTATTCTGCTATGTATGTACCACTTTTGACATAGTGTGTGACAGTATTCCCATAGTACTAGAATGACGTCAACAAGAATTCCCGTATCGTACAAAGTGATCTATAATGAAGTCGGATTTAGGCGTAAAACATTGATATCTTACTGTAATTTGATCGCCTTTATGAATTATATTTTCTAACTTTTGAATTAACTTTAAAATTCCTTTTGGTAAGAAGCCTATAGTTGAAGAGTGAATTTTTTAAAAAAGGTACTTTCATTTTACTTACCTAGTGGAGTCATTCGATTTGGATTCGTTTCTTTATCACTTTCCAAAGAACCTATCACCTGTAATAACAAACAGGAAGTTGAATGCTTAGAATAGGATGATATTGTCAGTAGACGTACTGAGTAATGGTTTTTTTCCTTCACGTTCCCCAGTGGAACCTAGGGCTCCAAGCTAGTGGCTTGAAGTTTCCGTAGCAGTTTTGATTTTACAGGATGGGGATGCTAGCCTCATGCCCAACCTTTCCTCTTCACCAGCATTATTTCTGGCTTAGCGAGGTAAAGGAGTGCGTCGGCCGGGGATCCAACCCCGAACCATGTGTATGGTCGGCGAGCGTCCTTATCGCTATGCCACCGACGCCTGAGTAATGGTTCGGTGAACAAAAATTCGCTCTCAGTCTTTATTCCTGCCTATCACAGCTGATTGATTTCATGGCTACAGCATTGTGTTCGGTTGATCAAATTATTTTTTCTGATTGATTCGGAAAGATTCGTATGTTGGCTAGGTGAATTTTTGGAGTCAAACACCGTCCTTGTTTTCTTCATTTCCTCTAAATTTCCTTTCAGATATTTTGTAATTAATATTCATATTGCTAGTTTTTTCATCTATCATGACTTCCGAATTTCTAGGATTCATTATTCAGTAGTACTGTCTCTTTTACTGTCTCTCTCTTTGTGCGTCAGCGGCATAGCGGTTAGGACGCTCGCCGACCATGCACATGGTTCGGGGTTGGATCCCCGGCCGACGCACTCCTTTACCTCGCTAAGCCAGAAATAATGCTGGTGAAGAGGAAAGGTTGGACATGAGGCTAGCATCCCCATCCTGTAAAATCAAAACTGCTACGGAAACTTCAAGCCACTAGCTTGGAGCCCTAGGTTCCACTGGGGAACGTGAAGGAAAACTGTCTCTTTTACAGGTCTTAAATCCTGCGCACTTTGACTATCTAGATGAGTCCCTCAACTTGATCACTTAAACCATTCAGTAAAACTGCTTTCACTCACTTAATGAAGAATAAGTTAATTTATGCCAGTATTCAAGACACCATCTGATCTCTGCTTTCTCTTACAATGTAACAAAAGAAATGATGTTACTTCAAATTACTCATAAAAACCACTTAGCATCAATATACAGGTAATAGATTCAAGACTTTTTCATATCTCAGAAGCATCCAGTTTCAAGTGAAGCGGTTTCCAGGTTCAATTTATACTTTGTATTCATATATTTACTTATGGAACTGGTGACGTGTCTCTTTCGTCATCTTTTTTCACTGATACGGTTAACTGAAATCATTCAGTTGCTGCATGCAACACTCAGAGATTAGAAACAAGTCAACTTCTCAGTATACCATCTTTTATAACATACAAAATACTTTAGGCTTTAATCTATGAAAGCAACTCAGTTATTAACCTTACTTATAGACTGAAACGTCTGCTCCACTTATTATGTTATGCCTAATGGTATACATCGGTTTCACTTAAAACATTCCTATTTGGTTGCTGCATTATTATGAGAAAGGTGCGTCAGTCGCACAGCGGTAGAATGCTCGCCCACCACGCAGGTGGTTCTTGGTTCGATCCCTGGCCGACCTACTACTTCACCTCTCTAAGCCATTAATAAGACTGGTAAAGAAGGAATGTTGAACATGATTCTAGCGACCCCATCCCATAAAAATCAATATCACTGCTACCGAAACTTCAAGCCTATAGCTTGCAGCCCTGTGTTCCTCTGGGAACGTAAAGAAATATAAAAAATTATGAGAAAGTGTCACTAACACTTGCGCATAGAATTAGAAAATAATCAACAACAACAATCGTCTTTAATCTTACTAAATTTGATGTCTCTTGTTGAACAACGTTTTTATTTAAATTAACAGTCTGACTTTCTGATATATTCAACTCTTCGGCAGTCTCATTCTTTGTAAGTGTTCTTTTGGATAGATGTGCTGAATGCATAGCGCGAAGCAATTCCAGGGTTTCAATTTGTGCTTCAATAAACTGTATAAATTCTTTGGGTGACTGTTCTTCGATCATTTCTGACAATTTTTTCTGTCAATAAAAAATAATCAAGTAGTTTAATTGGGTGGAAATTTAGTTTGGTGCACACTTGGCGATGTCGAACTTTTACTGGGTTATTATACAAATAAACTTTTAGGAAAAGAAAAAGGTTATAAAATAATGTGATTTAGTTGTGTGTTTATCTAGTTTAAACATCCTCTTAATCTGATACCCATATTTTGCTAATGGATAAATCTGATGGCTTGCTTGAATCACTGGACTACCTGAGTTTTTATCTAACACAATGCATAATATTTCCTCTAATTCCTGTTGGTTAAACCATTCCGTTATATCTTTTAGTCGTAAAAATGTACTCCTGAACATTTTTGATTGGCTTTCAAACTCTTGGTGAAAATCTCATGGAAGTGAAGGAAAAGTATCATGAAGGATTATTCTATTGCTTCTAATAGAACAGCACTGAGTCACATTTTAGTATTATAGGTTGCTATTTTATTTGAAGATCCTGCTTGAATAGAAAATTTTATGCAGTAAATTACGCCGAGAATTCTGTGACCAGTGAGGTCCATCCAGTCAAGTGTGAGAATGGATTTCCCGCCGATGACATTGGTTGGTGGTCGCGCTAAATCACGAATTGGTAGGGGTTAGAATTCATGGGCAGTTGAATCAGGTCCCAGTGGGTGTGTACTGCTAATGACCCCCAAACTGGGATAAAATAGCTGTCCAGTACTCCCTGGTGTCCAGTGGTTCTCTAACTGATATCAATCCGTTGTCAAACTCGAAAAAACAAATTTAATCCTTACAAACCAACTCTTGTAAAAAAACACCTTATCCGAAATAAAATTATTATTATTGTATTTACTCTAAAGCTTCATATGGTTGATGTATACATAAAGCAAAATAAAACTGAAGTTTGATAATGAAAAATATTTCTAGGGTAGAGGAAGGTGTACTGTTTATTGTCTGACCCATGAATCGGCATAACGTAGTCTAAATTCACCAAAATAATGAGAAAATACGACATAAAGACTAAAACTGTATTGGAATATGAAAGCATAGTTGATATATGGAGAAACTACGTTATAACTCTTCGAAGCACAGATTAAATTACATACAGTAAAATATCAGTAATTCACGAATAAAGATGGCACACAGACTAATATCTAGAGGTTTAGGGGGGAAGTTGAAAAGTTTTCTCAAATCTAATGCCTTCTAGAAATTATCTGTTATGAATTATGTTTACTTGCAACGTACATATATGTACACCTTTTAGAAATGTATCTTTGGTAGTATGAATAACTGAGCTCACTCGAACCTGAATTCAATACACACTATTTTATGAAATACAAGCAGATGACATCCAAAATGACTGACACCTTTTTTACCCTACTTGTAAACCCATCTGCTTAATAATGCTCCCCTAGAGGGCTCAGGCTCATGGACTTGTACTTTATCGAAATCCGGACACCTTTAGTTCACCTTCAATATAATCTTACTTCAGTGAACATAACAAGTTAGGGGAAATGGTGAGTAGTGGTTTGTATCACACGTCCCAGGCTAACACAGAATAGCAGGCTTCTCGACTGACTATCAACCAATTGCTAAACAGAATGACTTTTAGGTCATGATTTATTAGCTTGATCATAAGAAAGCAAAACTCGCTCCACTGTAAAGGTAGTCCTAAAAATTTCATCTGAAAATACAATGAAAATTACACAATAAAATCATCCAGCTGTGAGAACGCGACATTAAAAACCATTTCCCCTGAAAATCTGTTCGCTGATATGATGATATTCTACGTTAAAATGAATAATACTGACAAAAATTTAATATCTGTCATTCCATTATCCCCATTACTATAAAAGTTTTCTTTTCATTTCACAAGGAATATAAAACAAGCAATAAAGCTTAATAAAGCAGGATTTAATGAATTCATCAAATTTCGGTAGAACTCGTCAGCTGAATACTCTACATACACGGATATATATACTTTTGAAATTACATTGGCAGATATAAAACTGATACGTAGACAAACTACATTGAATTAGTCATGCAGAAAGACAAGTGCGAATGTCTTCCAAGGAATAAAAGAAACAAACAACACTGCTTTTACTGATGTTTCGCTATTTAATGCTAGTAGCTTCATCAAAGTAAACCAGAATTTACGCAATATCAGCTTATATACAGTAACTTAATCACAGTTCTTCAGCATGAAGTAATTTTTACGTTGTCAAGTGGGTGAATCAGTAAAGACAACAAACTATGTGCAAATTATTGGATTTAATAAGCGTATGAAATTAAAAAACAGCGCGTTTTGGAGTCATGAAACTGCTTATCACATTTGTGTTGATTTTGTCACTTCGTGGGGGAGGTTTTTCGAACGAGGTCATATTCTGTCTTAATCCATCATTCTTACTGAGACAATTTGAATTCCATTTAATATGAATTGCTTCTGACATGAGACATTCTCTGACATTCTTGAAATATTTTCAGAATGATATCAGTACTGTTAAAATCAGTTTGCAGCCTGATTCTATAGATATAGCCGACGATTTTTCGAGCTTTCCTAGTTCTTTTGGATTTCTCTGTGGTTCAGCTTAACGGTGTTCATCTCTTCTAATCGTGATTTATCGCCAATGCATATCCCATCAAATTCTAAGCATTTTATTTTATAGACACAGATTGTGAATCCTTTGAAATTTGATCTTTCACATGAACAAAGTTACTTTTTAGTGTCTCTGATGTTTTCAAACTTATTATTTTTCTTTATTTTATTTCTTTACGTCCCGAGTGGAAACTAAAGCTTGAAACTAGAGCTTTGACGTTACAGCAGTGGGGTGGGGTTGCTAGCCTCACGCCCAACCTTCCCACTTTAGCTGCTATACTAATGACTCGGCGATTATAAGGAGTAGGTCGACTGGGGATTAAATCCCGGACCATATGCATGGTTGGTGAACATTCTACCTCTAAGCCACCGACCCACATTTTTCAAAATACCAAGTGTTAACTTGATTTAGACATATGTTCCATTATCATACTTTTTCTATGTTTTTGATGAACTTTAAGAATAAATATGAACAATTTAGATAGATTTCTAGTAAAATTCATTCTTATAAGTGTACAGAACTTTTTTTGAGTAAACGAAACAGTAAATCATTCACAAGTGCACTTTTGCCAACTACTGTCTGTCTTCTTGAACTTCAACTGCTGACAGTGAGAAGGTGATCCAAGAGTAGAATCCTCGCTAGACACGCATATGGTCCAAGGTGTGATTCTCGGCCAACAAATTATTAAACCTCGCTCAGTTTATTAGGCAACAGTGATCTGGGGAAAAACAGAAGGTTGGGTGTCATACTAGTAGCCCTATTTTGTGCAAAAAACACCACTGCTATTGAAAATTCCAAGCTCATGCTCGAATCTCTATGTTCTAATCGCAACGCCAAGGAATGGAAGGAAGGAACAGTAAATAGGTAAGAGTTTGTTCACCTAAATCAATTCATCAGCCAGAAATGCAAGCATTATTCCTTCCACTTTCAATGAAACTGTAGAATTCACACTTTTCCCTTGTTTTTAGTTAGGATAAGGTTGACATTTTTAAACTTACTTGAAATAGAGATAATGTTTCTCTTGACATAAAATCAAAAATGTCATATTGAGCACAGGCATAAAGAACTTGAATCAATTTCATCACACTGTCTATTGTACAGCTGGCAGTCATCACTGCATTTGAAGATGCTATTGATTTGTCGGTATTTGAATCACCTCCTTCAACAGAATTTTTGTAATGGCATTGATGACGCACTAAATCCAATTGCATCCACTTCAGATACTTTGGATTGTCCAAAGCGATTGTGTGATTAATTAAACTATCTGAATTTCTTTCACTGTCTGCTGGTATTTTCCGCATTACACGTGTTCCAGACATAAAGTTTGACACCAATTTTTTAGAAGAATTAGCTATGGGAAGAAAAGGAAAGCCTACTGATGGAAATGAATGGAAAAAACGATAATTACTTCTTTCACCGACACGAATTACTGAAAGATATCTGGTTTCAATTAATTGTTTGTGCTGATCACTCATTTATGACTAGTCAGTTCCATCTTATCTAATAGTAGTTACTAAAAGAATTATGTCTATTCTTCTGACGCTTTGATCTTCATTCAAAGATATTTATCATAACAGACCGATTTCTTGGCTTAGTCGACTGGGGAAAGTTTTCGCCTCCTAAAAATAGTCAGAAATATGTATGTGCTCCCTTAAAGATAGGATAACCAACTGACAGTCAATAAATGTATCATTGTCACTGATCGTTGTAAACATGCCTAACCAGTCTCCAGTCTAATCTTATGTTAGCTAATATTACTCGTCTACTTCTAGTCTCAACATTGCCTATAGCGCTACTACAGCAGACATCGGTGACTCATCGAAGACAACTGTGTTCAGAAACATGTAATTCCTCTCTGTATTAGGATATCAATATATTTCTACATGTGCATTGGTGGCACAGCGGTAGAATGTTCGCCAACCACGTATGTGGTTCGGAGTTTGATCCCCGGCCGACGCACTCCTTTACCTAGCTAAGTCAGTAATAAGACTGGTAAAGAGGGAATGTTGGACATGAGGCTAGCAACCCCATCCCGCAAAAAATAAACACCACTGCTACCGAAACTTCAAGCCTCTAGCTTGAAACCCCATGTTCCTCTGGGAACGTACAGGAATAAAAAAATATTTCTACATAGTACACTTTCTCTTCAGTGAGTAACTGGATATTTTACTATTTCTAAATCCCACTCAAGATTGCGGATACTGGCAAAATGAGCAACTGTTGCTTCCAAACTTGTGCAGCTTTCCACATAATTCTTTTGAAGAATACATTCAACCACTTCATTCCCTATCCTTAATCTACAAGTCGGTTCACACTAGTCTGTACATTTGACGGGGGAAGACTACGCGCCAAATATGCACAAATATTTCCTTGTGATATTGAGAAGATTCTGCTTTTTGTCACTATACTCACCAAATGACCTGAGGAATCAACATCAAACGCAGTCACATCCACTACCATATCTGCAGTAAAATTATATAATTATGATGACATTAAACATCCTTGATGGAAACGACAGGTTTTCGTTATTTCAAATGACCATTCTCCTTAGACTGTGTGTATGTGTGTAGCTTTATAAGTTCGAATGGAGTGTCCTAACTGATGTTACATGCTCTCTCAACATTGGCTTTACAGCTAGATATTTTCGCTATACTTCTTGGAGGATGCGATCGAATAGAGTTGCCACACCAAAGTATGTGGCAAGTGTTGGCAACTGGAAAGAGAGAAGGTGAATATTTGATCAATCCACCTACTTTTTGGCCTGAAACATGTCTGTTTCTTTTGAAATTATCCTTGTGTCCATCATTAACTATCCCTATGACTAAGGATCTCAGGACCCTACTAGTTAAACTGATTCACAAGTCATTTTCATAGAATGACTTCTCTCCCTCGTAAAATATGTGTATTACTTCATAAAATCAGCTAATTTTATAAATGCAATATAATTCGCCTATATCCAAATGAATAATTGATTGAAGCAATGTGACTTACGGTAGATGAGCTCAAATGCTGCAATAAAAAGTTCACAATAAACTTCTGACATTTCCCAATCTGATGGATCTACAGGTGGTTTTGGAGTCACAAGGCTTCTCCTTTCTCCAGGATTTAGGCTTAACGCCTCGAGAATAGCTAAAATTTGAGCTGATGAACTAGGAAGTAATTGACACAAATAACGTTCAGTTTGTGTTCTAGGCCAAGAATGCTGAAAGTGGTAAAAAGATATTTATAAAAGATTATAAGAATAAGTTTTATAAATGTAAAAATGCATGTATTTTTATATTTTCTAAGCAATGTAAAGTTTCATTACTGGATTATTCTAGCAAAATAACCTAAGAAACCTGAGAAGATAATTTAACGGGTAAAATCTGAATAACAACGGTCACAGACAAAAATGTCGTCAAAACATTTAAGGAAACCATTTGAAATGTTATTTCTGTATGAGATGCTGACTGTCACCCATGTCACCCTCGCACCGGTGACTCACTCGTCGCTTCCTATTTGGAATCCACTCGAACGATGGTGTCCACTGCTCGCGATGTCATTCAAAGACCTCAACGTATGCCCGTACCATCTCCCTTATCTCCTACATATTTGTTGAGCAATCGGCTCTTGGTTTCTTCCCAGTCAGACTCTCTTGTTACTAATTCTTTCTAACCAGTCATTTGGTCTTCAGCATGGAACCAGCGAAGGCAGCTGTTGATGAAAGTCTGCAACCGGCTGCTGGAGATGTTGTAAGTGACGCACCAAGTTTCTGACCCATAGAGAAGAACAGACCAACCTGACATTGGTGTTGAAAATCCGAATCTTGTTCTTTATGCTGGCTGAGTGCAGAAGATTTCCAAACTGGTTTCAGGTTGATGAAGGCATATCTTGCCTTTCCGATTCTGACCAGCTTTGACATCTTCATCCATTCCACCTGCAGTTGAAACGACGCCTCCTATATAAGTGAAGGAAGCAACCTCTGTCAAATCTCTCCCGTTGATGTTGATTGGTGCTAGTTGCTGTTATTGCATCGGTTCGTTGGTTATCTTGATCAATTCCGTCTTCTCCGTATTCACCTGGAGTCCTGTCTTCGCTGTCAGCCTCTTCAGCTAGTTTGTTGGTTTTAGCCTGCAAGTTTTCGAGTTTGTGTGGCATTAGACATAAATCATCCAGACGCGAAATCCAGTCCTTCTAGGGTCTTCTTATCGGTGATTTATTTTCTAAGTTCTGCTAGTCATATAATTCTCGTAATACTAAAGTGAATTAAGTTTCGCATAGCATACGGTTTGTGAAGGTAATTAACGATAAAATGCAATAGTTACAGCTCACGTTTTTGAGAATATAAACTAACAGTACTTACTGAACCTCGATATCTAATCGCTGAGCAGTCATCTGCAAGATGATTGGAATCAGTATCAGTAAGTTTTGATCTTTTAATCTCTTCAATACTGTCAAAGAAATTAATCCGTAGACACAAAACTGTCTAAACTTTGTGATCATAAAAGTGAACGGTAGTTCCCCTGTACATCAATGCCCCTTGAGACACTATAGGAAGCAAAGAGTTCAGGTGATGTTTTTGTATCTCTTGTAGTTTTGTGTTATGCCAGTTTTTCTTTCAACTTCAAATATTGTCTTTGACTATCTAGACTCATGAACCAAACTAGCTCATATATTGAATTCTTGTATAGCTACCACGTTGAATATTATTCACTTATGTCTATACAGCGTTAATAATGTTTATTTTCCTCCGGTTAACTATAACACAAGTCATATATGACAAAAACAGTAACTGTGTATAAGCAATTTGAGTTGAAATACAGTCGCCTCAGAATATGTGTTCGAGATGTAAGTAATTCTCTCTTTCTATTCACTCATACCTATTTTACTTCGAACCAATCTGAAAATCAAAAGATGGTACAACAGCAAAGGAAATTTAGCAAACTGTAACAAACGTCCTCATTGAAAAAACAAAACAATATAACGGATTTAAAAAGTGTCTATGCATTTCATAAATTTACTTACTTGCAAAATTGTTGCAAATTCCACTTTTACTTTAGGCCGAAGGTAACCTTGTGGACGTTTACGTGACTCAAAAACTGATCGTTTAAATACCATTGAAGATAGCTACATTTGCAAAGTTAATAAAACCCATAGATAATTATTGTAAGTACAGAATACGAAGAAATTAAATCTAGCAGAAATTTATGGAAACACAGTTTAAAATTTCTAGTTCGAGGGAGTAATTCTGGCTATTAATCTCAATCTAGGTACATTCAGGTGTCACACTAAGACTTTTTTAGTTAAAATGCACTATATCTTTTCGAGTTGTTCAGTAAAATTCTTCCTCACTAAAAAGACAATTGATACTTCTTTTACTGAAGGTCATTTCGAATTTCCATTGATGAAAAACCAGTAACTTAGCCTCGAGTAATTTAAAGAAAATGGTTATCACCGACTTATGAATCAGTGGCTCCTGGGTTCTAACCCCGGTGGGTGCGTACTTCTGGAGAGTCTCAAACTAGGACGAAACAACTGTCACCGACTCCCTGAAGATTTTCCAATGGTTCTCTAACCGATGTCAGCTCATGATGAAATCCTGTAACCAATCAGTCAAATCCTTACAACCCAATACTTGAACTTATAAATCATTATGTTTATTTTTACTGATGATACTGATTTGTTTTAAAACCAAAATCCTAGTGAAAATCCAGTTGCAACATCATGATTACCAAAGACATTACTGAGTTTGTAAATTTGATTTCTTCTATTCAGAATTTGAATCTTTTTCAATTAGTGATAAAGTATGAGCAGAGAACATGTGAGAAAGTTGACGTTAAATCCGAATATGCTTTGTGAACTTCATTTATGGAAATGAATCATCAAGACGCTTAAACTTCTTTATAAAGTCAGACATTTCTCGAAGGGTAGATTAAGTTCTCGAAAACTAGTTTCGAATATGCAGAAGTGAATATACCTTCAAAAAATTCCGGCGAATACAGAGGAAACTTTAACAGTTAACTGGTTATATGTTTATTTTACTGTTTAAAACCCACTAAATTCAAAAGGTTAAAAATTATTTTCAATTGTTCTCATTAACTGGCACATTTTAAAGTAGTACAAATCAGAAAATGTTCTACAAATTCATGTATCACAATCTGTTAGTGACATACTTCAATAGTAGCTAAATGAAATGCAGCCATATATTCAGTTGATAGCAAACATTTCTTCTGATTATTTAATTGATTTAACTCAGCCAAGTCAACTAACGATTTTCTTGCTAAGGCCTAATAAATTCAAATAGAGAGATGAAAATTAGAATTAATTAATTTATATTTAATTAAAGTAATAGTGCATATATGCTTTCAAACTGGTAAAGTTATCAACTTATCAACATATAATTGTGAATGCACTGGTATTATTAATGGGAGTGTAGAACTTCGACTCTGTGGTAGAATGTAATTCCTACTTAAGGTCTCTGAGTTTCCTTCTTCGTACAGTAATTCTTCATTTATTTTTGAATAATTTCTGATGGAAAAGAAAAGGCGTTCAGCAAAGAGTTACTCTTTTCGGCGATATCATTCTCAAGCTGTACAAACCGCAAATTTATAGTAATTTTTCTTGGCAACAAAAGGAATATTTCCAAATATGTGTTAATGCTATTGTTAATTTTTTGACAACAAATTACGTAATTTAGAAGGCGTTAATCAGTTAGAAACTAAAATAAAGTTACAAGAGTAGGTTGGGTGACGTAATGAAAAATGAATGAGAGTCAAATTAATAAGCTGAGTAGAATTCACTTAAAAATAAACGAAAATGGAGTTAGCAACAGTCGTCATGAGGGTAGAGATTTAATAGAGGGTTGGGGTAGAAAATAATGCAATTTAGAAACAGACAAACAAGAGAGAAAGAGGTAAGACAAAATTACGTATTTGGTGTTAAGATAGATCAGGACCATTGTAGATTTAGTGACTGAACAAACTTCTTTTGTATGCAGAGTTCAGGATTCAATATGTGAATTGCCATTGCTTCTGCAGTTTGAAGAAGTTTAATTCGTACTCTTTTGGCAAGATTCCCACGTATTGTGTAGATAACTGAGAAGTTGTTTTGTGGGTTTGCTTGGTGTCCGGATTCGATCAAGTGTTCTAGGGTAGAGCTGTGGCGGGGGGATCTTCTTTCTCCTTTATAAAACCATGAAGGTAAGTGTTCGCTGATTCGTTTGGATAGCAAACGCTGGGTACGGCCGACATACCTAGCTCCACATGAGCAGGTGAATTGGTAGATACACACTGATGAGACCCCCAGTGGAAGCTTATCCTTCACGTTCGTGCGAATCATTGGTTTCGTAAAGAAAGTTAGTCTGAGTTCAGCTGCGAAGAAGGTTTTCTTCAGTGAACGGTACAGGCGGTTTCTCAGTATTTCTGCTGAAGAATCTCCGTTGAATTGTAGATTTCTGATGGGCAGTTTTTCAAAAATATATGAGGAATCATAGGAAAACTAAGATTAGTAATAAAAAGCCTGTGTAGTACTGCCATACAAAAAAGGATCGTCACAGGTATTAAGTAGGATTCTCAATGATGCTGGAATTAGGGTGGCATTTAAACCAACCAACCAACCAACTCTCTCAGAGATAAACTTTGTCAGCTTAAGAACTCAACAGATCCAATTAATAAAAATAACAACACTTACCAAATACCATATAATGCTGTACAGTGAGGTCAACTGCATAGGTCAGTCAAACTAGTAGATAGGGGTCAGCTAGATTATTGGGACATAAAAGTTAAGCTAGATATGGGATGATTGACTCTGCTAAGTTGAATAACCTAGAAAAAGGTTCAGCCACTACACTGCATTCACTTGCATTTAATCACAAAATAGATTGAGTGGGAGGGACAGGGTGAGAGTATTAAAAAGTAATATGGTTAGGTGGAGTGAGAGAGAAGTTGATCACTGAAGCTTTGTTTATCGACTCAACATCGTACACGTGCAATCGGAATGACGCAACGTCTATGCCAGAGATATAGAAAGTGGTGACAAACTACAGAGGAAAGTTGGAAGGACAGAATAGAGAGAGAAAATATATGTAAGACAAATTGTGAAACTGTGTGACTAAAATTTATATGACTGTGAGCAATAATCTGTGCTGGAACCCTTGTCATGCAGTTATTAATCCTGCATCACTGGGTGACTATTAAAATGAACTTATCTAATATGGAATTACATAGGTATTATTTTGCTGACTATAAAACTGTCTCAGTCACGTTTGCGTAATGTCATAATTAAAGATTGAATTTTCCAGTATTACTGACAAATCATATCGGGTATAAACAGCATAATAAATCAATCATATCAAATGAATTGAAATTATCTTCATTTAACGCAACCATTACTCAACTCTTTATAGTGCTTAGTTCACAAACAATTATGCCCACATAAAACTTATCCGTTTACAGAGTTAATGAATCAAATAAATCCAATCCTCTCCTTTTGTGTGACTGATTTACTATACGAAACATAGACATCGGCATTTCTGTATCCACCTTGAAGGAACTTATTTTAAGATGTACAATGAATGTTTATTTCTTATTCAATAAGGAATATTACAGACAAATTGATGGTGTAGCTATGGGCTTCCCATTAGGTCCAATCCTAGCTGATTTTTTCCTCACTAAGCTAGAGACTGGACCACTGAAAGGGGTAATTAATGACTTGGATTTCTACTGTCGACATATGGATGATACTTATATGAACCAATGTTCATAAAATTGCAGTTCCCCGGTGACAACATCAGCAAAATGATAACACAGTGCCTGAAGAATGCAGTTAAAAGAGCTTATTATGCAGCAGAAGTGCATTGTCTCTTCACAACCACCCCTATTCTACGTTCGAGAAATAAGGGTAAATTACCCAAGTTTGCCTCTTCTATGTATATCTACCAGTTTGACTGCAGCTGCGGAGCCAGCTACATTGGGCGTACAATTAGGCAGGTTCATCATCGTATTTCTCGAACAGGATCTATTCGTAGCTCTATTTTAGCATACCTTGTAGATACCGAGCATGAGGTTGATATTAATACTGCATTTAAAATTATTTATCGCATTCCGACTAATCGTAATTTTGCTCTACGAGTTCGTCTTCTACAGACAGCTGAAGCAATAGGAATCCACCTGAAGAAGCCAAACCTGTGTGTTCAGAAGAAATTTATGCAGCTTTTTTCCTTGCCTTGGCCATCGTTACATGAATGTGTAAACCGGACTACCTCGCCCCCTCCTCCTAAACCTTTAAAATTATAAAAATTATAATTGTCTAAATTATTTTTTCTGACCACTTCATCTTTAATTACGTGTTATCGTTGTAGGATTAACTTATTCTAACCATTTCAACCTTTTAAATGTGTATTGATTTTCTTCGTTAATTATCAACCCATTGACATTTTGACACTGACTAATTATTGTTAACAAACTTATCGTCACTTGGTTGGTAAACTGTTGTGTATTGTATGTATATTAGAGTAGAGCCAGAGATGAGGATCTAATTGAAAAGTAAGTATTTCTTCGCTCAATCTTTCTGTTTACTAATTTATTTCTTAATTACCCATTCACTATGAAAGCATTGTAGGGTAATTAAATTCACGATTTGCAATTTACCCAGTTCTAGTTGGTTATTTCACTACAGTTCCCCTAAGAAAATGAAATTATTCAGATCATAATATTTGATCTGCTTGATACCATGAACAGCAATCAAGAAACCGAGCATAAATGCATCACGCTATATACTACTGATCTGTTGATATGGATGGTTAGATAACACTCATATCAACCATTCATCATTGCTAGCTAGGTCGAAGTGATAAAAACACTAGACGACCGTGTTACTTGTTCAGAGTCGAGTTTATCAGTGGCGTACTCTGTTTGATTCATCTCAAACAGACAGATGAGTGCATACAACCTGGTTTAAACAAGAACTCTGTTTTTTTATAGATGCATATTCACAGAGTGAAACACCTGGAACAGCAATAGTAAATGATTTAATACATATATAAAATTAGTATTTGATGTCATGCATGCTCTCATAGAGTTCCATTTGTTATTTATGATCCCCAAATAAGCGCAACAGACGTCCAGTGTTTATATGACTTCGATCTGGTTAGTAATTGCTACCGGTTCACATGAGTCTGATCCGACTACTCATATAAATCGGTCAGTATTATATAGCGTCATTAGTTTATGTAATGAACCAATCATCAAATCGGCAAGTCACATCTTTTTTTTAATTTACCCTACACTTTATGGAAAACTTTTGATAATTTTTTTACTCCTTTGCGTTCCTAGTGTAGCATAGAACTTCAAGCTTCAGCTTTGAAGTTTCAGTAGCGGTAGTGTTGTCTGTTTATGGGTTGAAGTTGCTAGCCTCACACCTAACCTAACTCTTCATTGAGCCTACAGCCTCTTAGGAAAGGTTCTGGAGTGAGTCAGCCGGAAATCGAGGCCAAGACCATTTACATGATTCGTGTGCATTTCACCACTGCTCCACCGAAGCCTTTTAACATTATACATATATATGTGTATGCAACACTGTATCTGAAGCAACTGTCTACCACAACACATAAAGAGCCAGGATTAGGTTTTTTGTCTCTTTCCAAATTACAGTAATGTTTTGATTGTAAAACTGCTTTTTGTAAGCATTCAAGGCCAGAGAAAATCGCATAATCAAAAAGAACGACTACTGCGAAGTAATTTTTGCGTCAGTGTTTCATCTAAATTCTTCAATGTATGGTTTGATATAACTTAATAATATTCTACATCACTTGCCAACCAAAACCTACTAATTCACTTCATTCATGAGAGATTCAAATAAGTACGGTAACTGTATCATTTCACATTCCTGTTTATCAGGAATGGAAATAATCCCATGAAAACTAGCTTTAACAAAAAGGGAAGTAAGCACCGTAGGCTAAATGTATAAGAATAATTTCCTCTTTTGGAATTCAAAGATAAACGGCAAACAAACCGTTAAAGAAGTCAAACCAGTTGTAGATTTTGGTATTGATTATTCATTTAAAGACAGCTTCAAACCTGAAATGTTCATCTGCTTTACACTTTAGACCTAAATTGGATTCATGTTATCAGGAAATCAATTTGAACGCCTTTTCGGAAATCTCATAAAAGTCTCCACATTAGACTTTTTCTTCAGAAATATTTTATAATTTTTAATGCCATTAGTTTGCTGGTTAGCTTAATTTTCATTAAAACTGTAGAGGTTTCTGTAGAGTTTTTAGGCGAAGTCTTAAAAAATACACCATGACTTGTGGATTGCGTCAGATATCATCAGATCATTGCATTTTGTTGATTCCTCGATTAGATTAAGTTTGAGAAACAATTCATATATCTGCTTCTGCTTGGAAAAACTTATTCGCATTTAATTTAAAACTTCATTTTGCAAACATTTAGTCATCAAATTGGCCGAAAGTAAGCTACTTTTTTATGGTCCTAATTCGAGAAACCTAAGTTACTAGTCGTCTTAACAAAACAAAACCTCTTGAAAGTTAGTGGCGAAACATATAGTATCATTGCTTCAACATATAATTTTGTGGTTCTCTAATACTCCTAAAAGATTTTTCATTAAACTTGTGAAGAATAACCGGTTATTACTCAGTGAACTTTAATTCCAGTCTTTTTTACACATCTGTAGAAGAGATAACCACTTCATATACCACCAAAGGTCGAGCAATTAGACTATTGTCTCCAAGTAAATCCACTATTTACGTATTGAACCTGGTGAAATAGGCTTATAATCATTCTTTTTAGGTTGTAGTTCACTCGGCAGTAAATTTAACTATGTTTATGAGTGCATCTAACTTATGTTTATGCCTCAAGATAATATTTACCCTAAAGTCTTTCCTTTTACCCACTTTTTTCTCTACTTAACTCTTTGAAAAGAAGTTCTAGTTCTTGAAAAATTCGAACATCTTGTCACTTTTATATACTGTTTTAAACAGTGGTACGGAAATAAAACACTTATTCTCTACTCAACACGAGGCTTAGCGAATAAGGTTATTGAAGGACATTTACTTGGATTCCGACTGATCGTGTGACACTTCCCATCGATGAACGACTCTAAAACTAGACTTAACTAGCTTTAGGAAGGACAACTTGATATCAACTCCTATTCACAAACTCAAAACGTCACTACTAAAAATACCTACTGTTTGCCTTTCATTATTCTTTTCTTTAATGTCAAAAAGCAGAGTCTCTAGACCTAATGTAAGATTCACTAAATGACATAAAACTTATCACGAAAAATACATTCGAAGGTTTTCATGGTGAGATAAGGCTTCTAAAGTCAATTCTACCACTACAAAACGAGATATTCACCAGTTTTTGAACAACTTTTGGAATATTATAGGCTAAAGAAGCTTTGGACAGATAAGAGTGAAATTCCACTACAACAGGTTATTTATCAATTTCAAGCTCTTATCTGCATTGTCTTTGAAGGTGTCACTTTCTGGCTCGTTAAGCTGAAATTTTGTTTCCCCAAAATGAGCTATCAATACCGGTCAGAAACAGTAAACTAATATTCCGAAACAGACTGTATATTTTCAGAAAGACGCTGATGGCCTGGAACATATTCCTCTTTCATCAAAATTCATTCAATAATGATTCAACACAATAATAATCGGATGTGGGGCAGGATAAATCATTGAAATGTTTTCACTAAATGTTAGGTGCCATCCAACCGTGGACGATTAGACTCAGGAATTTATTTGCAGTCGCGAATTACAAATAAGAGCTCCTATTTTTGCAGAAATATTGGAAGAAACTTCTCCTTTTCTAGATTACTAAAAATTTCAATGATAGGATTCATTTCCATTACAAAATTATCCACCTTTGCTTTACAAAAACATACCTCAGACGCTTCAGTGCAACCGCAAAAGTGGAGTGCTTTACAAGCAACAACAGAAGTGTGGAATTTCAACGTTAGGAAATTTTGTTCATTACATGATATCTTTCTGGATACGAAAAAGTAAAACCATAGCAGATGTGCTGAGAATAGACTAGAAAATCTTCGACTTGACAGGACACGGTCAATTCTAGAAAAATTTATTGTATCTTAAGTAAATTAAAATTATGGTAAAACTATCACCTACCTTCCCTGACACATTCATTACCTATCAGCCTTAAGCTGCTACTGACATACACTTGTTTTCGAAGATTGAGAACAGTGAGAATGCAGTCCTTTAAACTAAAATCATGCATACAACCAGATATGAAGTCTTCCAAGGATTTGAAAGAAATTATATAGTCGATATTCTATGAAAAAACGTCGTAAAAGTATACCAAACGAACCATCAAAAACCTTTCAAAGCAAGACAACTTAAAGTTTTTTGAAAGCACCTCATTATTCGGCAGTAAATTTTTTATAATATCCTTTAATCTGAAAAGCAACACGAGCATTTTGACCGGACAAATCTCCTAATATCTACAGAATCACAATTACTTTACCTCCTGGTGTTTAAGCAGAAAATCAGTGCTGTCGTTCACCCATCTGAGTATTTGAGCATCATTGTACGTCTGAGTAATTCGTTTTATGGTGCAAAAACTGTGAAAAATTAGTCTTGAACACTATTATACCTACATCTCATTATTGGAAAAATCTAAAAAATTTTTGTCGATCATTTTTTTATTTTAAATCCTTTTTAGTGATAGTAAAAATTTCTAAGCATGAGGACGCTCAAACAATTGAAGCGGTAAGAGGTTGCTGGAATCACTATGATGCAAATTGTGCATTTAAACAAATAAGTTGAGTATATGTCTAATCTTTTGAATATTCATTATCGTGACATCTTTGGAAGGCATATCAAAAAGGAATTGAATTTTCTTTATTTCCTTAAGTTTCTGAGTACTTCTTAGTTATACTTTTGTCTATTATTTGATACTGGTTCACTGGAACTAGAAGACTCGTCTATGCATTATTACTGATTTAGTGAAATGATTCGAATGCATCACCCATGAATTACTCTGTGTTACTGGTCAGTTAATTATGCAACGTATTCAGCGTGTTTGTTCAATAATTTTAGTATGACTTACCTAGTTATTCCACTGTTAACCAAGATTTTAGGATGATTTTACGGACAGTGTATAGCGGCGCAAATGGCTTATGGAGAGACTGAGCACTTGAAGGTCACATATAGACGTTGTTATACATCAATTCAATACGTAGCGGCAATATGGAATCGGCGTAATCCTCTGAAAAAAGCTTGAAAGTGCTATTGTTAGTGATGTTTGACGAGGTGCTCAGAATATTCAACCAGATTTTGAAGCTCAAAAGTTTTAACTCTTGGGTCACATTCAAGGATTCCATTAGGAAGTTCAAAAAAATGCACAAACTTATGAGTTGTGAGAAGCAGTCGGAATGAGAGGAATAATCTCATTATCAGGTACAAACGGGTGGATTATGTGTGTACATTCGGTCAGAAACGGAAAAGCCGATCAGGAGGAGTCAGACCTGGAACACCGTAATTGGATATTTTGGTCAATCCAATCTTTATCAGTTTTAAGTGCAAAGGTTGTACGTCACGTTTTAGCATGAACAGTGTTGGCGGATATGCGGATATTGTTTATATAAGGGGTGAACATAATCATCCGTGTACAGAAGAGTTTATGATGGTCGACTATAACAGACGTAAGCTGACGGGAATGGAGAGGTCCATAGTGTATGGTATGGCTGAATCTATTTTGGAGGCTGAAGGTATCGACGTTCGCGAATTGTACGGAGTATACTGACGCAAGATCTTATACCAACAACTTCTATAATATTCGTTTGTCGTGTACCAAAGATAAAGCAAAAGACCAGATTTAGTCGTCCAAAGTACGATATATATTTCGGGACCAAATCGTGAACCGTATTGATTGCTTAGCTGGCTAGTGATCGTGCACGCACGTGACACGACGGAGTACCAAATGGCAAGTATGCTTGACCGGAAGCCTTCAGCTAAACAAGTCGACTTAAACAGTGAGGGTCAGCATCCAATGTTCAGTGTTGATTGCTGTGGTCAATAATTTTGGGGAATTATTTACCGCTACACTGTGATACCCAGTATTGAATTGGGAAATCTGTTTTCTTAAAACCCAGGAAATATGCAACACAAAAAGATGTTGCTGAATTGAAAGACCAAATGCTTGCAGGTATATATATAGAACAATATTTGCTTCATCCTACTGAAGGTATTAAAAGGATGGATTCTGTTCTTCAATTATTAGGAGCAAAAGGAGAAGACTTTACTGAGATTTCAAATGGTCAGAGTGATATAATATGTTTCAGCCTGCATCAGCAAATTAGGTTTTATGAGTGTTTTCCAGAGGTCAATCCATTGCATCTATGTATTAAACGAGTAATGGTGGATAAGTTAGTGATAACAGTGTAATGTTTGCAGATTCAGTCTTTTCGTATAAGTTATGGCAGACGGACGTGGAAAGGATGCTGCTGTAATGTTTGCTTTTTGTGGTCGAGAAACTTAGTCATATATCACACGTGCTGAGGATGTTCCAATCCATTATCAGATTTACGGACGCAACGAAAACTTTTGTTAGGGAAAACTGTCAGATTGAAATTTCTTCTGTAAAGGAGGTGTTCACGCACTGCCAAATTATTCTCCGTTCATTTCACGTGTTTTAAGCCTTCGGTTGGAAGGTATTCAGGTATTAGGGATTACTACCGTCATTTTTCATTTCTGTAAACTTGACTTTCGGTTCACACCACGAAAAATAGTTTCCACTAGTAATGAACCAAAGTAAAGAAGGAATATGGAAAATATGTAGGTTATCATATTTCTTTGGTTATATACGTGACACGTTTCCCCAGGTCCACAACCTTTTAGATGAACATAGGATAAATATCAGACACATGTGGGCACGATGCTTCTTCAGAAAAGAGACGACTCTGGGTAACCACACTAACAATAGGGCGGAAAGTGCTCATAAGCACTTGAAGTTGCATCTAACACGAAATGATTCCATTGTGTTGAGTTTATGCAAAGTTCATAACATGGCAGCGAATTTTTGCCAACTGCGGCCGTACGATACTCTATCTGCATTGCAGAAACTTTGTCAGTACAACGTCAGTGAAAGTTTATTCTTATACTGTTTTAAAGGTTCCTGAGCCAATTAAAAGCAGTTACACAAATTAACACCGTATGCAGCTACAGTTGTCGACAGGAGTTACGAACAAGTTCATAATCCTAGTCATGAATTAGTAGACAGTGGCATGACTGAATGTTCTGATGGAATATAGGACCACATGCCTGGTACTTCCGCTGGAGTGTGTAGCTGCCACCACTTCCATGACTGCCGTCCCCCTTGTTCACATGTCCTGTACTCCTACTACAAGGGATTGTTCACTGGAGGTAACATAAATTTGTCAATGTATACACTTTCAGTTAGAATACGATACAGCCGAGGGTGGTGGAAGGAATATAACCTAAATGTTTCCATGAGAACAACAGAGCAAGTTACGGCTTCAGACTGTGATGTTGATGAATAAGCGCAACGAGTGTGGCAATGTCTTTATCACCTAAAGAAAACTAATCCAGATATTGTGCTTAATGTTATCCGTATATATTACTGCTGATATGAAGATATTTTAAACTGTCTACCTATGTCAAATTAACCGTCGGATTTTATAAATTATTTTCATGTAAGCATATACGACAACGTATAGTGCTAAATGAAGTCACAGCAACATTTCGGTTACACTGAATGGTGCCACCAATTGATTTCTCGGGTCTCATTGAAAAGTAAAGCCTCCATCCTGTCATGGTGGCAAATTCATTTTCGCCCATTTTCGCCCCATTCTGCAGGAACAGCATTAAAAAATTTGAAGGCTCGAGATATTTCTGGTTTTTATGAGGGCTTAAATCTTTATCTTGAAAAAGATAACAATGAACGCCTTGACAGATCATGCTTCTACCTTTAAATATATATTATTCACCCAGCCTATTGTTGAGATGCGACCATGTGGGATCTGCTCAGATTTATGGGGCATCTTATAAATTAACTTGCTGTCTATCGTCAGATCTTTTCATACCACTCCACAATGTCTTATCTCATTTATTTTCTGACAACGTCTTTACTTGATCCTCATTTTACTCCATTAAACTTAACATCTTATAGCTCTTCATTACTTATTATACTCCTACTCTCTGAAGGGTACGGTAGTGCACTAAATGCACAAAAAGGTATAAAATAAAAACAACTGGCATGAGGATAATTGTATTAAAACCAAAAGTTGATATCATGATAGTTTGTGATATATCTGTAGCATTATACATTGCAAATGAATGTTGTTACCCTAGGGTGTTTCCTTTATTAATGCATTTATTAATGATACTTGCGCTTACCTATTTCATTACAATTTAATGATTCACCTCAGCACTTTAATTTTTCTAAAACAGATTCCAATCCCTTGTAAAAGGTGTACTTACCTCAATATCGGTTGGTTATCGTATGCCTACAACCACGGGATGAAAACGGAACGAAGTCGATTTTCCCGCTCAACCTGGAGGACAACTGTACAATTCAATAACTATACGGCCTAATTCAGAAAATGAGTGTATTATATGTATCGAATATTTAACAGTTGAAATACGATTAACTTGTAGACAATCTACGATTTGATATTATATCATACTTGATCGTGCCTGTAAAAATGGCATGCATTTTCATGTAAATTTGTAAATTTATATGAAATACATTATTATTATTATTAACAAGAAAATTATGGTAAGCAGGATGTATCGTCCTGAACTTTTGAAGATGGTTCACATATCGGTACTCTTGTCAACATTTGCTGTTAGTTCATTTCAGAAAGGCGTGTTTCATAGGTATATTTGTTTTTTCATATACATATATATTTACATACATTTAAGAATAACAATGATGTTAGCTAACTAATTGGTCATTTTATTACCTTCTGTTTGTAATCTATGCCTCAATTCAACTGACAGTCAACTCTGTTACATAATCAAATAATACTTACACTTATCTTACACTTGTTGGCATCAATCAACTTCGTTGACTAATTCGTTAATCCTAGGAAATGCGAGTTATCACTTAGCCTCTCAGTGTGAAAAATGCAGGCCTTAATAGAAAATTTTACGTACAGCACGTGCTAAGTTTCACATAACTTATCACTGCGACAAACAACAAACAAAAATAATAATGTCAAATGGCTTTTAAACATTCAAGAAGTACTTATTTTAAGAGATACATTCATCATATCACAAATATTTTATCATTCCACACATATATTCTTCGCTTAGCATTCTTTAGAAAGTCAAAATACACTGAGTGAATTCAGAAGTGAGGAACATAATCCGCAAAACAAAAATGAATAAACTCCAGTTACTG